CGTTTGATTAATGATAATACTTAAAATGATTTATTTATATGTTTTATTTATATACTCAAAATATTTACTTCATACGTAAAAGGATTTGAAGCTGGCAATATTTTTCCCGCAAAAATAAAAATCCTTGTTTTTTCAATAGAGTTACTTTTTTTAAACTACTTATTGTAAACTATAGTGGCGCTTATTTGCAAGAAAGTAAATGCATATTTATTTATGACAAAATTAATGCACTAAGTATTTTTTCTATAATCTATTGTCCGCTTTGGGCCTAAAATGGGCCATCCCCTTTCCCACACTTATAGAGTACGTGTTTATAGAGAAGAAGTGCAATATTTTTTAAATTACGGATAAAAAGTGGTCTATGTACACACTACATACCATGTATTTGACACAACGCATGTACCTACTCTTTATCTATTGTCAAACATTTGTTAATCTGCGGTCAAATTGAGAATAGATTAATATTGTTTGTCTTTAATGTTGTTTGTCTATAGTGTAGTCTTGGCGAAATCTGTGATTACAGAAGTACAATAATGTTGAAACTTAAAATCTCAATTAATTATAGTCGAATTTCGACTACCGAAGGACCCCTAGTAGTGTTAATACGATAAAGTCTGAATATTTCATTTGGTTATGCTGTTAGTCTGGTTTCTGTATAATGAAGAGTAAAATAAACAAATATGCTCGTTCATTTCGCAACATTACCGTTGGGATTCGTAACTCGAGCAAATATAAATGAGTTGTACATAAACAGGGCTCGGTCGCGTTTTGTATAATTAATTAATATCTAAAACTTAGGACCGCAACCTCTTAATTTTACTTCAGGAACAAATCTCTTGCCTCAGTCACGCTCCGCCAAGAAAAATCGTTCTTCCAAACTTGATTCCCTTGTGTGGCGCTTGGTGAAGTTACGACTGCACGTCTTGTGAGGAGAACGCAGGAAGTATTTTTGAAATTTTAACGTAAAAGACGAATCTCGGTTTTGAAACAGAGTGCTTAGTGAGAGTTTTTTAACGTTCGCGATCGCGTAAAAGTTAACTCAAATTTGTATGGAGTTGGAACGTTTGCCTATGTTTGCCGCTAGGGGCGCTGCAAGAGAGGTCGTCTTCCCGCCTTACGGGGGCACGGAACGGGTGTCAGGGCGAACCCCACTGCTCGGGCAGAAGCTCCCTGCCATAAAAGACAGTGGTGGAGTGATGCAGGTAGGAGATTGAGAGGGGATCGAGGATCGGGAGATCGAAGAAAGGGGCGCTGTTCCACTGATCTGCATACAAATTTGATTTAACTTTTACGCTATCGAGAACTTTACAGGCACTGAGCACACTGGTGACGTGGCAAAACCTTTTTGTTTCTTCTTTAAGGTCTTGAAAGCGTTCCCCCTATCGCGATCCCCGAATCTTATTATTATTATTAATACTTTATTTCAGTTTTTTTTTTTAAAACCATAACATTTTGTTAGTAATAATTACTTATAACCTATGTTAGTAACTTAAAAAATCTAACACATAACTATCATTATATACATTTTATACCATTATATATTATTATTTTTCTCCTTCCAAGTGCCTACTGCAAAGGCTATTGATCAGCAGTCCCTCGATCTTGCTCGATATGATTCTCAAAAGACTGTTGCCACTGTCACGAACTCGACGCAATAACGATGCACTTCTCTTCCGCATTATTGCAAAGAAGTCATCGGTGTGAGATGTCGCAAACATTGTGGATGCACTACAAAAGCGCGGCAGTGACAACANTGCTAGGAAAATGCTTTAAAATGCCCTTATGTTAAAAACAAGAAAGAAAGTAAAGAAAACCTCAATTTGTGTTAGTTTACGTATGTGTAATATTTTAAAACTCTGCATGGTAGTTTTTTTTTCTAATGTTTAAAATAATTTCTGGCGCAATGTAATTAAGGTAAAATTGCTCTAATTTTTTAACTATCATCGATCATGTTCCACAGAAACTTGTTACAACTTGATTGTGTACGGTGTGTAGGCTATCCTACAAAATCTATGTTAATTATTTTAAGTTTTTATAACATCATACAGGGTAGAAATATAAACTAATTATTCGTTATTGTGTAGTAGGTGAGTTTTAATTTTAGTAAAATTTAAAATACTATAAAGTAAATGAAATTACAAATTTTACAGCGCCCCCCTAACTCACATCAACGCCCCCCATTTTTTCCTAGACCCCTTAACGCCCCCCTCTAGGTTTCAAACGCCCCCCAGGGGGCGTTATCGCCCACTTTGAGAAAGACTGTCCTAAACGCATTATTATATTGGACACGTAGGGCATTGTAAGCTCTCCGCGTGTATGTGGTCCACAGACTACTGGCGTAAAAATTCTGGCAATAAGCTTTAAAAATTGTAAGTTTGACATATAATATCTCTTTTCTTACGACATATGATAAGTATTAGGTCCTTACATATGAAATTGGGGTTTTTTTGTACGGGAGGAATACAAAGTCAATTTTTTTTTTTGTAAAGTATATCTAATTAATTACTCAATAGTGCATACTGCACCGTTGTTATCTATGCACTTTTTCCATCTCATAGATAGTTCATTGATCCCTTTACTAAAAAAACCATGGTGGCGAGAATCAATAAACTCTGAAGGCGGTTTGGACTGCCGCATCGGAGTTGATTGTTTTTGTAAGAAGTTGCCGGAATTCCGGGAAAAATGATAATCTGTTGGAGCCAGGTCCGGGGAGTACGATAGATTTTGCAGACATTCCAATTGTAGCTTATCTAACTTAGTGCTTGTTTGTTGTGCAGTGTGTGGTCTTGCGTTGTCGTGAAGCAGCAGTGGCCTAAAGCGATTGACCAATCTCGGTTGTTTAGCAACTAGTTCTTCCTTCATGGTTTGCAGTTGCTGACAATAGTTATCTGCCGTAATCGTTTAGCCAGATTTTAGAAAGCTGTAGTGAACAACACCGGCGCTAATCCACCAAACACTCGCAAGTAACTTTCTCCGAGTCAATTTTCGTTTAGGGCACGATTTGGCTGGGTCTCGAGGGTTCAGCCATTGCGACAAACGCTTTTGATTATCGTACAGTATCCACTTTTCATCACAACTAATGATTCGATTTCTTCTTCTTCTTCTTCTTCTTATCAGCCCATGGACGTCCACTGCTGGACATAGGCCTCCCCCAAGCCTCGCCACAAAGACCGTTCCTGCGCTGCCTGCATCCAGCGGATCCCCGCGAACTTCAATAGATCGTCGGCCCATCTTGTGGGAGGCCTACCCACGCTACGTCTTCCAGTACGCGGTCGCCACTCAAGAACTTTCTGGCCCCAACGATTTAGAATCCCTTAATTATTGTGTCCATTGAGCAAAGTAACACAGCAGTCGATGCGCGTTTGCAAGTTCGATTCACTCAATTCATGAGGTAAGTACCCATCGTTCAAGTTTTTTTTACTTTCCCGATTTGCTTCAAGTGGATTAATACAGTTTTGTCCGCTTATGCTTTGTGATGGATCCGCTTCCGCAATAGCATTTAATTCTTCATTTTCCACTTTGGTCTCCGGCCGTTCACGGTTGGTTCTGAAGGTCGAAATTTCCAGAACGAAAACGTTGAAACCAAAAAGCGTTCCGTGTTTTCTTTTGCGACACCAGTGCCCTACACATCATTAATACTTCGAGCTGTTTCTGCAGCACGAATCCACGGTAGAACTCATACTCGTAAATATACCGACATTTCATGTTTTCCATTGTGAAGAATTAAGCAAATCCAAAGAAAAAATATGAGGAAAAACAAATGAATGACATTTAAAATGAATTTATTTTTAAAAATTTTAACTGAAATTCTTAACCAAAGAGGAGATATTTTAGATCAAAGTGGCCAGTAGGACAAAACGCTAATTTCATATGTAAGCACCTAATAATAAATACCTCCTAATAACAGTCTTCCTGATAACAAAAATAAATTTGTATCCTTTTTTATGTTTGAGCGATTACTTGTGGCCTGGGGGCCTTTCCGATTTCACCAGGACAAGCTTACTGGTGGTAGGACCTCTTGGGAGTCCGCACGGGTAGGTACCGCCACCCTGCCTATTTCTGCCGTAAAGCAGTAATGCGTTTCGGCTTGAAGGGTAGGGCAGCCGCTGTAGCTATACTTGAGACCTTAGAACTTATATCTCAAGGTGGATGGCGCATTTACATTGTAGATATCTATAGGCTCCAGTAACCACTTAACACCATGTTGATTGTGAGCTCATCCACCTATCGAAGCAATAAAAAAAAGGTGGACGAGCAAGGGCTCAACGAGGAGGAGTGAGATTTGTCAACAGCTACCCGTCCGCCTCCAAAGAAGACTTAACAACTTAAAGAGTAACTGCTTCATGAACGAATCTACTACCGGATCGGAATCGCGCTCGCTGAGAAGATCGGCGAGAAACTCAGCGGGCTGCTGCACGGGTTAGGTTGCACGGGAAACTCTTTATCGAGTTCGACAAGTACGGTTACCGGGGTCCCTAAGCCTGCTCCTAGTGTTAGAGCTGAAGGCGTCTAATGTAAAGGTTATTGGATCTGATGGATCCGTAAGGACGTGTCTAGGGCCTCGACGGTGACTGGCTCCTGCGTGATCAGGATTCGGGGAGTAGTCAGCGGCGGCAACGATAAAGCGATTATCATGACGCATAGCCTTATCGAAGTATCGTTCCGACGCTGACTTCATGTGTTTGCGTATCGATTCGAAGCCCAGGTCGTCGTGTAGGTCAACGTTCCTCACGAACCACGGAACTTCAACGGCTAACCTGCAAAATCGGGATTGTAGGGATTGGAGGGTGTACAAGTGTGTGCGGACCGCGTGAACGAATTATTTTTCCCCTTAACATATACACCTCTGATCTAGATATATACGATATGTAAAATTTTCCGGTCTTTTGGGCCAATATTGATTAACCAAATATAAATTATGATTGTCTCACTAAATATGACGTCACACAATCCCTAAGCCCGATTTCTGGTAAATAAAACAAATCTCAATTATTTTTTTTATTCTTTATTATATACTTTCACACTACACTGTTACACGAATATATTAGTATGGTATAATATATTAATTATAAATATAATCAAATATTTAATCGAAGTTATGTTGCCTAGATTTTCAACTTTAGACATAACGTTAAGTTCGAACTATAGATTCAATTAATATATAAGGTAGAACAGCGTACAACAATAACTACTTCTATATACTCACAGCATCTACGGGAATGGCTACAAATAACACAATATATTTATGCATAATTTTTCATCGAAAAGCTCAAGAAATGCTTTAATTTTTCATTTTGAGATTCGACACAGATAACCGACTAACTTTAAGGTTTATCTATCATAGGAAAAGCTTATTTTATTTTAACTAAACCGCTTACGTCACGATAATATATATTTATGTAATACCGTCTGAATTTTTTTAAATATTTGTCTCATAAAACATAGCTGTGACAATCTTTATACGACTTAATAGTAATTACTTCTGTGACGGCCTAGATCAGACGGGTTGGTAGTTTTCAGAGCTATCGTTATTTAGATTAGCTAAAATGTTATTCGTATGATACAAAATATATATATATATAAAAGTAAAATTCTAGAAACAAACTTGTAATGATGTAATGAATAAATAAAAACTACGCCTTTACTATTTATTTTAATAAAACATAATTGAAACCTTACCATTTTATTTGATTTTATACGAAAATTAAAAATAATTACTTAGGGTATATCTTTTAATGTTCAAGACTGTAGTCTATTCCATGTGCCTTTCAAACATTTTAAAATAAAAGCAACATTTTTGTAATTAAGACATTCAAAGAAATAAAAATAAAATGCTAAATTTACTAATAAACAAAATAATAAAAATAAAATATTATTACATTATTTTATTATGAATATTCCCTAATCGAAATGAAACGTAAAATTATATACAGCATAGCTATTACATTAAATTGTATTTGTATGGTTTTGTTTTTTGTTTTTTTTGTTGTATTTTTCAAATATTCGTACTCGTTGCGATTCACGAAGCCATTCTGTAACAAAACAATAGACCATATCGAGGGATTACCGACTATTTGGTTTAAGCTCTACACTCACTCCTCTCTCTCTCTCTCTCTCTCTCATATCGTCATTCACACACTCCATCCATGTCTTCTTCGGTCGATTCTAGTCACTGGTGGTAGGACCTCTTGTGAGTCCGCGCGGGTAGGTACCACCGTCCCGCCTATTTCTGCCGTGAAGCAGTAATGCGTTTCGGTTTGAAGAGTGGGGCAACCGTTGTATAGTAACCGGCAAACATCGTGAGCAAATGACCTTGACTGCGCAGAACCGAATTTTAGATCACTTTGGTGGTGAGGGTGAGGCGCGACGGCAGGGGAAATCGTATCGAGCACGTTATTGGTAGATCAGTCGAACCTTGCGTCCCGCACCGCGCCTTCGTTCCGCTTGCTCCCAATAGTACGCTTGCGTACAGTGAAAAGTCTATCGTTATTAATCGTTAAGTTATATTTTGTTATAATTGCTTGTTGACTTTGTTGCCATTGCTATTTGTTGAGTGTTTGTTGATTTTTTATAAAAAATACACTATGCCGCGACAAACTGGTGTAGTATTCAAAAGAAAGGGTAGAAAAATTGTGTACGACGTATATTGCTTCATTATAAAACAGGGGAAGAATGATATTATGGAAAAAGTAAAACAGACTTCGGAAGCAACAAAAACATCAGTGAGTACTGTTAGGTGCATTATTAACGAAGCTAAAGGCTCTGGCTTGCTCATCGTGCTTGGGACTCCGGGTAAGAAAAGATCAGGGAAGAAGAAAGTTACCGGAATGGATAGTTTCGTTCAATCTGTAATAAAAAGATGTAATCATAATAACTACATAACAAGCAGCGAAACTCCGTACCGTAGAAAGGCTTCGAAAATTTTAAAGAAGATATACATTTTAATGGCTCGGAATGAAGTTTACGACGAATTATGAAAGAGCTAGGCTTCAGATGGAAAAAAAAAAACAGAAAATAATCGGAAGCTGGTAATTGAAAAAAGTAACATTCGATTACTACGAATCGAATATCTTAAAAAATAATTAATTATAGACAAAAAAGAAGATCGAACCGACCGAGTCGTAAACTATACCGATGAGCCCTATGTCGACTTATCACGATGATGGCGACTCGGGTGATGAAAACAGTGATGATGATAATGGTCAAGATTATGATAACGAACAAAAATTACAAATACCAGCTTCGCTTCAACTGAACGAAGACCTGGCAACAGCTCTAGTTTTGACTTAATAGAAGGAATATCTATTTTACCCCAAGATTAAATTATTATAATTATTAACCTATATTTTTTATTGATGTTCTAATAAATATATAAATAAATACATATGTTGATTTTAATAATTTAATTGCATTATGACGCAGAGTAAGTAATGTTTTTGCACGTAAGTGTACCATGCGCAAACTTACCCCCACTACGTCAACAAATGCTCAAGAAGTTTGCCGGCTATTATAACTATACTGAGACAGTAAAAAAAGCAATAAAAAAAACCTGTGGCACTCGGGAACTGCCGCGGTAAAGCTATTGCATAGCATTTTATATCAACTTATGCAATTATAATTAGACAATGATAATTTAATATTAAAACAATAATAAAAAAAAGACCACCTATATTAAACATTAATAAAAGCAAAACATTAACTGTCCCCTTCACACTCATAAGCTAGACCGCGCGAGAGAGAGATGGGCAAACTTTTCATGATGCGCATGCAGTGTGACGTCACGCCACGCGCTTATTCACAAACACTACACAAGCGCAACGTGTGAATGTGTTGAACGCGAGCTACATGGTAGGCGAAGTGAGGGGTGTTAGGTTTTTTCGTTAGGAATTTCATGAATTCGGTCGCCGCGCTCAAGGCCCGCGATAAAAGCTATGCAGTATCTTAAAATTTACTGACATATTTTTTACGCCTTGCTAGTTCAATCGTCTTCGCAATCTTGCTTTTCTCTGTCATTCTCTTTTCCTCTTTCTTACCATTTGCTCTCACTGACATCTTAACGCTCCGTTCCACACTCTTTCCATACATTCCGTTCCAATGCTACATACATACGTTTCAAGCAGTAAAGCAGCCGTTGTACTGTCAAAGCTGAGACTTTAGAGCTCATGTCTCAAGGTGGGTGGCGGCATTTACGTTGTAGATGTCTATGGGCTCCACCAAGTTGGCTGTGAGCTCGTCCACTTATCTAAGCAATAAATAAATGAAATAGGTGACGGCATTGACATAGCTGATGTCTGTAGACTCCGGTGACAACTTAACACCAGGTGATGAGCTCGTCCAGCCAATTTAACAATAAAAGAACTCCTGTTTCTCTGCTCACTAGTACTCACCGACCCCGCGTCGCTCAGCACCTGGTCTCGTAGAGTCCGGAGCGTCCGATGTAGCGCACCCACTTGATGACGTCATGGTCCGAGTAATTCAGTTTCGGTTCGAACACCTTCAGGTAGCGGACCTGCCGACCAAACGCGCTCTTTTTATTTTTTTACTGGTGGTAGGACCTCATGTGAGTCCGCACGGGTAGATACCACCACCGCGCCTATTTCTGCCGTGAAGCAGTAATGCGTGGGGCAGCCTTTGTAACTATACTGAGACCTTAGCACTTATATCTCAAGGTGGGTGGCGGCATTTGCGTTGTAAATGTCTATGAGCTCCAGTAACCACTTAGCACCAGGTGGGCTGTGAGCTCGTCCACTCATCTAAGCAATAAAAAAAATCCTACCTAAGCTAATGGGTCTAGGGAGACCATGTCAGCGTAACCTTGACTAGTAGGTGAGCTCACGGGGCTCAAACCTGACGACGATGCTAAAACGAACCCTAGCAAGAGTAGTGCTTCGCAGAATCTACCACCGGATCGGAAACAAGACTCACTGAGAAGATCCGGCGAGAAACTCAGTGGGCTGTGTCTGTGGGTTAATTCGCTCGTCGAGCCCTTCGTCGCAAGCGACGGGTTTGACGAGAATGACGAGAACGGTGACCTTTGCTTGAGGTACCTAAAAGCACCGTTAGTGGATCGGGAGGATCCGAAATGACGTGTTTGGGGCGACGACGACTGTTTAACCATTCAGTCCGTAGAACCGGCTATGTAGTTACCGGAACGCGCCCTCAGTCACAACACAGGAGCACCCGACCGAATGATATAACAATGAGGTTGTTAAGAGAGTTATAACTGTGAATGTGGAAGGCTTTAAAAGAAGTGGTAGACCTAATGCTATGAGCCTAATGGGCTGTGAGATAGTCCACTCATCTAAGCAATAAAAAAAAAAAACAATAACAAGAATTACCTTGAATCCGGAGGGTGCAAAGGGAACTTCGAACCCCATGGAGATGGGCGGGCGCGTCCACTTCTTCTTGGTGTCGGTCTCGAGNAAAAAAAAAAAACAATAACAAGAATTACCTTGAATCCGGAGGGTGCAAAGGGAACTTCGAACCCCATGGAGATGGGCGGGCGCGTCCACTTCTTCTTGGTGTCGGTCTCGAGCAGCTCAATCTCGGCAGACAGCTGGGTCTCCTTCATGCCCGCCATGCGTTTGATCCTGAACATTTTCAAAATTTATTTAAACCGTTAGCACGATTACCTACAGCAAAGTATTTTCTGGAACGAAGTTCCTTATGGGACGATGCGAGATACCCTTACCCGGAAAAAACGTCCGTAACGTAAGATTTTTATTATTTACTAGCGACCCTCGCTTCGTTTCGGAAACATTAAATTTTATTATTGATAGCGGAGTCCCGCGATGTTACCCGCGGTTATATTCGTACCGTGGGTGACGCCACGGGGCGAAGTTAGTCTAAAAAAAGTAGCCTAAGTTACTCCTTATATCATCAGCTGTCTATCAGTGAAAATCCCGTCAAAACGGGTCCAGCCGTTCCAGAGATTAGCCGGAACAAACAGACAGACAGACAGACAAAAATTGTAAAAAATATTATATTGGTATATGTCCGTATATATATATTCATATGCATGTAGTAAAAAGCGGTTATTTCAATACTACAAACAGACACTCCAATTTTATTTATATGTATAGATTAGTATTAGTACTAGCAGACCCGGCAGACTTCGTAGTGCCTCAATCGATAAATAAAAGTCAAAAGGAATCCGTCCAATGGGGGACACATCAAAGGACAAACAAAATTGATATTTTTATTTAATTCCGAGCATTTTCATATTTATCTACCTTTTAAACATTTGTCTTGAATTATTTGTGGATTTCCACAAATAATTCAAGACCAAAATTAGCCAAATCGGTCCAGCCGTTCTCGACTTTTTTAGCGAGACTAACGAACAGCAATTCCTTTTTATATATATAGACAGAAGATAGATTAACAAAAACCCTAAACTTACTTCCATACGATAGCGTTCTCAGAGGCTTTATACTTCGCTTTCCCCTTCAAGCAAATCAGTTGCACCCCGCTGGTGTTCAGCGGAGTTGGAATCTTCACTTCGATCTTCTGTCCGAGCAGGGAGGGCTTGAAGTTACTCTTCAGCACAACTTTGACTTCCATCTTGGTGCGGCCCACCTCCCGCACGAGCGGGATGACGCGAAACGGCAGAGATATGTCTTTTGTGGTGCGATACCTGTTGATAACACGTTTTTTTTTTTCTTATTGCTTAGATGGATGTACGAGCTCAGAGCCCACCTGGTGATAAGTGGTTACTGGAGCCCATAGACATCTACGACGTATATGCGCCACCCACCTCAAGATATAAGTTCTAAGGTTTCAGTAGTGCGTTTCGGTTTGAAGGGTGGGGCAGCCGTTGTAACTATACTTGAGACCTTAGAACTTATATTATTTCAAGGTGGGTGGCGCATTTACGTTGTAGATATTTATGGGCTTCTACTAACGACCTAACACCAGGTGGGATGTGAGCTCGTCTAGCCATCAAAGCAATAAAAAAACTGGGTCCCACGATTTTACCTGCGGTTATTGTTGTGCCGCGGGTGACGCCGCAGGGCGAAGCTTGTCTAAAAAAGCCTGAGTTACTCCTTATATCATCAGCTACCTATCAGTCAAAGTCCCTATATTCTATATCAATATGGGAAATTTCATACTCCTCCGTCCACACAATTTTCATAAAAAGGTTATTAAGTTTTTGCTTCACATATTAATATATAGATTGTTATAACAACATAATATTTATAATGTTTTATTCATAAAAAAAAATTACTACTGCATAAATTGTCTCTACCCACAATTTGTTTTTATCATTTTGTACATACATACTATTTATATAAAAGATATATATATATTTAATCGACTCAGGATAAATAACAGAGCACTAACCTCATGAGCTCAAACTCTCCGTCCGGTGGTATGAAGGAGATGGAATGTTCAGTTTCGAACTTGCTCAGCTTCACGCACTGGTGGAACTGACAGTCGTCAATGACCACTACTGGCTTCCCAGAGCGAGCCGGATCACTGTCCGTGTTACCCGATATGCCTCCTGAACGAATCAGATTTTTAATTTTATATGAAACTAGCTTTTTGCCCGCGACTTCGTCCGCGTGGAATAGTTCATAAATACCTAATGCTTTATTTTAGAACAAATTTGGTTAGCATAAAAAACGTTATAGTGAGCCAACCTTAAGATATACACATATGCGGTCGCGGACTTTTTTTTAAATATTGTAAAGGGGAACAATTCTGTCATACATTATTTTAGCGAAACTTTCACTTTAAATTTTTCAAATCGGACCAGTAGTTCCTGAGATAGCGCGTTCCAACAAACAAACACTTCAGCTTTATAATATTAACTATAGATCAAAATTCAGTGGCCAGACAATCTACTTTTAAATGTTACAGTTTAAATAGTAATAAATTAAAAATATATCATCATCAACATCTTATTAATTACATTAAACTTAAACCAATACTAGTGATGCAAAAATTTGCTGAAAAAGCTGTTATTGGAGGTTCAGATCAAAATCAGTTCTTAATACTAGTTAATATCTCACCATTTCCCTTTCCCTTGGCTTCCATCACGATTTTATCATTGATCCCAAACTTGCACTCTGGCATCCCGGACAGATATGACTTCATGACCACTTTCCCAGCCACGTGAGCAGAGAGCACTTGACCTATTTCAAATTGAATACAATCATAAATTATCTTCAAATCATAATCTTATGGATATTTTTAGAGCTGAATTAAAGAGGGAACAGTTGCCAAAAGTTTGAATGTGACCACGATGTTATTCTGACTTCAATGTGATAATTTTATTTAAATATACAACATTATTAGTCTTTGCAGCTGGCTTTGCTCACATTATAATCCCTCATGAATTGTACTTTTTTTCTGGATGAAGAATCCTTTTTTTTTACCACTAACACACTAATATATTGTAGTATAATAAATGACATGATGATCGGTTAGGTATTTAAAAAATTAAAACATTTCACAAAGAAACTAGTTCACATTTATATTAAAATATTATTATAATATGAATACTGGGTGTGAACATAGCTGGCTCTCTGGGCGTTGTTGAGGGAGTAATGTGCGAGATGAATTGAGTAACATAGTTTAATACACAATCGAAGACAAAGGTTTGCATATTCACTGCAAAAAAGAAAGCATGCGTCAGATTCACACAATTGCGAGAATCGAACCTGAAATATTTTCTATTTAGCATTGATTAAATTTCAGGTGTACAGTAAGCATAGCCAGTCTTATTCTTTATATGACAACAATAGGTTTTTGGGCAATTTGAAGTGTTACACATGTACTGGGAAAAGTATTTTAGCTTATAAATAATTTGACTGAGCCTTACCTTGCGGTGACATCAACAAGTTGACATACTCTAATACATCAAGGAACAGCTCGTTTCGTCTGTACTTAATGCCTTCACGGCGCCAGCCAATCTGACCAGTTACCTTTGAATAAACAAATTTTAAAATTATGGGAACGGCTAAAGACTAGAGATGAAACGGGTATTCGGTAACTATCCGGTATCAGGCCTATGTTTTCACTATCCGGCCGGATACCGGATAGTAAACCAGTATCCGGCCGGATTTCGGATAGTAAAATTTAAGAAAATCTCATGGTTATACAAAAGCCAAATAATACCACAATAGACAGCTTTTTATAATCGCACGTCAAAAGTGATTGTTTTATCAATTAGTTTTTACTCAAAATTAACCAGTGGCAAATTGTGGTGAACGAATACTAAATCGTCGTCGTACCGAGTTGTCGCGATCTCCACTTACGTGCGACAACACCCGAACGCGCACGAATATTTCCGAAAGTTGATTTGAAAGTTTTAATTGATCAGATTTGAAAAAAAAAGGCCGAATATTCGGTATCTGGTATCCGGCCAAACTACTATCCGTTTCATCTCTACTAAAGACCTTATACGGAAAATTAAGTAACACTGTGCATCGCTTGTAACAGAAATAAAGAAGACACACGTTCTAGTTTCAAGAGTTGGATGACCGTTAATTTAATGCAACAAAGATTTGACAATGTGTGTCAAGATCATCCGCTGGACACTTCTTGACGACACAGGCTATCATTAACATTAATTGTGCACAGCAAAACAAAAATATTATTGTACACATTTTTGAGTGACTACGCTGATACTACAATGGTGGTAGAATCTCTTGTGAGTCCGCACGGGTAGGTACCAGCACCGTGCCTATTTCTGCCGTGAAGCGTTTCGGTTTGAAGGGTGGAGCAGCCTTGTAACTATACTTGAGACCTTAGAACTTATATCTCAGCATGGGTGGGGCATTTACGTCGTAGATGCCTATGGGCTCCAGTAACCACTTAACACCAGGTGGGCTGTGAGCTCGTCCACCCATCTAAGCAATAAAAAAAGATAAATAAGGAAATTATTTTTTAATAATTAAATTACTTACTTGTGAGGTAATCTGGGCTTGTTCCTCCTTGGAGGCAGACTTGATGCCCTGCTGAGTGATGAATGTCTTCAGGACCCCAGTATCAGAATTCTGAGGGTAACCAAAGTCCAAGATCTCTGCAATGTTAATTTTTAAAGGCTAAAATGCACAACATACAGTCTCACTAGAAATTTTTAGTACCATACTAGAAAGGAAAGCAATTCAAGATGGGTAATTCTATATTCAATCTAAATATGGGGTTTGACATCTTAAATTCTTGTATACAATTCTTTAGGTGAGACTTCTATGTAGGGACACGTAAGCGCTTGCACATGCAATTATTGCATTATGCTGCACCAGTTGCCCGGCGCCGCTCATTATGTAAACACATGTACCATCTTACGGAATAAACGGTGTCTTTCATTACTGTGTATTAGTTCTTTATTATTGATGTCACAATTGGTAACAACATCTACAGAAGTGACCCAAAATTCTTGATCATGTTGATCTGTGTTTCGTCCTTTTCTTGATAGATTCTTCTACAAGTTACCCTATATTATGTACTCACCATCAAGCAACTCATAGATCAGAACAAAGTTATTCTTGATGTTCTCTTCAGAAATCTTGCCAAAATATGATTGCATCACATCAATGATCTTCAACAGGAACTCAAACACCATAGCCGCGTTCACATTTTGCTTTGTTACTGCTGCCAGCCAAATATTTGCACGCTACAAATCAAATTTATTTTGAATATTTAAGCATATAGTTTGCCTATGTAAAATATTCAACTATATTCTCTGCTTCAACTCTGGTTTGACACTGTATACAAATATTTTATATGGATTTCCTAAGAAAATTAAAGGCTTATTAAATATTTTTATTGCCTTCATAGTGGCCAAATCATGGACACCAGGAGCACAAAAAAATGTATGTAGGTATGTACGTATATGTATATGTCATTATGTATATATATATGGAATGCAGGCTATCTTATATTCTTCAAATTAGAACACATGATTTATTTCTACAAAAAAACTGTTAGCAGAAGTTCATAAAAAAAATTGTAACGGTACCTTGATATGGAAGAAAGATGTGCGTGCGATGTTGGTAACAGGTGATCGCACCTGCTGGCGAGCATGGATCACATTCACTCTGAATGCGTCCACAGCATTACGGCCAATATCATCTCGGTAGACTCTCGAGATCAACACCTCGCCTTTATGGTTATAAACGAACAAGCCCCCGATCATTGTGGGTGAGGCCTAAAGAATGAAAGAATGAAGAATGGTCTTTAAGCTCTAAACTTTAGGTTTTAATTGTCTAAAGAGCAGCATTTTACGATTTAAATGGTTAAATTTTTGTTTTTATACAGCTATCCACTAATTGCTCTCAAAGTTACATGTATTTTTTTTGGTACAAATCCCTTCATTTGTTTTTGGGGTGAACTTTTTGCAGATATTCAATCTTTTGTTGTATGACTTGCAGAAACCATATACCATTTATTCAGAAAATTGGAAGTGTTTGGTGCAATATCCTACACAGTTATCAAAGATTATTAACAATGGAATGAAAAGTGAGTATCACTTCTTGAGAAACATTGTAGTAATGACTAAGGTAATGGTGTCACCAACCTGTGTGTGTAAGATTTACAGCAAGTACTTAAGATACAAGTCAAAAGAATAAGTAGAATTATTTAAGACAATGTAGTAAGGATTTAAGGGTTAGTACTACAGATTTCAGGCGGAGAAGCGGCTGTGGAATATCTATTAGGGTGCCAAGGCCACATACCTGTATCTCTAGCCTGATTGCCAGATTAACTACCATCAGAAGGGCTAAGTGACGACCTTGTATCAAATAGTAACCAGACCCTATAGATATCCTGACCCTCCTTGAAACGTAAGGTTGAGGTTTGTGTTGTACAAGAGCTGTCCCACCCTCTAAGCCTGAACGCTTCGTAAAACGAATAGAAAGAATGGTGGAACCTAATCGCTGACTCTCACGATGAAAACAATACGCTAAGAATAATTACCCAACACGACAAAAAGTATGGGCGAACGTCCCAGAATCCCAACAACAGAAGTACCCACATACATTATGGAAAATAAATCGAATAAATACACGTTAATTTGTTGTTGTTGAATTTTATTTGTTGGTTTTATCAAGATATTTACAAATAAATTAATAAAACAGAAATAAGAAATACATTAAAAAAACAGGGCCTTCATTTGTGATATGAAAATTTATTAAAAACGCTTACCTCACACTCTTTCAAAATTGGTTTCAATGTAATTGCTATTCAGCGATTACATCCCTTTAGAAATTCAACGTAATGTAGGCAGCATTTTTCTCATTAGAGAATTATTCAACCCAAAAATGAGCCGCCCCCAAATTGAAACGTCAATTGTTACTTTTTTAAAGTTTGCTTCCGACCATTGGCTACTCGACTCTTTAGCCTTAAAACAAACAATCTTTTTCAAGCTATTAAAATGTTCTCACCAAACTGCTGAAATTATACTGAGACTATTAAAATACCGCTAAAATGTCAACACAATACAATGTAACGCCATTTTTCTGATGGCAGCTGAATGATATTGTTGTCCGTTGAGACAGTATCAAAAAACTAATGAGAAACAATGTCCTGTATTTTTTTTATATTTCCTTACACTCGTACAATATTGAAAATATTAAAAAATCCAGTAAGCTATATTTTTCACAGATTCAATCAGAAGAATTACTGAATTGGCAATAAATCAATATAAACAACATATATTTTTAGATTTCCACCAATTGTGGAAATGTGCATCACAAAGTGCATGCCATGGATAATTTGTTGAAGAAAGAAAAGGAAAAAAATTCACGCACTGACCTTCCCTAACATAAATATAAGTTGCTTGCATTCTACATTAAAATTAATATTAAAACTCATAATCTATGACACCAAAATGAAAACGACAAAAGTCGGAGTTTGAAATGTATTTTTTATCAGTAACCCAGTTAATTTAAATTGAATTGTTTCAAGCCAATGAAGCTATGGAAATAAGCGATATTTTAGGTATTTGAATGTTTCGTGTTAACTAAGACTTTATAAACATAGGTAGTACAAAATGCGCAAAAAAACGCCTTTCATTTTATACTGAGCAACATCACTCATGGAAGTCTGATTTTGTGAAATATTATCGATGACAGACTGTCTTCTAGCAGACTATATAATGCTAGGAGACAGGGTATTTCACAACATTTTGTATTCAACCTTATAGCGAGCAGTCGCGTTTACAAAATGTTTCGTCTTTTTGTTTATTTAAATATTTTAGGCGCTTTTTTAGTGACCGGTTTGCATATCGTGGAACCGGGACCCGAATATCCAGCATCGAAAGGTGCAATTTGGCCAAGACCGCAAATGCAATCGATAGAAATTCCTTATTACAAATTTGATAGTGATATACTCGAAATTAAGGTAACTTTTTCTTTCTCCTAATAATTATGAGCTTATTTAAACAATACTGTTTTTGTTTTTGTGAAAGTTAATGATTTTTCCAAATGTTTATTTTGTGTGTTTTCATACATTTGGCGGAATAGCGATTGCACTTAGCACACGGTTAAACTTTACATCCTGCTTATTGCTGCCATGAAGTAGGGACATGTTTCACTTTGAATATTAACACAGTCATGATTGATTACTATGAGACTTGGGTGTTGGCATTGACATTGTAAGATCTATGGACCTCAATGACCACTTAACATCATATGAGCCGCTACGTAATACGCGTGGCTGTTATTACATTTACTTAACAGTACTTAATATTTATTACTTTTTATCAGCTATTTGATAGTAGGTACCTCTATCATTGCCGATGTCTATGAGTAGCGCTGACACCTTTTCATCAACGGCACCTTATGTTCGTATGGATTCGTAAACAAAAAAAATCATAACCATTTTTAGGGTTCCGTAGTCACTTAACTAAAAACTAATTCTGTTTGATTTATTTTAAAGCGGAACGTATTACTACTTTGTGATAGACATGGGCAGGATAGTTATGGCTTCCGTTTTCGAGCTTACAGTACAGTACTACTAATTGGTAGTCGCTCCATGCACCACTACCAGTCGGTACTTCCGTCAAATCCGTCATTTACTGGTGCTAGGACCTCTTGTGAGTCCGCACGGGTAGGTACCACCACCCCGCCTATTTCTGCCGTGAAGCAGTAATGCGTTTCGGTTTGAAGGGTGGGGCAGCCGTTGTAACTATACTGAGACCTTAGAACTTATATCTCAAGGTGGGTGGCGCATTTACGTTGTAGATGTCTATGAGCTCCAGTAACCACTTAACACCAGGTGGGCTGTGAGCTCGTCCACCCATCTAAGAAAAAAATAAATAAATAAATAAAGTAGGATTTGAATAGCGGCATGGTCGCATTGCTTGATACGGGTAGATTAGCCCACTGAGTTTCTCGCCGGATCTTCTCAGTGGGTCGCGATTCCGATCCGGTGGTAGATTCTGCGAATCACCACCTTTGCTACGACCAGTGTTAATAAATTCGTCAGGTCTACACGTTCGCTGAACTAGTATAACCCCTCGAGGTTACTAGGGTATGTAATAAAACCCGTGCGTTTTATCCTTTAATTTTTTTTCCTACCTAAGCTGATAGCCTTGAGAGGCTATTTCAGCGGAACCTTGACTAGTAGGTGAGCTCACGGGGCTCAAACCTGATGACGTTGCTAACACGAACCCTAGCAAGAGACGTGCTTCGCAGAATCTACCACCGGATCGGAAACGCGACCCACTGAGAAGATCCGGCGAGAAACTCAGTGGACTGTATCTGAGGGTTAATTTACTCGTCGAGCCCTTCATCGCAAGCGACGGGTTCGACGAGAACGATGACCGGTGCTTGAGGTACTTAAAAGCACCGTTAGTGGATCGGGAGGATCCGAAATGACGTGTTTGGGGTGACGTCGACTGCTTTCCATTCTTTCCGCAGGATCGGGAATGTAGTTACCGGCGGCCTCGATGAGAGGGTTCTCGTGTCGTGCCGCTTTATCGAAGTGGTATCCTATAAGCTAAGACGACTTCAAACGGGTTGCGATTAGTTTGAAAACGATAACACATTGAGTACTATTAATAAATTAGATAGTTGTATGAATACGTTGATTAGAATTGACCCAAAAAAAATTATTGTGAGCCATAAAATGTATGACTTGGCCGATAGATAGTTCATATTTATTTTAGATATTGACAATGCACTTGTAAGTGTTAAGGGAAGCTCCAAATATATTTATCGCTATATTTATCGTAATCCAAATAAAGTGCGTCTTCAACACTCTGTTTAATTACCCAAATATTTAAAGTTGTTTCGAAATAAAAACACCGGACGCTAAAAACGCATAGTGATTATGAGTTAGCTTTTTTTGTATTTTATGCGGCGCGAATGGGCTGGTGACGTCATCGAATACCTTAGTATTACGTAGTGTACTTTACGTTAATAGCAAACAGTCGCCAATACACCTGTAGTTCTTTGTATTTGTTTTTAAAGTAGTGTTTGTTTTCTATCGTTAACGCTTAAAGGAACGAAGACAAATGTATGGGGTTTGATCAGAGGTCAGCAACCGCGGTATGCGAGCCGCGTGTGGCTCTTTGACTCCTCGGCTGCGAATCTTCCGCGAAATGCTTAGTTCAGGCACGGAATATTACTTATTATCTATATGTAGGCTATACTATAACAATATATACATATGTATGTAATGTAGTGTGTATGTAATTGTACTCAAAGGACAGGGTATCGTAGTTTTAAAATAGATCATCGTGTGTACTATATCTCTGTATATTTATTAATTAAAAAAGAGTTCATTCTAGTTATTTGAAGTCGATAAGTACGATTCATCCGCGATATACAAACAGGCCGGGTTGTTGTTTAATCGGCCATCGTGGCAAATGATAGGTGACACATTGACACTACTACGGAAATGCCAATTGTGCGATGAGCAGTCTTTATATCTGGAATACAAACTATGTATTACTGGTGATAGAACGTCTTGGGAGCCCGCAAAGGTGGATATTACCATCCTGCTTATATCTGCCGCGATATGCTGCTTATAACTGCCGCAGCCGTTTCGTTTTAAAAGGCAGGACCTCCGTTAGTTGCGACTTCGAACTCATGACTCACATTGAATTACGATCACATGTCTTGTGGGCCCAAACAACTAGTTTGTCGCTTATCTCACGTTTATTGTTGCTATTATATTGTTTTTAATGTTTCCAACACTAACAGTTTTCGTGGCCACAAATGACAGAGGCAATTTATGAGCAGACTTTTGATTTTATCATGGTCAATTTTCTATTTGGTTAACTAATCTAAATTAAAAAAGCAAGTACATATTTTAATAATTCTTTATTGGCCATTTATTTTAGTTGTTATTATTATTATTATTATATTTTCAGTCCTTTCACTCGCAATCTTTCGAATTCTAGTTGCATTACCTATCTCGGCACAATAAGCTAATAGAAACTCTAAATAAACACATCAACTAGTCAACTTCAAAATTCTACTATAATTAACCATAGACTACATTACGTTTAGATGTCAGTTGCGTTTTGTTATTCCATATCAGTTGTGTTTTGTCATACCATGTTTTACGTCACGTGCCACGGGAACGTGATGAAAAGTATCCTATGTCCTTCTCCTGATCCTAAGCTACCTCCCCACCAATTTTCAGCCAAATCAGTTCAGCCGTTTTTGAGTTATAAATAGTGTAACTAACACGACTTTCTTATAGATATATAGATTCTGATATTACCGACGTTTCATGTGTTCCACAGTTTTCGTGTTCGAATTAAAATAGTCAAAATGACGTGGTCAATATTTTCCCAGAAATCCAACAAGCGGCACTTCCTCAAACACGTGACGTCATTTCCCGTCAATTGACTTCACACTTAGATTTTTTGCTGACAGCACTTCACGCGAATTAACTATGTAGTTTGAACGGATCTACAAATGTTATTATTTCTCGTGCTTATTTTGAAATGCTGTCCATTTTTAAACTCGTTATTACAAGATAATATTTACTTATGGTAACGAAGTGCAAACAAATCTGTTATTAGAGTGTATTGTCAGTACACACGGGCAGATTACCCCTATCATACCTATTTCTACCGAAGCATTAATTTTTTCCTGTTTTTATGGTGGGATAGCCCCCTTCAGACTCATAGTTGAAACTGATTCGAATTCTTAAGGCGGATGGGGAATTTAGCTTATGCTCTACACGGGCTTTTCTATCTAAAGAATCTAAAGAAGGTATATCCATGGTACTGATGTAAATACATTGTATAATTGTTTAACTCAGTGTTCCATGGTTGGATGTGCTCACGGCTCATCTGGTGTTAAGTGGTTGTCGGAGCCCGAAGTCATCTATAATGTAAATACCGCCACCCACCTTGAAACATGAGTTCTAAGATCTCAGTGTTTACAATACAACGGCTGCCCTATCTTTCAAACCTAAATGCATTATTGCTTTACAGCAGAAATAGGGAGTGGTGATATCTACTCTTGGGGGCTCGCAAGACGCCATACCACCAATATTTCGTTTGAAGACGAGGACAAACCGTAAACCAATTTCTTAAAAATAAATTGAATGCAAATAAAAACAAAGTGTTGAGAAATGTCGTGGATTTAACAGAAAAAAACCTTTGATCTTCGCATTTGAGTTTCCGAAACTTCAGGCCTATTAGATACATCATCAACTAATCGGCTTCGCTTATAACTCCAGTGCCGCATCACGTCACCGTATGACTTATTAAAATTAAATCCGTTGGTTTACTTTCCAGGTAGTCGATCACGATTGCCCTATTCTGTCGAATGCCGTCCAACGGAGTCTGGCGGTACTGAGAGAGATGCTCCGAATCGCGAGTCCGTATGTAAACCGCAATGCGCCACAACAGGTCTTAGATGATGATACATACGACGGACCACTGAAGAGTCTAAGCATTTACTTGACATCACCCTGTGAAGAGTATCCGCATTTCGGCATGATCGAGAGCTGTGAGTGTTGAATTTTGTAAAAGCTTAAATTATGTTCTTTTTCTCATTAACAATGCTTGTAAGCTGGTGATAGGCTGACTCTATTTACAACCATAGCGGCGCGTACGCAGTGACATTGAAAATAGCTCATTCCTATGACATTAGTACAACAGCCATAATTGAATGGTATAATAAGACCCCTCTATTGCCATCGAAGTGTGGAATCGTAAACAGTTATCGCTCCTTCCTGACTGAGTCCTTCCTCGCCCACCTGTCCTGGTGAAACTGGAAAGGCCTTCGGGCCACAAGTAATCGTTCCTTAATAAAAAAAAGTATTAATAAACACGAAATCGATGTTATAAAACCTTTGGCTTAAAAAGCTTTGTAGTGTAAATGATAAGACGACCGCTGTTTGTTACTAGTATCGAAGGATGCGACTTTACCGCTGTTAAAATAACATGACAGGTATATTCTATTTGTCTAAGGTCTACGTCCCTATTACGTGATCGCTTACTACTTTACAATAAATAGCATCATGTAAAAAAAATTATAATCCACAAAAATGTTCTATGGGCTTCATTATTCATGTTTCCACACCCATAACCCACTGGGATTCTCGCTGTCGATCTTCTTAAAGGGTCACGATTCCGATCCGGTGGTAGATTCTGCGAAGCACTGCTCCTACTAGAGCTAGTGTTAACAAATTCTCTGAGGTAGAGACCGTGAGCTCACCTACCCGTCCGCGCGAAGCTGGAGTAACTCCTTAGGTTACCAGCGAATAGGCATAAGAAATCCTGTAATACCAGGTAGGTGATGAGCTCGTCCATACAGTTAAATAAATAATAGTTTAAAAAAACTAGCAAAATACGCTTTTATAGAAAATCTAACTAATAGAAAATAAATTTTAATAAATTTGAATTAAAAATAGTGTAAGTGATTTTATTGTAAAAAAAGCGTGGGGTGCTTTTCAAGATAATATCAAAATAACCCTTCTAGTTATATCTGTTCATAAAATATTTATAACTACTTATACCATGCACCCCACGCTTTTTTTACAACAAAATCATATTTTCTTACACTATTTTTAATTCAAATTTATTTTCTAATTTTTTAGTTGGATTTTCTATAAAAGCGTATTTTGTTAGTTTTTGAAACTATTATTTTTCTTTCATTTTTTATATTGAATTGTCATCGGTCCTTAATAAGTATACCAAAGCTCGAGTTAATCCGACGTTTTGAAGGGGGTCAAAATCATGTTCAAAGATTCCGTTACAAACATACATACATACATCTGAAGCTAATAAAAGCGTAGTAAAAAATAAAAAATCCATCGTGAGATCTTTCTATACCTACTTTGATGATACGACGGAGAAATAACGTCTGAAAGCGCGTTATATAATATTTTCCTAGTAACAAGATCTAAGATTATAAAAACCGCAACCCCCCTTGCCTGAGGCGATATAACATTCACGTCGACGAGGTCATAAAGCCATCTGCCTACTGATAAAATATTTTGTATTATTTCCTCTTTATCATCTCAGTATGTCTTAGATATGTTTTTTGTTTGTTTTAAAAACATTTGAGATTCAAATCGATTGGCGGTCGAGACTGATAAAATGGTTAAACTTGTCGGGCAAGTTCCGACATCCAGAATGCGCATAGCAACTGTTTACAACAGTCAAGACATTTACGTTGTGGTTGATTGATTCTTTACATGAATGAACTTACAACTTACAACACTGAAAAAAAACCCGTCGAAACTGTTCGCCTCGTTGGTCAAGACTGTAAGCTCGTACAGCCATGTGATTTGAAGGGTCCGCCATAATATTCCCTGTCCCATTCAGACTTCGAACTCATGTCATAATTCCGCTCACCACTTAAGATGTAGAATAACTCTGTTCAACTCCTCCTCCTTGCTTCGATAACCTTCAATGCTGAGGGTCGTGGCCTCATGAGGCTTTCTTCGGAAAATCCACATGGCGGAGTCCCTTGTCCTTCCACGGCAGTGATTTGGAAGAGATTTAGTTCTTCGAGGCCGCTGAAGCCTTATTTGGATAATACACACATTTGTTTTGACGTTTTCAGACAATCTGACGATCGCCGCTGACAGCACACTCAGGAGCTCATCGATATGGGGAATACTGAGAGGCTTGGAAAGTTGGACGCACCTGTTTCATCTCTCAGATAATCGTGATGTAAGATGTTATAGAAATTTACATGAAACATATTTTACAGTTAGAAGATAAGCGCACGATTTAAAAATTACTGATACAAAGTCTTATTTACATTGTGACGTTGTTACCATTAACTACTTTTTTATTTTATTTTCCTACCTATGCTGATAGCCTTGAGAGGCTATTTCAGCTTCACCCTAACGTGTGCAGGTGAGCTCACGGGGCTCAAACCGTAGTGTTGCTAACACTGACCCTAGCAAGAGCAGTGCTTCGCAGAATCTACCACCGGATCGGAAACACGACCCACTGAGAAGATCCGGCGAGAAACTCAGTGGGCTGTGTCTATGGGTTAATTCGCTCGTCGAGCCCTTCGTCGCAAGCGACGGGTTTGACGGGGACGGTGACCGGTGCTTGTGGTGCCTAAAAGCACCGTTAATGGATCGGGAGGATCCGTAATGACGTGCTTTGGGTGACGTCGACTGTTTACCATTCGGTCTACATGATCGGGTATGTAGCTTTCAGCGGCCACGACAAGAGGGTTCTCATGTCGTGCCGCCTACTCGAAATGGCGCAATGATGCCGACTGTAGATACTCACTAACAGAGTCGAGCTCCAGGTCATCGTAACTACTAAACACCTACGCATCTTTGAGTTTCGGGCTAAATCTGTATTCTTCATTGATTCAGAGAAAAACCAGCACACTTTTGACTTTATTATCTTGATTACTTAGACTAAAGTAGAGCTGGAAATGTCTGTAACGCGAACCTATCTCACGAAGATTTTGATCTACTGCTTTTTATATTGAACAATATCCATAGTTTCGAACATTTTATCGTTTTCGTAGTCATTTCAAATCTTCCCGATCCACTATCCGTGCTTTTAGCCATTCCAAGCACTGGTCACCGTTCTCGTCGAATCCGTAGAAAGCAACGAAGGGCTTGTGGAGAAATTTTACCCAGAGACACAACCCACTGAGTTTCTCGCCGGTCATGATTACGATCCAGTGGTAGATTAAGCAAATTACTGCTCTCGCTAGGCCTAGTATTGGAAAATTCGTCAAGATGAGCCCCGTAAGCTCGCCAACACGTTCGATAGCTTTTTTTTTTCTACCTAAATTGATAGCCTTGAGAGGCTATTTCAGCGTAACCTTAACTAGTAGGTGAGTTCACGGGGCTCAAATCGTAGTGTTGCTAACACTGACCCTAGCAAGAGCAGTGCTTCGCAGAATCTAACACCGGATCGGAAACGCGACCCACTGAGAAGATCCGGCGAGAAACTCAGTGGGCTGTGTCTGAGGGTTAATTTACTCGACGAGCCCCTCGTCGCAAGCGACGGGTTCGACGAGAACGGTGACCGGTTCGGTAGCTAAATTAAACTTACACCTCAAAGCTAACAGAATAGGTAAGGGAAAAAAGGGTTTCCTATTACGTTTTGTCAAGTATTTTAATTGAATATCGCACTAAATAATGTCAAAGTAATTTGTCGACTTCTACGCAGTGGCGACGAGCGTCTGACGGTTTGCTGAACTTGAAGCCTTATGTTGGGCTGTCATTTTTATTAGTATTACCCTTTTAGAGAATAGAATTCCCTGAAATGGGACTTTTCACGTAATGATTTTTTCTGTCGGAAGTTACAAATGAGTCCATTATTAGGCCTTAAGTTTATAGTTAATTTACAGTTCAATAAATGTTCTTGTCAAATTGGGGTTAAATGCAAACGAAATACGATTTTTTCTATTGCTTAGATGGATGGACGAGCTCACAGGCCACCTGGTTTTAAGTGGTTACCGGAGCCCACAGACGTCTAATACGTAAACGCCGCCACCTGCCTTGAGCACGAGTTGTAAGGTCTAACTTTTAACAGTACAACGGCTGCCCCGCCCTTCAAACCGAAACGCATTACTGCTTCACGGCAGAAATAGTGGTACCTACCCGTGTGGACTCACAAGACGTCCTACCACCAGTAAAAATCTGATGTTATCTGTCTTATATTAGATGAAATTAGATCCGATGTTAGCTGTTCGTAAAGGAACGAAAAAAATCAAATATGAATATTAAAATGAACTGTTAAAAAAATTGAACTGACCAAAAATAAAACAAAATTAAGTTGAATGTTTTGAAACGAAAGTAACTTGAAAAAATTACAATTGTATATTTACCCAAACCAATTTATTCCGCTACGTCCATTTCAAACCTGGAATTTTGGATATATTATCTTCAAGTGACTAGACTTTGTGAAACCTTTTAATAATCAGAGAAACTTTTACTCCATCCCATACTCTGGGCTATTTGAATTTGTACGAACAATAACCTTTTAGGTTCACTTTAGTTGTCCTTATCAGATGTCTATTAGCTATAAATCATTTAAACTCAATGATCAAGGCTATGGCCTATTAGATAAGTCAGATATTCAAATCAGGGTAAATTTGACAGAAAAGTCCGTCACAATTCTGATTCAACTCTATATTATAAAACGGACGGCGGTGTATTTACTTACTATTTGTATTGGTTGGTGATAGACAATATTATAAAGCTCCACGGATAGCTATCGCCGTGCCTATTTCTAGTGCAAAGCAGTCATGCGTAGGGTGAGAAAACGATAAAAGTTAAGACTTCACACTCTTGTATGAAGGAGGTTAACGGTATTTCCACATCTGGTAAGCATTTATAAAAACAAGGGCTGAGAGCTCGAAAGCCCGTTTCCGCAATTTAAATGATATGGTCCTATGGCCGTTCAATACCCAGTAAACCTATGGAGGGTAGAGGTAAAGAGAACCGTCTCTATGTGTTAAAACTGTCCGTTAAAATCTGCTAAATAAAGGTGGCGCTACAGTAGCAACCGGGTAAATTAAAAAAAAAGCCCCGAAAGTTATTAGAGTAAGATAGAGAAATAAAAATCACAAAAAGTATTTTATTTAAAGCTTATAAGAAAATGCAATCGATGTCTCCACGTTTTACCACAGCAATTTTAGGTTATATTGGCGAAATTAGTTTGGACTACGTAAACATGTGAGGTCTTGTATATTACACTGTCACTAACTACTCTAGTCATTAAATATATTAAATTTTCTAACTCAGGATACTTCAATCGGTTAACAACTGCTCAATTCATATCATACCCTGTGCCTACGCTAGCGCCATTATGGAGGATTTTTGAACTGTTATTTAGTGCTGAAAGTGGGACACTTTTTCAAGCTTCCTCCCATATGAGACGGTTCTCCTTACCTCTACCCTCCATAAATAAAACGTAAACTCAATTGCCAATCTTACATTGATACAAAAAGTTAAAAGAAGAAATGTAAGCCTAAAACTGGAAGAGACTAATTTTACAATTTTCTTTCCAGCAATTGCACATTAACAAAGGTGAAGTTCACGACTTTCCCCGTTACGCTCACAGAGGACTGCTCGTTGACACATCACGCCATTACATCTCAATGTCTAATATCCTACTCATTTTGGACGCTATGGCCATGAACAAGATGAACGTTTTTCACTGGCACATTGTTGACGACCAGAGCTTCCCATATCAGAGCGAAAGGTTTCCCGATTTGAGGTATATTTTTGACCACTACTTATTTATAGATCTGTAACTGATAATAATAAAAAAACAGAACTTTTCATCGTTTGGTCCCGTAATATGATAAAAAATTAAAGTATTAACTTTCTTTACGGTGTTGACGGTACATGACCGCATCCCACATTTTGGCGGCAAATTGAAAACTTCATAACCAAAGAATTTCTCATGTAAATCAATGCATTAATAGATTAATAGCTATGTCACTCACTATCTCCCACAATCTCGATATTACGGATTTATAAGTCAATTTCCTTGGTTTAAGAAGGAATTTTGACTTTCTTTAAAATGTTGACGGTACATGGCAGCGTCCCACATTTTGGCGGGTAATTTGGAAACTTGTTAACCTTAAAAATATTTTTTTATGTAAATCAATGCATATTAATAGTTATGCCACTATCATATTTATATTTATAATTCAATTTCCTTAGTCTAATTTAATTTCGTCAAAAAAGAACATACGTTTATAGGAAAAAGGAATTTTATATTCATCGGTGTGCTTAGTGCGAGTTTTTTAACGTTCTCGATAGCGTAAAAGTTAGCTCATGTTTGTATGGAATGGGATCGTTTGCCTACGTTTGCCGCTAGGGGCGCTGTTCCAACTGCATACTAAATTGGCTTAACTTTTACGCTATCGAGAACGTTAAGAAGCTCACACTAAGCAAACTGATCACGCTTTTGCTTATAGCCGTCTGGGAGCCTATCACGAGACCTTGGTTTACACCAAGGAAAACATTCAGACGGTTATCGACCACGCAAGGAACAGAGGGATCAGGGTTATTCCTGAATTCGATGTACCCGGTAAATTTAAATATTCATTTTTTTGTTTTAGTTTATTTTTGTTCTCGTTACGTAGAATTTAAGATTTCCGCCATTATTAAACAACCGTCGCTAACACCATCATAGGTACAGGCACGTAACAGTCAAGACAAAGAACGTGGCGATCTGTACCAGTACTCAAGTACTCAGGCGGCAATCGCGCTGTGATGTCCATGCGAACCACCTTCAGACACAACCCACTGACTTTCTCACCGGATCTTCTCAGTGGGCTGCGATTCCGATCCGGTGGTAGATTCTGCGAAGCACTGCTCTTGCTGGAGATGGTGTTAGCAAATTCTCTCAGGTTGAGCTCGTGAACTGACCTGTCCATCTGCACGAAGCTGGAATTACCTCTTAGGCTAAGGCTACCGGCGAATAGACAGGGAAAAAGATCATTATATGCTGCGCGGTCTTTTGTATACGCTATATTTAATCAGTACAGACAGTCTACAAGAATCGTTGGTCTAGGTCACACAAGGTCCTGGGGTGTAGCCAAACCCGACCTCCTGACACATTGCTACGACCAAGACGGTGACTACGTGGGTCTCGGTCCGATGAACCCAATCAAGGACAGCACATACACCTTCCTGCAGGAACTGTTTCATGAGGTCCAGGCCTTGTTTCCGGAGAGATACATTCACATCGGAGGTGATGAAGTCGATCTAGATTGCTGGTAAGTCAAACTTATAACTAAATATTTAAATTAACAATGGCAAAAAAAACAAGGTAGATACCTTGTTTTTTTGTAAGTCGTCGTGCCTAAAGGATAAGACGTCCGTAGCATTATGCACTGGTGATCGAATCCCAGGCGGGTACCAATTTTTCTAATGAAATACGTACTCAACAAATGTTCTCAATTGACTTCCACTGTGAAGGAATAACATCGTGTAATAAAAATCAAACCCGCAAAATTATGATTTGCGTAATTACTGGTGGTAGGACGTCTTGAGAGTCCGCACGGGTAGATACCATCACCCTGCCTATTTCTGCCGTGAAACAGTAATGCGTATCGGTTTGAAAGGTTGGGCAGCCGTTGTAACTATACTAAGACCTTAGAACTGCTATCTCAAGGTGGGTAGCGCGATTACGTCGTAGATGTTTATGGGCTCCAGTAACCATGTAACACCAGGTGGGCTGTGAGCTCGTCCACCCATCTAAGCAATAAAAAAAAACCTGACTAGAGTATATTTTTGTTGACAGGGAGTCGAATCCAGAATTCCAGAGATACATACAAGAGCACAACCTGACTTCGGTAGCTGATTTTCACGCTTTATTCATGCGCAACACGATTCCTCTGCTCAGCGAAAACTCGAGACCGATTGTGTGGCAGGTTTGTGTTTGAACTGACAGGAACATAGGCATTGTCGGCGCAAAATAATTGTATTCGGTCACCGTCCTCGTCGAACCCGTCGCTTGCGACGAAAGGCTCGACGAGAAAATTAGGCCATAGACACAGCCTACTGAGTTTCTCACCGAATCTTCTCAGTGGGTCGCGTTTCCGATCCGGTAGTAGATTCTGCGAAGCACTGCTCTTGCTAGGGCCAGTGCTAGCAACACTCTGGTTTGAGCCCCATGAGCTCACCTACACGTTAGGGTGAAGATGAAATAGCTTCTCAAGACTAACAGCATAGGTAGGAAAAGAAATTGCATGTGTATCTATCTATCTATCTATTATTCACGTAGGCAGTGAAAAATGTCAATATAGTTTCAATGCGAGAATGAGATTGATAAAAGATAACTTATATCACTCTCCTGACCGGATCTATTTCCTACGTGGTCAGGGAAAAGTGTTAGCGTAGTTTCCCTGCGCGAATGAGATGTTTTTTCGGGATAAAAGTTAACCCATGCCACCCTCCTAACATAATACATGCAATTTTTTTAAACCACATTATTCCGTTGCTTCGTTTCGAAGTAAAATAAAAACAAAAAAACACTCTTTCCCACTGAGTTTCTCGCCGGATCTTCTCAGTGGGTCGCGTTTCCGATCCGGTGGTAGATTCTGCGAAGCGCTGCTCTTGCTAGGGTCAGTGTTAGCAACACTCCCGGTTTGAGCCCCATAAGCTCACCTACTAGCTCGGTGAATCTAGAATAAGCCCCCGAGGTTACTGGAATAGGTAGGGAAAATAAAGTCGACAAACAGATTAGAAAATGATTTTTTTTTCCCTACCTATTCTAGTAACCTCTAGGGGTAATTCTAGATTCGCCGAGCTAGTTGATGATAAGCAAGTATTTGCCTATTTATATAAATTTCAACAAAATACACACACAGAACCTACATTACTATGTGGAATTAAAATTTATAGGAAGTTTTCGATGAAGGCGTGCCCCTTCCGAAGGACACTATCGTGCAAGTGTGGAAGGAAAACGAAGCTCCCGAAATGTTGAATGTAAGTTTTGTTCATAGAGGGTACATGTAAGGACACACCTCTTGTGAGTTTACTGGTGCTAGGACCTCTTGTGAGTCCGCGCGGGTAGGTACCACCACCCTGACTATTTCTGCCGTGAAGCACTAATGCGTTTCGGTTTGAAGGGTAGGGCAGCCGTTGTAGCTATACTTGAGACCTCAGAACTTATATCTCAAGGTGAATGGCGTATTTACATTGTAGATGTTTATGGGCTCCATTAACCACTTGACACCAGGTGGGTTGCGAGCTCGTCCACCCATCTAAGCAATAAAAAAAATACAGCTTACCTGCAAGCTACTTTCTCGTTCGCATAAGCTTATAAATTCAGTTAATAATTGAAATGAAAAAAAACCTAATAGCTTATCATAATTACATCTCTAAACCAAACCCGCTGAACTATAAAGTGAGCCAGCTGTACACTAGTTAAACTTAGTGTCTAAACTAAACTGGCCATTAACAGTTTATATTGAGCTATAAATCTACTGACGATTTAACTATCTGTTGCGATACCAATTGTAAAATTAGTCTCTTCCAGTTTTAGGCTTACATTTTTGGAGTTTACTCCTTTAGAATCGATTTACATATATAGGCCCGGGGTATGAAAATTATGGGGACCAAAATCGTACTAGCATGTCACACGAAATGCGTTATGCGCCTGATTGCGCATGACACACGAAATGCGTTATCGCAGGTGACGCCGGGCTGCTGCGCCGGCAGTCCGCCACAAAGCCTCGTACTGATCGCGCGTTTCTCTCATTATTGTATTTTCATATATTTGTTAGTCGTTTGTTTTGTGTCTCGTTAATTTGTTAATAATCTGTAGTGTATCGTGTTGTCGTAATATAGAACTATTTCTCGTATTGTTTCGTTTAATTTTTTATATCCAGTAAACTCCAGTCGTGCGTCGGAGCGGACACACACACTTTTTTTTCTTTTAACTTTTTTGTAACAACGTAAGATTGGCAGTTGAGTTTACGTTTTATTTATGGAGGGTAGAGGTAAGGAGAACCGTCTCATATGGGAGGAAGCTTGAAAAAGTGTCCCACTTTCAGCACTAAATAACAGTTCAAAAATCCTCCATAATGGCGCTAGCTAGGCACAGGGTACGATATGAATTGAGCAGTTGTTAACCGATTTAAGTATCCTGAGTTAGGAAATTTAATATATTTAATGACTGGAGTAGTTAGTGACAGTGCAATATATAAGACCTCAGATGTTTACGTAGTCCAAACTAATTTCGTCAATATAACCTAAAATTATTGCTGTGGTAAAACGTGGAGATATCGATTGCATTTCATATCATACCCTTAGCTATCATCAGCTTTAAATAAAATACTTTTTGTGAGTTTGTAGTGCTTACAGTTCTTTTATTTCTCTATCTTATTCTAATAACTTGCAGCACCTTTTTTAAAATTTACCCGGTTGCTACTGGAGCGCCATCCATACGTAGCTCATTTTAACGGACACTTTTTACACACAGAGACAATTCTCCTTACCTCTACCCTCCATACTTATGACATAAGTTAATCTGACGGCCGAGACCAGAAAGCAGCTTTTTTTTATTTTATTATAATGTCTGCATAGATATTGCATTCAAGATGTATTTGGAGCTAAACGCTTTGAATAATATAATATAAATGCGGCAACATACCTTCAGACACCAGGTTGAAATTTCAATTAAGTTGAAATCTGTTAAGATATTCCACGTAAAGAAAAAATACGATATGATTTCCAGTGCTCACTTTTTTAAATAAATATATTTACTAATTCCTATCCTATTTTTTAGATCCTAAGAGCAAGTCACCAGTTAATCTATTCCACTGGTTGGTACCTTGATCATCTGAACACTGGAGGCGACTGGACGGAATTTTTCAACAAGGACCCTCGGGACCTGGTCAACGGCCTCAGGAAAGATATCAATGTTGACAACATTGTAGGTGGCGAAGCTTGCATGTGGGCAGAAGTTGTTAACGACATGAACATTATGAGCAGGTCTGTTGTTTTCTTCTGTCCTTCGTAGTTCTCGGGTAGACGACCTCGCTTGGCAATACGTAGTTACCAGAGCCCATTACTATATGGATACCATCATCACCTTGTAGCCGCACTCTTGGTTACACTGTGTAACGGCCGTTCTGCCTATCAAACGGAAACACGTATGAACAACGTGGTGCATACGACCTGCTCATAAGGGCTCACAATAAGCACTGTTATCCGGCTGAGCACAGAATAAGTATTTTTCTACGTGCGGACATTGTTCGACTTGTCTTTCCAAAAAGTTTCCGATGTGCTATGATATTTTAAGCTAAAAACCGCAAAGGAGACGGAAAATCGTGGGCCAAAAATGTAATAACTTGGAATGTAGTCTAAAAAATTTGTCATATTTTTTTATATAAGAATATAAAAAATCACCTCAATCCTCTATCTGGGACCGGAGAAAAATGAGAAAGTTAGTTTTTGTCGGTATAACGGTGTGATCGATTTAATTAATCGATTACAGGATTATAAAAAGAAAAACATTGCACTAGGTAATTAATGCAAAGTAATTAAATGAGCGATTTATACTTGTTGTATACAAGTGCGGTATGCGCCGGATTTAATTGCGATTATATACATAAACGAAGAAAAAGTCTCTTAGCAAAGTAATATGATTATCGATTTCAAATCGATTAAAATGGATTGTATTTTTGATGACAGCTTTGACAGTAAGCTGACATGACGTTTGTTCATACAATAAACAATTATTTTTTGGTGCTTGTTGGTTTTTTCTGCTCTTGCACCCTGAGCGGACCAATTCGTTTTCGGATAGCCAGTCTATTTGGCTGGACTTATTAATTTATTATGACTTTGTTGTCAGTTTGATTAATAATTTATTGTTTATTTCCAGAGTATGGCCACGAGCTAGTGCTGTAGCTGAAAGACTGTGGGGCCACGAATCACAGGCAACATATCAAGTACACTGTCGCTTAGAGGAGCACACGTGCAGAATGAACGCGCGCGGCATACATGCCCAGCCACCCAGCGGTCCTGGCTTCTGCCTAGGCGTTTAGTGAATTAATTATAATATAAGAATAAAAAAACATTTCTTCGTTATTCAATAAGAGATGTAACTATAATATTAGCACAGGTTTCATTCAGAATTTTCCAACTCCAGCCCGCGGAAATATTTAATCCGGCCCGCCGAGAGTCCATCCATCCTAAACATTCTAGTCAGCATTTTGGCGCGTAAAATAAAATCTGACGTTTATAATTGAAAATCTTCGAATTTTTATTGAAAGCTACATTCGTCATGGGTGTTTTGAGCTTTCATTATCTCACAATTAATTAGCTTGCTATCATTATAATTATCTCAGCAGTCTGTCACAGGTATTAGTTTATTTATTGGAAAAAAACCATTCTTTTCACCTATCGCCACACGTCTCACATGCCTAACAAGGCGTAATAGTAAAAGGTATTTTGTTTATTAAAAAGCTTTAATACAAAATGCATTTTTTCTATAATTCTGGCCCTCCTCTAGAATTTCTTAACTTTGTGGCCTGCCATTACAAATGTTTGCCCACCACTGGTATAGGTAGAAGATATAGCTTTTCATTATAGTTTCACCGAAGTACGACAGGTCACACGAGTGATTACAACAAATTTTAGCTAACATACATTCATCGAAAGTCAGACAGGAGCGTGGACGTTAACGAATGCGTATATAACAAATGAACAAACAGATTCTTTTTTATTTTTTATCTACTCCATGACCGTGGCAAACTGTTAACGTTTATTCATATGTGGTAGTCATAACATTGTTTTTATAATATTTTAGTAGGTACGATTACCATAAACATATTATAACGACCATATATAAGGCTGTTCTATCAAAACCATTTATTATTTTTACGTCTGTCTTTACAAATATATTTTATAATATTTTACATAGTTTATTTTGATGAAACTAAGCATGTTATATTGTTACGCGCTGTGGTTCGAGATAAATAAAATTCTAACGAATTACAAGTTAACACTGTATTTAACACTTAGAACACTTAAACACTTTAAAATTCTCAATTCGCTTCTTCTGCTTCACTTCAGGTGATCCGTTCGCTGTTTTGATTCGACTAGTTCCGATTACTGACTGACTGCGTGCCATCTCTGCAGCGCTTTTATAGTCGATACCACATCCCTAGAATTATCGAAAATACTCCACACATCTCTAGTATTGTGTTTCCGCTATCTGACAATAGATGGCGTTATACTTCTCGAGCGTCCTAAATCCTACTAGATCCTTCGATATTCGTTCGACTATTCGGCGATAGATGGAGTTACTCTTACCGGCGTAAAAATATTATGCATATTAATCATCATTATCCTGCCCTTCTCCCAGTCACCTAGGGTCGGCGCATCATGTTTTCTCCTTCCATACTCTTCTATCATATACCATTTCTTCGCTCACTCCCCTCTTACCCATATCGTCTTTCACACAATCTATCCATTTCTTCTTAGGTCTTCCTCTTCCTCAGTATAGTATTGCAATGATGACTACTTGTTTTTTTGTTTTTTTTTACCTAGCGTTGATTCATTATTTTTTTTTCATTGAATTAATCTACTTGAACTTAAAATAATGGATTTCGCGAGTCTTCTCTATTATTTCCGATCTAATTATTATTTCCGATGTTTCGAGAAGACGCCATAAAAGAAGTTTTCATTCTTAAAAAATAATTACAGTGGTTCTAGTTCTAATACTATTGTTTCAACTGTGGTATTAATTACGAGTGATCCAAAAACACGATTTTCACGCGAAATAAAGAAGGGACTCTATACGTACTCCCTCAACGTGTTTGAGAGTGTTATGATGAATAGATTATGGCATTATCAACGAGAAAAGTCCTAAAAGATAGGATACCGGTGTGCTTACATAAAGCGTTACGTCAATGTCAGGGTGCAAATATCATTTTCTGCAATAAATATGTACTTTACACGTCCTGACCAACAACTTTCAAGTTGAAGGCATAACACCATGTAACAGAAATTTAACTCGCAAATATTTTTGGACAGACTAGAGATAGAGCGTACTGTAAGCCCACATGGGCCCTCCTCTGTCTATTTCTGCCCCGAAACAGTCATGAGATCCGTTTCACAATACAATAGCCGCTGGACGATACAGTTGAGATTTCGACTTCATATCTCAAGATGGCTAACGGCATTGATATTTTGACGGTTACGGATTCCGGTAACTACTTAATACCAATTGAGGCGTAGTCTTTTATCCAAAAATGAAATAAAAGTATTAATTGTGTAGTCCATCAACGCTTTATTGTGACTATCGCTATCGGAATAACTAAGAAAACCGACATATTTTGAGTGCACGTTTCTTAAGGTGTAGGTATATATGGAACTATAGTCGGATTTTTTATTAGACGAAGTCAACTGACGTTTACTGTGTTGTCAGTTTTTAATGAAATAAAAATAATGTTGTGACAAAGTGAACGATTGAAAAAACTCCTGAATTAATGAAATTGCCTCGATTGTCTAGTTACTAGTTAGTGTGCCGAACTGCTGATATCGGGTACGGGGTTCGAAATTTAGGCGTGCTTTGTACATACCAACGAGTTTTCGACGATTATGTTCCTATAGTATCTACCTATACTGAATACCGAGTACTTTAAACATTAAGGAAAACATTGCGAGGAAACTTGTAAGACTGTCCTATTTTCAATACATCATATACTTGAAACTATAGATGTATAAAATATAACAATTATAGCTAGGTAATGAAAATAAAAAAAACTGATTGTAGATACATACTACTAGTCACATATTATATTGGAGCTCTTTAATACAATTTTATTGTAAAATAGAAATAATATTCTTTTATAGTTTGAAATTATTAACTCTTCACACTCATTGTTCATTCATGTGATTGAACGAGAACTGAACGCATCACTATTACTTTAAATATAGCAACATTATTTTACAAAGTGACATTAGCTACTGTCAGCTGGCTTCGTCTAATTAAAAATACGACTATATATAAAACAAAAACCTTGCCTAGTTTACTGTCCAAAGGTATAAGCGAAAGTTCTGCTAATTCCACGTAAAAAAAAAAAGACATAGTAATACCAATTGACGTTCATAGTAATACAAATTTGTATTGACAAAACGCCCTTCCATAAAGCTGTAGCTGAAGCTGGAAGAGCTTAGTGTTGTAGTGCTGTGCATCTTCTGATTTTTAAACGGACGGTAAACAGGGTATAATTATGTAAGATTATTTGTTTGTTAATAACTTAGGGAACGTACCCATACTACGTGACCCGTTTAGGGGGGGGAGCGGAGTCTTTAAAATACTACGGTCAGTCACAGGAGCGGGGGGGTGGCTCAGGTTTTTGTCACNTAGGCCGCCTAATTATGTTGAATCTTATGTTGATAGGGCTAAATATTTTAAAATGCAAACATTGAGTGATCGCCGCGATATGTTAGGCTTATGTTTTTTACATCAAGTTATGAGCGGTACTGTCGACTCCCAATTCATCCTCAATAAATTCTCTTTGAAGGTGCCATCTAGGTTACCTCGTCGCCCCGTTGCTCTTTTCAGCACCCGCTTTAGCAGAACCAATCTAGGCAAGCACTCACCTACTCCTCGTCTAACTAACCTTTATAATAATCTTGTTAGAAAAGTTGAAAACCTTGACATATTTGGCGATTCCCTTCCAATATTTAAGAACAAAATTATAAAAAGTTGTTGTTGAACCTTAGCCTCAGCCTTGGTCTGAGTACTCGGGTATTACTGCCCTTGTTGTCTTTCTTTTGTTTTTAATTTTTTATTATTATTAATAGTATTGTTAAATCTCTATTAATATATTAATGTAATGCATGCTGTGATTGCCTATAATTAGAGTTGCAGTTATCAATTGCTCTATACATGTCAATGTTATTTTATGTCTTACTGTAAACCCTGTCGGTAATCCTTAAATAAATAAATAAATAAATAAAACAAAAACCTTGCCTAGTTTACTGTCCAAATGTATAAGAGAAAGTTCTGCTAATTCCTCGTAACAAAAAAAATCCATAGTAATACCAATTGACGTTCATAGTAATACCAATTTGTATTGACAAAACGCCCTTCCATAGAGCTGTAGCTGAAGCTGGAAGAGCTTAGTGTTGTAGTGCTGTACATCTTCTGATTTTTAAACGGACGATAAACAGGGTATAATTATGTAAGATTATTTGTTTGTTAATAACTTATATAGGAGTTTTATTGTTGCCACCTTTCTAAGTTATACATACTATTTTTTTCGACTTATGTATTTTTGGCGGTAAAAAGGTCTCGTGTCACAGAGTATCTTCTTTTTTCCACCTCTCGTGCGTTCCGGCTTACGCATCATAAAAAGGTGCGTTCTTAAACGTCACACCGCCCCCCTATGGAGATGGAGAATCCGCATAAAAAGAGAAAAATGATGATGATGATGAAGGGACATCAGTAACATCCGGTTGCGCTGTTTGAGGCACAGAAACCCGCGGTGCTGGTGCCGGAACGAGATCCACTAAAGAATGTTTAACGAAAGCTGGCTTAATTCTGTCGACACTGACCGTCACCTGTTTCCCTTTTACTTTTATCGACCACGTTTTTCCGTCCTCAGCTCTAGATATAGCTCTATGAGGACCAGAGTAAGGTGGTTGCATTGAACGTCTAACCGAACCCTCCATGAGCATGATATGGGAGGCGGTGAAAAGATTTTTGAATATGGAAGGTGATGGCTTAGTGTGTGAGGAACACGGATTAGGACGCAATTTGGACATACGCTATCTTAACTCTACGACAAAATCCGTCGGGTCTTCGAGGCCAGAAGTACCGGGAGGAACTAACAGTTCCCCTGGAAGCGTTAACGTTTCTCCGTAAAGCAATTCCGCTACTGTTGCTTGTAGGTCTTCTTTAAAAGTAGAACGCATTCCCAATAATACCAATGGTAATGCATTCAACCACGAATTATCGTAACACATCAGAGAGGCCTTTAATTGTCTATGCATGCGCTCCATGAGCCCTTTAGCACAAGGGTAGTAACTAGTAGTGCGTATACGTTGAGTACCACATAAATTTGTAAGACGTCTGAAAAGGTATTACGCGGTAGGCAGCGGATTGGCTCTGCCCCTGGCATTGCTGAAGTCCATAGGCAACGGTAACCACTCACCATCCACCACCAGCATATGACATGGGTCATATGCTCGTCTGCAAGGGCAATAAAAAAATTAAAAAAAAAATGTCCGACTCGAACAGTAACTAACTGTCGTCCCTGGTTGGTTAGATGACAGCAGGAACTCCGAATCAAGCAATAATTTCACATAAAAGTCAATTCAAAGAGCTTAAAATATTTATATACTGTTCTAAGCACTGGATTGGTCACACTTTGAAAAAGCCCGATACCCACCTATCAAAGAGAGCACTGACCTGGAAAGTGTCTAGCAAAAGGAAGAGAGGCCGCCCTAGAACAACTTGGCGTCGCTCGGTGGAGCAGGAGCTAGGGGTCTTGGGCATGACGTGGGAGGAGCTAGAACAGACTGCCCAAGACCGATATAAATGGAAAAATTTGATTCGAGCCCTACACCCCAGCAGAGGGTAATAGGAAAGAATGATGATGATGATGATGTTCTAAGCAGAGTTGAAGCAGAGAATACAGTTGAATATTTCAGATAGGCAAACGATATGCTTAAATATTCAAAATAAATTTTATTTGTAGCGTGCAAATATTTGGCTAGCAACGATCACAAAGCAAAATGTGAACGCGGCTATGACATTTGAGTTCCTTTTTAAGATCATTGATGTGATAAAAGCGTATTTTGGCAAGATTTTTGAAGTGAGCATCAAGAATTTTATTACATAGATATATTTTTATTGCATAGATGGGTGGACGAACTAACAGCCCTCGTTGTCTTAAGTGGTGGTCTTAATAGACATCTACAACGTAAATGCGCTACCCACCTTGAGATATAAGTTCTAAGGTCTCAGTATAGGTACAACGGTTGCCCCACCCTTCAAACTGAAACGCATTACTGCTTCACGGCAGGAATTGGTAAGGTGGTGATACCTACCTGTGCGGACTCACAAGAGGTCCTACCACCAGTAAGAAATTTACCAATAACCAGTTATCAAAGATTACTAACAATGGAATAAAAAGTGAGTATCTCTTCTTGAGAAACATTGTAGTAATGACTATGGTAATGGTGTTACCAATCTGTGTGTGTAAGATTTACTGCAAGTACTTAAGATACAAGTCAAAAGAATAAGTAGAATTATTTAAGACAGTAAAGTAGTAAGGAATTAAGGATTAGTACTACAGATGTCAGGCGGAGAAGCGGCTATGGAATATCTATAGGGTGCCAAGGCCACATACCTGTATCTCTAGCCTGATTACCAGATTAACTACCATCAGAAGGGCTAAGTGACAACCTTATATCTAATAGTAATCAGTCCTATAGATATCACAATGCAGATATCCTGACTCTCCTTGAGACGTAAGGTTGAGGTTTGTGTCTTACAAGAGCTGTCCCACCCTCTAAGCCTGAACGCTTCGTAAACCGAATAGATAGAATGGTGGAACCCAATCGCTCACTCTCATGATGAACACAATACGCTAAGAATAATTACCCAACACGACAAAAAGTATGGGCGAATGTCCCAGAATCCCATTAACAGAAGTACCCACATACATTGTGGAAAATAAATCGAATACAGTCAAACGTGGATAAGCGAGAGTTCAAGGTAGCACAATCTCATTCTCGCTTATAGAGGTTTCTCACTAACCCGAGTTTCTCGCTAATGCTCCCTCTGAATTTCGATTCGCGATTTTCCGCATTCAAATGCATTCACTATTTTAAAGCCTTCGTCAAACAGAACGCGTAATTAGCGCGCGTTAGAGCGCTAAACTGACGCCGCGCTAGGACGCCGAGATGTGTTGTACTACTATGGTAACATACCATAGTGAATGTGTATTAAAATACTAGATAATGCTCGAAAAAATAATATAAATAGTTAGAAAATACCCATGCTTATACAATGCCACATCTGAATCACTCGATTTCTTAATACTTTTAAATTTTCACACTGCTATCGAAAGGCACTACGATTTGGCGAATGCGTTGCGTCAAGGAGCGTTAGGCTCATCTAGTCAATTGGTGTGACATGAAAGAGCGCGACGTTAAATACGCGGCGCTAAGTACGCGTTCTGTTTGACGAAGGCTTTAGTTTATGACTTTAATGACAGTACTTTAATTTTCCGTTTTTACATGATGCAGAACAGAACTTTCCTTCGCAATTGATTAACGATAAACTGAGTAAGTCCGACAAACAGGACGGTACACAGGCACACGTGTCCATTCGAAAATAATGCGATAAAAGAAGACGATAAAAATTAAATAACAACGTTATTTAGTTCCACGAAATAGAATAGGTTCAATATTCACGAGAAAACAATACAAAAACAATGATAGCAAGTTCCACGAAAGTTAAAAATGAGTTATAAAATAGCAGATGTTAAATTTGTAATTTGTTTTGTCATTTGTTCCTCCTAAATAATATAAATAAATAAATAAAGCTCGACTGTCGCTTATAGAGGTATAGATACGTAGCAGTCCCACTTACGGAGGTCCATGAGGAAAAAACGACTCTCTCTTACAGAGGTTTCTGTTTCTCGCTAATAGAGGTTTTGGGAGCTTAATTTTTTTTTTTTTCCTACCTAAGCTGAGAGCCTTGAGAGGCTATTTCAGCGTAACCCTAACGTTTGTAGGTGAGCTCACGGGGCTCAAACCTGATGACGTTGCTAACACGAACCCTAGCAAGAGCCGTGCTTCGCAGAATCTACCACCGGATCGGAAACGCGACCCACTGAGAAGATCCGGCGAGAAACTCAGTGGGCTGTGTCTGAGAGTTAATTTACTCATCGAGCCCTTCGTCGCAAGCGACGGGTTCGACGAGAACGGTGACCGGTGCNGTTGCTAACACGAACCCTAGCAAGAGCCGTGCTTCGCAGAATCTACCACCGGATCGGAAACGCGACCCACTGAGAAGATCCGGCGAGAAACTCAGTGGGCTGTGTCTGAGAGTTAATTTACTCATCGAGCCCTTCGTCGCAAGCGACGGGTTCGACGAGAACGGTGACCGGTGCTTGAAGTACCTAAAAGCACCGTTAGTGGATCGGGAGGGTTCGGAGCTTAAAATGACGGGTCCTTGCTATTACTCTCACTTATAGAGTTTTCTTACTTATCCAGTTCTCACTTACCCAGGTTTGACTGTATATACACATTAATTTGTTGTTGTTAAATTTTATTTGTTGGTTTTATCGAGAGATTTGAAAATGATTCAATAAAACAGAAATAAGAAATAAAAAACAGGGCCTTCATTTGTGACATGAAAATTTATTAAAATATGCTTACCTTTCACTCTTTCAAAATCGGTTTCAACGTAAAATAATTGCTATTCAGCGATTAACGTAATCCCTTCAACGTAATATACGTAAAAAATGAGCTGCCCCCAAATTGAAACGTCAATTGTTACTTTTTTAAAGTTTGCTTCCGACCATTGGCTACTCGACTCTTTAGCCTTAAAACAAACAAATTTCTAAGCTATTAAAATATTCTCATCAAACTGCTGCAGTTATACTGAGACTATTGAAATATCACTAAAATGTCAATGCAATACAATGTAACGCCATTTTTCTGATGGTAGCTGAATGATATTGTTGTCCATTGAGACAGTATCAAAAAACTGATGAGAAACAATGTCCTGTAATTGTTTTCTATTACCTTACACTCGTGCAATATTGAAAATATTGAAAAACCCAATAAGCTGTAATTTTCACAGATTGAATCATAGGAATTACTGAATTGGCAAAAAATCAATATAAACAACATACATTTTTAGATTTCCACCAATTGTGGAAATGTGCATCACAAAGTGCATACCATGGATAATTTGTTGAAGAAAGAAAAGGAAGAAAATTCACGCACTGACCTTCCTTATCCTAAATTTATGTAATTTATGCTTGCATTCTACATTAAAATTAATATTAAAACTCTTAATCTATGACACCAAAATGAAAACGACAAAAGTCGGAGTTTGAAATGTATTTTTTATCAGTAACCCAGTTAATTTAAATTGACCTGTTTCAAGCCACTGAAGCCATGGAAATACCCGATATTTTAGGTATTTGAATGTTTCATGTTATCTAAGACTTTATAAACATACTAATAACAGATAGTACAAAATGCGTAAAAAAAAACGCCTTTCATTTTTTACTGAGCAACAACACTCATGGAAGTCTGATTTTATGAAATATTATCGATGACAGATTATCTTCTAGCAGACTATATAATGCTAGGAGACAGGGTATTTCACAACATTTTGTATTGAACCTTATAGCGAGCAGTCGCGCTTACAAAATGTTTCGTCTTTTTGTTTATTTAAATATTTTAGGCGCTTTTTTAGTGACCGGTTTGCATATCGTGGAACCGGGACCCGAATATCCAGCATCGAAAGGTGCAATTTGGCCAAGACCGCAAATGCAATCGATAGAAATTCCTTACTACAAATTTGATAGTGATATACTCGAAATTAAGGTAACTTTTTTTCTTTCTTCTAATAATCTTCTAATAATTATGAGCTTATTTAAACAATACCGTTTTTGTTTTTGTGAAAATTATTGATTTTTCCAAATGTTTATTTTGTGTGTTTTCATACATTTGGCGGAATAACGAGTTAAGTGCACACGGCTAAGCTTTACATCCTGCCTATAGCTGCCATGAAGTAGGGACATGTTTCGCTTTGAATATTAACACAGTCATGATTGATTACTATGAGACTTGAGTGGTGGCATTGACATTGTGAGATCTATGGACCTCAATGACCACTTAAAATTATATGAGCCGCTACGTAATACACGTAGCTGTTATCACATTTACTTAAAAGTGCTTAATTTTTATTATTTTTTATCAGCTATTTGATAATTTCTCTATTATCTCCGATGTCTATGAGTAGCGCTGACACCTTTTCATCAACTGCACCTTATGCCCGTATGGATTCGTAAACAAAAAGGTCGAAGCATTTTTAGGGTTCCGTAGTCACTTAACTAAAAACCAATTCTGTTTAACTTATTTTAAAGCGGAACGTAATACTACTTTGTGGTAGACATAAGCAGGATAATTATGGCTTCCGTTTTCGACCTTACAGTACAGTACTACTAATTGGTAGTCGCTCCATGCACCACTACCAGACGACTTTTTCGTCAAATCTCTCTGTCAGAGACAATTTGGAACGTCAACACATTCGACAAGTACACAATGATGTAAAGAAATTTAAAAAAATTAGGTTAGCACTTCATAATATAAAAGTGGCTAAAAAATATTTAATGCATCGCAGCTGTGTGAGGTGTATACTGGAATAGTGAAAGGTCGTATTGTAGGTCATTCAGGTTCACGAGCTCACGGTCCACCTTTGTGTTTAGTGCGAGTTTTTAAACGTCCTCGATAGCGTAAAAGTTAACTCAAATTTGTATGGAGTTGGAACATTTGCCGCCAGGGGTACTATTCCTACTACATACAAATTTGAGTTAACTTTTACGCTATCGAGAACGTTAAAAAACTCACACTAAGCGCACTGGTGCGAAAAGTCATAGACATGGCAACGTAAGTGCCACTCTAAGACATGAGTCGTCGTGGCCTAAAGGATACGACGTCCGGGGCATTCGTATCTAGCGACGCAACGGTGATCAAATCTCGAAGGCGGGTACCAATTTTTCTATTAAAATACGTACTTAACAATGTTCACGATTTACTTTCACGGTGAAGGAATAACATCGTGTAATAAAAATCAAACCAGCAAAATTAAAATTTGCGTAATTACTGGTGGTAGGACCTCTTGTGAGTCGGCACGATTAGGTACCACCACCCCGCCTATTTCTGCCGTGAAGCAGTAAAGCGTTTCGGTTCGGTAGCCGTTGTAACTATACTGAGACCTTAGAACTCATATTTCAAGGTGGGTGGCGGCATTTACGTTGTAGATGTCTATGGGTTCCAGTAACCACTTAGCACCAGGTGGGCTGTGAGCTCGTCCACCCTACGAAACAATAATAAAAAATAAAAAGAAGTTATATCTGTCCCACTCTTCAAATCGGAACGCTGGCCGGTAATAACTATCCGTAAGACCCCTACGATATGCGGGCTTGATTTTGATTTCACGATGTTATTGATTCATCGTGGACGGTGGAAGTCGTTAAGTACTTTTATCATTAGATGAATTGGTACTTATATGTAGGATTTGAATAATGCCATGATGGTTTGATACGGGTAGATTAGCCCAGAGTTTCTCGCCGGATCTTTTCAATGGGTCGCAATTCCGATCCGGTGGTAGATTCAGCGAAGCATCACCTTTGCTAGGATCAGTGTTAGTAAACTCGTCAGGCCTACGCGTTCGCTGAACTAGCATAACCCCTCGAGGTTACTAGGATATGCAATAAAACCCGTGCGTTTTATCCTTTAAGCTAAGACGACTTCAAACGGGTTCCGATTAGTTTGAAAACGATAACACATTGAGTACTATTAATAAATTGGATAGTTGTATGAATACGTTGATTAGAATTGACCCAAAAAAATTCTTGTGAGCCATAAAATGTATGACTTGGCCGGTACTTTGACTTTATCGTCGAAAAAGGACCATTTAGATAGTCCATATTTATTTTAGATATTGACAATGCACTTGTAAGTGTTAAGGAAAGCTCCAAATATATTTATCGCTATATTTATCGTAATCCAAATAAAGTGCGTCTTCAACTCTATGTTTAATGACCTAAATATTTAAAGTTTTTTCGAAATAAAGTGTTTTTCGCTGTCAACTATTCCAACACCGGACGCTACAAACTCATAGTGATTATGAGTTAGCTTTTTTTTGTATTTTAAGCTGCGCGAATGGGCTGGTGACGTCATCGAATACCTTAGAATTACGTAGTATACTTTATGTTATTAGCAATAAATAATGTAACAGAAGAAGTTATCGATTATTTCACAAACTGTAAATTTAAATTATAACCACGCAGTGTAAACGAATGCCATACGATAAATAAATAAGTGGCCAATACACCTGTAGTTCTTTGTATTTGTTTTTAAAGTAGTGGCGAATTCGCCGCTCGCCCGTGGAGGGCTGGGGACTACTCAAATTGCAACTTTCTATCGTTAACGCTTAAAGGAACGTACACAAATGTATGGGGTTTGACCAGTGTGCTTAGTGCGAGTTTTTTAACGTTCTCGATAGCGTAAAAGTTAAACCAATTTTGTATGCAGTTGGAACAGCGCCCCTAGCCCACTTCGACAAAGCGGCACGACATGAGAACCCTCTCATCGTGGCCGCCGGTAACTACATTCCCGATCCTGCGGAAAGAATGGAAAGCAGTCGACGTCGCCCCAAACACGTCATTTCGGATCCTCCCGATCCACCGTTCTCGTCGAACCAGTCACTTGCGACGAAGGGCTCGACGAGTAAATTAACTCTCAGACACAGCCCACTGAGTTTCTCGCCGGATCTTCTCAGTGGGTCGCAGAAATAGGGAGTTGTGATATCTACTCTTGGGGGCTCGCAAGACGCCCTACCACCAGTATTGCGTTTGAAGATGAGAACAAACCGTAAACCAATTTCATAAAAGTACATTGAATGCAAATAAAAATAAAATGTTGAGAAATGTCGTGAATTTAACAGAAAAAAAAACCTTTGATCTTCGCATTTGAGTTTCCGAAACTTCAGGCCTATTAGTTACATCATCAACTAATCGGCTTCGCTTATAGTTCCAGTGCCGCATCACGTCACCGTATGACTTATTAAAATTAAATCCGTTGGATTCCTTTCCAGGTAATGGATCACGATTGTCCTATTCTGTCGAATGCCGTCCAACGGAGTCTGGCGGTACTGAGAGACATGCTCCGAATCGCGAGTCCGTATGTAAACCGCAATGCCCCACAACAGGTCTTAGATGATGATACATACGACGGACCACTGAAGAGTCTAAGCATTTACTTGACATCACCCTGTGAAGAATATCCGCATTTCGGCATGATCGAGAGCTGTGAGTGTTGAATTTTGTAAAAACTGAAATTGTGTTTTTTTTTCTCATTAACAATGCTTGTAAATTTGTGATTTATTTGAAACCATAGTGGCGCGTACGCAGTGACATTGAAAATAGCTCATTCCTATGAAATTAGTACAACAGCCATATTCGAATGATATTATAATAAGACTTCTTTATTGTCATCGAAGTGTGGAATGGTAAACAGCTATCGCCCTCTCCTGGCCCCCACCTGTCCTGGTGAAACTGGAAAAGCCTTCGGGCCATAAGTTCCTTAATAAAAAAAAGTGTTATAAAACACGAAATAGATATTATAAAACCTCTGGCTTCAAAAGTTTTGTAGGTTTTTTTTGTCAGGAGGAAATCACCGGACTCCCACCCTCCACTGGAGATGGCGGGCGGAGTATGTCGGAGTCGAACCGACTAAAACCTCCTGTCGCTCAACAACCCACGTCCGAACCTCGCATGAGACAGAACTTATGAAAAGGCAAAGGGTTCCCCCCTTGAAGTGAAGCGTTTAGTGCGGAGCACATCTCTCCCGTCGCCCTCCCCCTCGGGACGCCGGACTGGCGGTCGTCGTTGCCACGACCACCAGCCCTATCAGTCGGCAGGCTGCCCAAAGCCCGCCTAGATGACGCCGGTTAGAGTGAGTTATTCTACGGAATATCCCGTTGCACGAATGTCAGCTCGCCACTGATAATCAGCGGTGAGCGCCTCCGCCTCCAGGACCCAAGGCGGTGTCCCAGTCAGTACACACGCCGCCTCGAAGGAAATGGTGCGATAGCCACGGATGACCCTGACCGCGATGGTGCGTCGCGGCCGTTGCAGCAGCAGCTTTATAGCCTAAATGATAACACAACCGCTGTTTGTTACTAGTATCGAAGGATGCGACTTTACCGGTGTTAAAAACCCTGACAGGTATATTCTATTTGTCTAAAATCTAAGTGCCTGATACGTGATAACAAACTACTTTACAATAAATAACACCATGTAAACAAAATGATAATCCACACAAAATATTTTGCGTAATTTCTGGTGATGTGGCTTGTTCTATGACTTCGACGGTTCTATGGGCTTCATTATTCATGTTTCCACACCCACAACCCACTGGAATTCTCGCTCTGGATCTTCGTAAGGGGTCGCGATTTCGATCCGATTTCGATCACTGCTCCTACTAGAGCTAGTGTTAACAAATTCTCTGAGGTGAGACCGTGAGCTCACCTACCCGTCCGCGCGAAGCTGGAGTAACTCCTTAGGTTACCAGCGAATAGGCAAGGAAATAAAAAATCCTGTAATACCAGGTAGGTGATGAGCTCGTCCATACAGTTAAATAAATAATAGTTTAAAAAAACTAACAAAATATGCTTTTATAGAAAATCCAACTAAGAAATAGAAAATAAATGTTAATAAATTTTAATTAAAAAAGGTGTAAAAAAAATTTGATTTTATTGTAAAAAAAGCGTGGGGTGCATGGTATAAGTAGTTATAAATATTTTATGAACAGATATGAGTAGAAGGATTATTTTGATTATATCCTAAAAAGAACCCCACGCTTTTCAATAAAATCATTTTTCNTTTTATAGAAAATCCAACTAAGAAATAGAAAATAAATGTTAATAAATTTTAATTAAAAAAGGTGTAAAAAAAATTTGATTTTATTGTAAAAAAAGCGTGGGGTGCATGGTATAAGTAGTTATAAATATTTTATGAACAGATATGAGTAGAAGGATTATTTTGATTATATCCTAAAAAGAACCCCACGCTTTTCAATAAAATCATTTTTCTAACACCATTTTTAATTCAAATCGCGGAAGTGGCATTGGATTGGTCACACTTTGAGAAAGCCCGATACCCACTTATCAAAGAGAGCACTGACCTGGAAAGTGTCTGGCAAAAGGAAGAGAGGCCGCCCCAGAACAACTTAGCGTCGCTCGGTGGAGCAGGAGCTAGGGTTCTTGGGCATGACGTGGGAGGAGCTAGAACAGACTGCCCAAGACCGATATAAATGGAAAAATTTGATTCGAGCCCTACACCCCAGCAGAGGGTAATAGGAAAGAATGATGATGATGATTTTTAATTCAAATTTATTAAAATTTATTTTTTATTTTTTAGTTGGATTTTCTATAAAAGCGCATTTTGTTAGTTTTTTTAAACTATGTATTACTTATTTTTCATTTTTTAGTTGAATTTAAATTTTTTCAATTTTCTTTCTTAATTTTTTTTTAAATATTGAATTGTCATCGGTCCTTAATAAGTATACCAAATTCCGAGTTAATCCGACGTTTTGAAGGAGATCAAAATCATGTTCAAAGATTCCGTTACAAACATACATACATCTGAAGCTAATAAAAGCGTAGTAAAAAATAAAAAACCCATCGCGATATCTTTCTATACCTACTTTGATGATACGACGGAGAAATAACATCTGAAAGCGCGTTATATAAATAATATTTTCCTAGTAACAAGGTTATCCTCTAAGATTATCAAAACCGCAACCCCCCTTGCCTGAGGCGATATGACATTCACGTCGCCGAGGTCATAAAGCCACCTGATAAAATATTTTGTATTATTTCATCTTTATCATCTCAGTATGACTCAAATATGTTTTTTGTTTGTTTTAAAAACACTTGAGATTCAAATCAATTCGCGGTTGAGACTGATAAAATGGGCAAGTTCCGACATCCAGAATGCGCATAGCAACTGTTTACAACATTCAAGACATTTACGTTGTGGTTGATTGATTCTTTACATGAATACAACTTACAACTTACAACACTGAAAAAAAAACCGTCGAAACTATTCGCCTCGTTGGTCGAGACTGTAAGCTCGTACAGCCATGTGATTTGAAGGGTCCGCCATTATATTCCCTGTCCCATTCAGACTTCGAACTCATGTCATAATTCCGCTCACCGCTTAAGATGTAGAATGACTCTGTTCAACTCCTCCTCCTTGCTTCGATAACCTTCAATGCTGAGGGTCGTGGCCTCATGAGGCTTTCTTCGGAAAATCCACATGGCGGAGTCTCTTGTCCTACCACGGCAGTGATTTGGAAGAGATTTAGTTCTTCGAGGCCGCTGAAGCCTTATTTGGATAATACACACATTTGTTTTGACGTTTTCAGACAATCTGACGATCGCCGCTGACAGCACACTCAGAAGTTCATCGATATGGGGAATACTGAGAGGCTTGGAAAGTTGGACGCACCTGTTTCATCTCTCAGATAATCGTGATGTAAGATGTTATAGAAATTTACATGAAACACATGTTACATTGTTAACATTAACTACTAAACACCTACACATCTTTGAGTTTCGGGCTGAATCTGTATTCTTCATTGATTCAGAGAAAAACCAGCACACTTTTGACTTTATTATCTTGATTACTTAGACTAAAGTAGAGCTGGAAATGTCTGTAACGCGAACCTATCTCACGAAGATTTTGATCTACTGCTTTTTATATTGAACAATATCCATAGTTTCGAACATATCATCGTTTTCGTAGTCATTTCAAATCTTCCCGATCCACTATCGTTGCTTTTAGCCATTCCAAGCACTGGTCACCGTTCTCGTCGGATCCGTCGAAAGCTACGAATGGTTTGTCGATAAATTTTACCCACAGACAGAATCCACTGAGTTTCTCACCGGTCGCGATTCCGATCCAGTGATAGGTAGATTAAGCAAATTACTGCTCTCGCTAGGCCTACTGTTAGAAAATTCGCCAAGCTGAGCCTCGTAAGCTCGCCAACACGTTCGGTAGCTTAATTAAAGTAGCCCCTCAAAGCTAACAGAATAGGTAAGGGAAAAAAAAGGTTTTCGTATAACGCTTTTCGTATGAAGTATTTTTAATTGAATATCGCGCTAAATGATGTCAAAGTAATTTGTCGACTTCTACGCTTCGTTCTACGCAGTGGCGACGAACAACGTCTGCTGAACTTGAAGTTTTATCTTGGGCTGTAATTTTTATTAGTATTTACCCTTTTAGAGAATTGAATTCCCTGAAATGGGACTTTTCACTTAATGATTTTTCTGTCAGAATCTATAAAAGAGGCCACCAATATTAGGGCTTACGTTTATAGTTAATTTGTAGTTCAATAAATTTTCTTGTCAAATTGGGGTTAAATACAAACGAAATACGATTTCTTTAATTGCTTAGACGGATGGACGAGCTCACAGCCCACCTGGTGCTATGTGGATACCGGAGCCCATAGACGTCTAGAACTTAAATGCCGCCACCCGTCTTGAGACATGAGTTGTAAGGTCCAACTTGTGGTAGGTGGTACCTACCCCGGAACGGGAGAGGGAGAGCTATTCTTCCCTCTCGGCGCCGTGCCGAGCCGGGGGCCGGAGGAGGGCGTTTGTCCAGCTCCGGCCCCTATGAGGAGGCAGTCTCCTCCCGGTGATGGTCACGGGGTGACCTAAGGGGATTGAGCCTGCGCCGCACGCTACCGTCACTCTAGCGCGCTGGCACCAGGAGGACGGGACGACGCGTCGGAGGCTGCGGCCTGCGACCCGGTCGGCGGTGTATCGCGTTCCGACCCGGCAGGCTGGTTTTGGCCCAGCGGGGTATCCCGGAACACCAGCGGCATCGCCCGGGTGGCCTGGTAGGACCGCCGTACCGTGGAGACCGATGTCGTTGGTCGTCAACTATCGCCTCGACGACCCATCGGTCGGGCGTCTTCGGGGTGGCGCCGCGTGTCTGGTTGTAGTGTTGACCGCGGGAGCACCCCTACTCTGACCGGGTTTTCACCCCGGACGGGATCCGACGTCGGGTGTAAGAGTATTCCCGTTTTAATATTTATGAGCTCTGGTAACTATTTAACAAAACAAGGGCTGAGAGCTCGTTAGCCCGTTTTCGCAATTTAAATAGCATTCGTGGTATAGTCTATGATCCCATAGCCGTTCAATACTAAATAAAACGTAAATTCAACTGCCAATCTTACGATAATACAAAAAAGTTAAAAGAAGAAATGTAAGCCTAAACTGGAAGAGACTAATTTTACAAATTTCTTTTCAGCAATTGCACATTAACAAAGGTGAAGTTCACGACTTTCCCCGTTACCCTCACAGAGGACTGCTCGTTGACACATCACGTCATTACATCTCAATGTCTAATATCCTACTCATTTTGGACGCTATGGCCATGAACAAGATGAACGTATTTCACTGGCACATTGTTGACGACCAGAGTTTCCCATATCAGAGCGAAAGGTTTCCCGATTTGAGGTATATCTTTGCACACTACTTATATTTATAGATTATAGATGTAATAATTTATCTGTAACTGATAATAATAATAAAAACTGAACTTTACATCGTTTGGTCCAGTAACATGATAAAAATTTGAAGCATTGACTTTCTTTAAAATGTTGACGGTACATGACAGCGTCCCACATTTTGGCGGGAAATTGGAAACTTCATAACCTTAAAAATAATTTCTCATGTAAATCAATGCATTAATAGTTATGTCACTATCCCCCACAATCTCGATATTACAGATTTATAAGTCAATTTCCTTGGTTTAATGTAATTTTGACAAAAAGGATTTTAAATTTATAAAAAGAAGGAATTTTGAATTTCTTTAAAATGTTGACGGTACCTACATGACAGCGTCCCACATTTTGGCGGGAAATTTGGACACTTCTGAACCTTAGTCGTTATCCCACGATCTCGAAATATCAGATTTATAATTAAATTTCCTTGGTTTAATTTAATTTCGATAAAAAATAACAAACATTTATAGGAAAAAGGAATTTTATATTTATCGGGTCACGCTTTTGTTTATAGTCGTCTGGGAGCCTATCACGAGACCTTGATTTACACCAAGAAAGACATTCAGACGGTTATCGACTACGCAAGGAACAGGGGGATCAGAGTTATTCCTGAATTCGATGTACCCGGTAAATTTACTTAACTATTAATTTTTTTGTTTTAGTTTATTTTTGCTCTCGTTACGTTGAATTTAAGATTTCCGCCATTATTAAACAACCGTCGCTAACACCATCATAGGTACAGGCACGTAACAGTCAAGACAAAGAACGTGGCGATTGTACCAGTACTCAAATACTCTCTTCCTTTTCTCCACCTTATCCCAGTAGGAGGGGTCCGGCACAGCTAATTTTTCTCTTCCATTCTCTTCTATCAGCCGTAATCTCAACACTCACTCCTCTCTCTCTCTCATATCGTCATTCACACACTCCATCCATGTCTTCTTCGGTCGACCACTTCCCCCTCTACTCAAATACTACAAGCAATTTTTTAATGACTTCCACAATGAAAGAATATCATCTCGTAAAAACCCGCAAATATTATAATTTGCATAAATTACTATACAATCAAGTCTCCAGATCGGTAGCGGCAACCATGTCAATGACAAAAAACCCTTCTAACAATATCGCAGTTAAATTTGTGGAGATGTAAGGAGGGCCGTCTTGTATAGGGGACAAGTTGAAAAAGTGTAAATAGCACTGGACTTGTAACTAGCAAGGTTATGTTGGAAGGCCCATTTCGATAAAGCGGCACGACACGAGAACCCTCTCATCGTGGCCGCCGGTAACTACATTGCCGATCCTGCGGAACAAATGGTGAACAGTCGACGTCGCCCAAAACACGTCATCTCGGATCTGTAACGCGGCGAACTTATCTCACCAAGATTGTTTTTTTTTTATTGCTTAGATGGCTGGACTTTCTCACAGCCCACCTGGTGTTAAGTGGTTACTGGAGCCCATAGACATCCACAACGTAAATGCGCCACCCACCTTAAGGTATAAGTTCTAAGATCTCGAGTGTAGTTACAATGGCTGCCCCGCCCTCCAAACCGAAACGCATTACTACTTCACGGCAGAAATAGGCAGGGTGGTGCTACCCACCGGCGCGGACTCACAAGAAGTCCTACCACCAGTAATCACGTAAATTATAATTTTGCGGGTTTCATTTTAATTACACGATATTATTCCTTCACCGTGGAAATCAATCGGAACATATGTTGAGTACGTATTTCATTAGAAAAATTGGTACCCGCCTGAGATTCGAACACCGGTGCATCGCTCAACACGAATCAAATCAAATCAAATCAAAAAAATGTTATTCAACATAAATGAAAGCACATACTTGTTGAACGTGAAAAAGAACTACCGCCAATTCACAAAAACTAGCCTCCGTCCTGAGAAGAACTGGCAAGAAACTCAGCGGGCATGTCTTTTTTATTTTATTTTAAATTATACAGTTTTTTTTAAATATTAGATTTTTTTTAATATTCATTTTTACATGGAGTATTATAACGTAACAATTATTGCAATATTGAAATGCCCGGAGCGAGCAACTCATTCGCACTCTGTGCAATCTTCTAGATAATCATTGACTTTATAGTAAGCTTTATTGCACAGACGTTCTTTAATAGTTTTCTTAAGCCTATGTATATGTAGGTTCTGAACACCTTGTGTGATTTTGTTGTACAGACGCACAGACAAACACCCGAATGAATTTAGTATCTTATGTAACCTACTCATCGGCACATGAAGCTTGTGTTTGTTTCTAGTATTTATATTGTGTAAGTCCGACTTTTTAGGAAACTCCTCAATATGTTTACGAACATACATCAAATTTTCAAAAATGTACTGGGATGGCATAGTGAGAACTTTAATTTCTTTAAATTTTTCCCTCAGGGATTCCCTTGAGTGCATGTTATAAATAGCACATATAGCTCTTTTCTGCAGAATAAATATCATTTCTACATCGGCCGCATTGCCCCATAGCAAAATGCCATAGGACATGACACTGTGGAAATAACTAAAATAAACTAAACGCGCCGTATCCGCGTTTGTTAACATTCTAATTTTTTTTACTGCGTATGCTGCAGAGCTCAGCTTACTCGCTAATTTATGAACATGAGGTCCCCACTGCAGTTTGGAGTCCACTGTTATACTAAGAAATACAGTTCACTCAACAAGCTCCACTGGTTCCTCAGAAACAATTACATTACTATCTACTTGTCGCACATTAAAAAATGATTTAATACATTTTAAAGTAAATTTAATACATTTAGTTTTCTTACTATTCAATAATAGATTATTGATACGGAACCAATGAACCATACACGAAATCGCATCATTCACTTCGTCATAGACTTGCGATTGTCGTTTAATTTTAAATAATAAAGATGTATCAGCTGCGAATAATACGCCCATGCACCGGACGTCTTATCCGTTAGGCCACGACGACCACGATTTTGATCTACTGCTTTTTATATTGAACAATATCCATAGTTTCGAACATTTCATACTTTTCGTAGTAATTTTGGAACATTCCGATCCACTAACCGTATTTTTACGTACCCCAAGCACCGGTCATCGTTCTCATCGAACCCGTCGCTTGCGACGAAAGGCTCGGCGAGTAAATTAACCCACAGACACAGCCCACTGAGTTTCTCGCCGGATCTTTTCAGTGGGTCGCGTTTCCGATCCGGTGGTAGATTCTGCGAAGCATGACTTGCTAGGGTTCGTGTTAGCAACATCGTCAAGTTTGAGCCCCGTGAGCTCACTTACTAGCCCGGTGACGCTGACATGGTCTCTCCAGAACATCAGCTTAGGTAGTAAAAAAAAAAGTTGGAAGACTAACCGAAATAGCGCTTGGGTAGGAAGTGCAAATGATTTAAATATATCAGTTTTAAACCGAGTGAAATGTGCTGGGTTGAAAAAATTCATATTTTTCTTATGTTGTGTGGTTAAAATTATAGACTACAATCTCAACTATTTATTTTTAATAAAATTGACGTAGGAAGTGTTTCTTTCTATCCTAATTTATTATAGTATCCTATTCTAATAGTTTATGACGTTGCTTTTAAAATATTTCCACTTATTACTATAACGCCACCTTAGATGCCTTTCAGCGGACATTTTTAATACACTGAGCATTTCTACCCTCTCTAGTAAAATATTACTATTACGATTTGGGGTCTCGGATAAAACAAAGTAAAACAGGCTTCGCCCAAAGACATGTTTTTGTAAGTGATTNTATAGTATCCTATTCTAATAGTTTATGACGTTGCTTTTAAAATATTTCCACTTATTACTATAACGCCACCTTAGATGCCTTTCAGCGGACATTTTTAATACACTGAGCATTTCTACCCTCTCTAGTAAAATATTACTATTACGATTTGGGGTCTCGGATAAAACAAAGTAAAACAGGCTTCGCCCAAAGACATGTTTTTGTAAGTGATTTTATAACCTGGTAACTAAGACCTTTAAGTCATGTCTTATTTTAATTTATATTCTGATTTTTATGAAAAATGATAATATGGAGTGAAATGAAATGAAAATGATTAATTTGTGACATTAATCAACTGGGGTGAAATTAAATGAAATGAGATGATATGGGATGAAATATAATCTTAGTAAAATGGTGGTCATTTACTAAGATTTTTTCTGTGGACTTTTTGGAGGATCCCGAGAAGTTGCGTCCAGCGGCTTTGTTTCATTTTCCCACATTTGTGCACTTTCACAGATATTAAACAGTTAATAAACCACCGTTATTATACATTTAAACCTGAAGAAACACTAAATAGACAAAACAAATCACACAACTTCACTCCTCGCGTTCCCGCCAAAAAGTCCTCAAAGACATGTTTAATTTAAATGTCAGTACCATAGATTATACACTTAATATATTTGAGAGTCAGTACCTACTCAGTACTCACAATCAAAATTTATCAGCCACAGAGTATGGATCCACTTCCACAATTACCGATAATATCGATATATACTATGTTAATTAAAATACCGATAATTTCGATAATAAATACGGATAATCCCTCTACCAGACTATTATATTTCAAACTGTTATTTCAGCTCGGTCGTTTTGGGTGAAGCTCTGGATTTGAAATTCCACGTTGCAGCACGAGCTTAAATTAAACGCGAAGATTCCATAATGTAGTCGATTCTTCATAAGAGTTCCCCACTCGAAATATTGGGTCTCATTTAACTTTTCCTACAGCAAGTCTGTAAGAGACCTGTATAAACATTCAGTCAATCGGAAGATCTTTAACCCACTGAGTTTCTCACCTGATCTTCTCAGTGAGTCGCAATTCCGATCCCATCATAGATTCTGCGAAGCACTGCTCTTGCTGGACCTGGTGTTAGCAAATTCTCTCAGGTTGAGCCCGTGAACTGATTTGTCCATTCGCACGAAACTGGAATTACCTCTTAGGCTAAGGCTACCCGCGAATAGGCAGGGAAAAATATCATTACATGCTGCGCGGTCTTTTGTATACGCTATATTTAATCAATNGTCGCAATTCCGATCCCATCATAGATTCTGCGAAGCACTGCTCTTGCTGGACCTGGTGTTAGCAAATTCTCTCAGGTTGAGCCCGTGAACTGATTTGTCCATTCGCACGAAACTGGAATTACCTCTTAGGCTAAGGCTACCCGCGAATAGGCAGGGAAAAATATCATTACATGCTGCGCGGTCTTTTGTATACGCTATATTTAATCAATACAAACCGTCTATAAGAATCGTTGGTCTAGGTCACACAAGGTCCTGGGGTGTAGCCAAACCCGAACTCCTGACACATTGCTACAACGAATACGCTGTCGACATGGGTCTCGGTCCGATGAACCCAATCAAGGACAGCACATACACCTTCCTGCGGGAACTGTTTCATGAGGTCCAGGCCTTGTTTCCGGATAGATACATTCACATCGGAGGTGATGAAGTCGATCTAGATTGCTGGTAAGTCAAACTTATAACTAAATATTTAAATTAACAATGGCATCTATCCACCTTGTTTTTTTGTAAGTCGTCGTACCTAAAGGATAAGACGTCCGTAGCATTATGCACTGGTGATTGAATCCCAGGCGGGTACCAGTTTTTCTAATGAAATACGTACTCAACAAATGTTCACGATTGACTTCCACGGTGAAGGAATAACATCGTGTAATAAAAATCAAACCCGCAAAATTATAATTTGCGTAATTACTGGTGGTAGGCCGTCTTATGAGTCCGCGCGGGAAGGTACCATCACCCTGCCTATTTCTGCCGTGAAGCAGTAATGCGTTTCGGTTTGAAGGGTGGGGTAGCCGTTTTAACTATACTAAAATCTTAGAACTGCTATATTAAGGTGGGTAGCGCATTTACGTCGCAGATGTCTATGGTCTCCAGTAACCACTTAACACCAGGTGGGCTGTGAGCTCGTCCACCCATCTAAGCAGTAAAAAAAACCTGACTAGGGTATATTTTTGTTGACAGGGAGTCGAATCCAGAATTCCAGAGATACATACAAGAGCACAACCTGACTTCGGTAGCTGATTTTCACGCTCTATTCATGCGCAACACGATTCCTCTGCTCAGCGAAAACTCGAGACCGATTGTGTGGCAGGTTTGTGTTTGAACTGACAGGAACATAGGCATTGTCGACGCAAAATAATTGTATTCGGTCACCGTCCTCGTCGAACCCGTCGCTTGCGACGAAAGGCTCGACGAGAAAATTAGCCCATAGACACAGCCTACTGAGTTTCTCACCGGATCTTCTCAGTGGGTCGCGTTTCCGATCCGGTAGTAGATTCTGCGAAGCACTGCTCTTGCTAGGGCCAGTGCTAGCAACGCTCTGGTTCGAGCCCCATGAGCTCACCTACACGTTAGGGTGAAGCTGAAATAGCTTCTCAAGACTAACAGCATAGGTAGGAAAAAAAATTGCATGTGTATCTATCTATCTATTATTCACGTAGGCAGTGAAAAATGTCAATATAGTTTCAATGCGAGAATGAGATTGATAAAAGATAACTTATATCACTCTCCTGACCGGATCTATTTCCTACGTGGTCAGGGAAAAGTGTTAGCGTAGTTTCCCTGCGCGAATGAGATGTTTTTTCGGGATAAAAGTTAACCCATGCCACCCTCCTAACATAATACATGCAATTTTTTTAAACCACATTATTCCTTTGCTTCGTTTCGAAGTAAAATAAAAACAAAAAAACACTCCTTCCCACTGAGTTTCTCGCCGGATCTTCTCAGTGGGTCGCGTTTCCGATCCGGTGGTAGATAATGCAAGGCACTGCTCTTGCTAGGGCCAGTGTTAACAACACTCCCAGTTTGAGCCCCATAAGCTCACCTACTAGCTCGGTGAATCTAAAATAAACCCCCGAAAATAAATCGACAAACAGATTAGAAAATGATTTTTTTTTCCCTACCTATTCTAGTAACCTCGAGGGGTTATTCTAGAATCGCGGAGCTAGTTGATGATAAACAAGTATTTGCCTATTTATATAAATTTAAACAAAATACACACACAGGACCTACATTACAATGTGGAATTTAAATTTATAGGAAGTTTTCGATGAAGGCGTGCCCCTTCCGAAGGACACTATCGTGCAAGTGTGGAAGGGAAACGAAGTTTACGAAATGTTGAATGTAAGTTTTGTTTATGGAGGGTAGAGGTCAGGACACACCTCTTGTGAGTTCGCGCGGGTAGGTACCACCATCCTGCCTATTTCTGCCGGGAAGCACTAATGCGTTTTGGTTTGAAGGGTAGAGCAGCCGTTGTAGCTATACTTGAGACCTTAGAACTTATATCTCAAGGTGGATGGCGCATTTACGTTGTAGATGTCTATGGGCTCCAGTAGCCACTTAACACCAGGTGGGCTGAGAGCTCGTCCACCCATCTACGAAATAAAAAAAATAAAAAAAAGGAGAGCCGTCTCTTCTTATGGGAGAAGCTTGAAAAAGCATCCCACTTTTAACACTAAAAAACAGCTTAAAAATCCTCCAGAATGGCGCTAGTTGTTAAACTGATTGAAGTATGCTGAGTAAGGACATTTAATATATTTAATGACTAGAGTAGTTAGTGACTGTGTAACATACAAGACCTCACATGCTTACGTGGTCGAAACTAATTTCGTTAATATAACCTAAAATTATTCCTGTGATAAAACGTGGAGATATCGATTGCATTTTCTTATCAGCTTTAAATAAAACACTTTTTGTGAGTTTGTAGTGCTTACAGTTCTTTTGTCCTTTGTTATTTCTCTATCTTATTCTAATAACTTTCAGCGCCTTTTTTTAAATTTACCCGGTTGCTACTGTAGCGCCACCCTTATATAGCTGATTTTAACGGACACTTTTTACAACAGAGATGGTTCTACTTACCTCATGACATAAATAATTCTGACGGCCGAGACCAGAAAGCAGCTTTTTTTTATTTTATTATGATAACTGCATAGATATTGCATTCAAGATGTATTTGGAGCTAAACGCTTTGAACAATATAATCATGCGGCAGCATACCTTCAGACACCAGGTTGAAATTTCAATTAAATTGAAATCTGATAAGATATTCCACGTCAAGAAAAAATACTATATGATTTCCAGTGCTCACTTTTTTAAATAAATATATTTACTAATTCCTATCCTATTTTTTAGATCCTAAGAGCAAGTCACCAGTTAATCTATTCCTCTGGCTGGTACCTTGACCATCTGAAAACTGGAGGCGATTGGACGGAATTTTTCAACAAGGACCCTCGGGATATGGTCAGCGGCCTCAGCAAAGACATCAATGTTGACAACATTGTAGGTGGCGAAGCTTGCATGTGGACAGAAGTTGTTAACGACATGAACATTATGAGCAGGTCTGTTGTTTTCTTCTGTTATTCGTAGTAGTTCTCGGGTAGACGACCTCGCTTGGCAATACGTAGTTACCAGAGCCCATTACTATATGGATACCATCATCACCTTGTAACCGCACTCTTGGTTACACTATGTAACGGCCGTTCTGCCTATCAAACGGAAACACGTATGAACAACGTGGTGCCTACGACCTGCTCATAAGGGCTCACAATAAGCACTGTTATCCGGCTGAGAACAGAATAAGTATTTTTCTACTTGCGGACATTGTTCGACTTGTCTTTCCAAAAAGTTTCCGATGTGCTATGATGTGCTGTGATATTTTAAGCTAAAAACCGCAAATTTCAAACATCCCCTTTTAAAACTGGCATTAGAAAGAGACAGGAACATACAAGTCGTATTACTTGCACCCTGAGCGGACCAATTCGTTTTCGGATAGCCATTCTATTTGGCTGGACTTATTATTTCATTATGACTTTGTTGTCAGTTTGATTAATATTTTATTGTTTATTTCCAGAGTATGGCCACGAGCTAGTGCTGTAGCTGAAAGACTGTGGGGCCACGAATCACAGGCAGCATATCAAGTATACTCTCGCTTAGAGGAGCACACATGCAGAATGAACGCGCGCGGCATACGCGCCCAGCCACCCAGTGGCCCTGGCTTCTGCCTAGGCGCTTAGTGAATTAATTATAAGAAAGAAAAAACATTTCTTCATTATTCAATAAGAGATGTAACTATAATATTAGCACAGGTTTAATTCAGAATTTTTTCAACATACCTAGTACAGATACAGATACTAGTTATTCCAAAAATAGGTGATATTGTTAAGTAGTACATTTTTTTAATTAAGTACATGCTATGAATTATTTACTATGATTGGGCACGTCCTAAATTACAAAGATATTACTGGGCATGTAAATTACTGTTTTACTGAATATTTCCACCATTCCTAAATCCGAAGTGGTAAAAAAATATTTAAAAGCATCATCAAGCAAACTAGAGAGAATACATGTTTAAATGAGTGATCTCTGGGTATATAATCTTCTAATATAAATATAAGATTCTACTGTACGTGTGTATGTCACTGAACTGCTAAACAGCTGGACCGATTTGATTGATTTTTTTTGTATGCGTTTAGGTGACGCCCTGGATGATTTAGATTGACAAATCAGCCTGACAGATGGCGCTGCAGTCGGTATCTAGGCTATTTAACTAGCAAGTAACTAAACGGCTGGATCGACTTGAATGACTTTTTGTGTATGCATTCACAGGACAACATCTGTCAAGTCCGCTGGTATATATATAAACTTAACGTCACATCGGTAGTGTGCGACAGAGACATCGCTCCACAAAACCGAAATTAGTCGATTATTTCTTCCCAAAACTCGAAGTGCAATATTTATCGAAGGGTATTTATAATTAATATTCTATTAAACATATACATCGTATTTTATCCATAAACTATTTATTTTGATGTTGAACGTTTATTAATACCTACTGTGTAACAGAACTTAAAACTTCGTGTAAAATTGAATGTTTGTGCGTTCTGTCCTGATATAGTCCTGATATAGACGATCATCAGTTTTTTGACAGGTTGAGTTCAATTGTGCGTATAGGTTCTAGTTTCACCGAAGTACGTGTCGTACTTCTGCCGTGACCTATCGGTCACGCGAGTGATCACAACAATTTTAGTTTACATACATTTATCTAAAGTCAGACAGGAGCGTGGACGTTAACGAATGCGTATATAACAAATGAACAAACAGATTCATTTTTATTTTTCAGCTACTCCATGACCGTAGCAAACTTTTATTCATGTCTGGTAGTCATAACATTGTTTTTATAATAATTAAGTAGGTACTAATATTATAGCGACCATATATAAGGCTGTCCTATCAAAACCATTCATTATTTTTACGTTTGTCTTTACAAATTAATTTTATAATATTATAAATAGTTTACTTTGATGAAACTAAACATGTTATATTTTAATATGCATATTAATATAGTATTGCGATAATGAAATACACGTTTTTTGTTTTTTTTCTAACTAGGGTTGATTTATTATTATTTTTTCATTGAATTAATCTACTTGAACTTAAAATTATGGATTTCGCGAGACGCAGATCTAATAAAAACTATTTCTACGATTTAATCTTATCATTTTATTATTTCCGATGTTTCGAGAAGAAGACGTAAAAGAAGATTTAATTCTTTAAAAATAATTACAGTTGTTCTAGTTCTAATATTAAACAAGTTATTAATAAACAAATAATCTTACATAATTATACCTTGTTTATCGTCCGTTTAAAAATCAGAAGATGTACAGCACTACAACACTAAGCTCATCCAGCTTCAGCTACAGCTTTGTGGAAGGGCGTTTTGTCAATACAAATTGGTATTACTATGAACGGATCACGCCTTCCAGTTTTAATAAAGGATAATGAAGCTTTTACAACGAAAGGCTTTTTTTTGTTAGGAGGAATTAACAGAAGTTTCGCTTATACCTTTGGTCAGTAAACTAGGCAAGGTTTTTGTTTTAGTGCCATATATGCACCTTATGAAACGCGCACTCATAAAAATATATGGGTTTTCTTAATTATTCGGATAATGATAGTCACAATAAAGCGTTGATGGATTTATTTCATTTTTGGATAAAAGACACTACCCCCTCAACTGGTATTAAGTAGTTACCGGGATCCATAACCGTCAAAATATCAATGCCGTTAGCCATCTTGAGATATGAAGACGAAATCTCAACTGTATCGTCCAGCGGCTATCGTATTGTGAAACGGATCTCATGACTATTTCGGGGCAGAAATAGACAGAGGAGAGTACCTACCCATGTGGACTTACAGTACCTACGCTCTATCTCTAGTCTGTCCAAAAAGATTTGCGAGTTAAACTTATATTACATGATGTTATGCCTTCAACTTGAAAGTTGTTGGTCAGGACTAGGAGTGGGTAATATCGGTTTTGCCACGTATCGAATCGTATCTATATATCGAGGATCAATATCGGATATTGAATCTATGTATTTTCTGAATCTATATATTGATGGATGCTAGTAGATTTTCTCGATTCATGATATTTGAGATTTGAAACGATACGCTGATATAATATCGTAGTAGATATAGATTTAAGTCAACGTTATACGGTTGGTTTTCTGATATCAATTTATAATATGATCATAAAGTAATAAAAAGAACATGAAAATAAAAATATCAAAAAAAATTTCCTTCATGCTTTTACCAGGCTTAGGACTGGCTACATTATTTTCAGTTTTTAGTATTTTGTGTCTTAATTTAAAATTACAAAATATACCAAAAGAGTGTAGATTTCAAAAGTTTAATACAAACACAAGAAATAAACTCAATTATTTGGATTCAACTAAAAATAGAAAAATGTGTACTTTAAAAATCAAACACAAAAAACTTTTAAGTATTTATAAACACTTGTCCAAAAATTCTAGTTCAAGGTCAAAGCGCGTGAAATTAAATTCAACGATGCAAATAGGCTATACTGCATTCAAGTTAGGGTCGAAAGTTGAAACTTCTTTCCTTAATTGTATCCTGCTGATACGCTAAGAATAATCTACAGACATATGGACTTAAATATAAGGTTTACAATTGTATGGATAATGCCTGTTTCTGTTTCATTCATCACATGATATCCCTATCGTGCGCTCACTCACTCTGGCCGATTCGATACGAACCAAACGAATATTGCTGATATTAACGAATCGGTACGATATGCCGATGCGCATCAGATCGAGCAATATCGTGAATCGGCTGATATCGAAATATAGATTTCGATTCACGAATCGGTCCGATATGGCGATGCGCATCACATCGAGCAATATCGTGTATCGGCTGATATCGATATATAGATTTCGTGCGGGGCGATATCGGATTCAACGATATTGCTGCGATATATAGATATTGAATCTATATACGATTTATATCACCCACTCCTAGTCAGGACGTATAAAGTACCTATTTCTTAGCAAAAAATTATATTTGTACCCTGACATTGACGTAACACTTTATGTGAACACACTGGTATCCTATCTTTTAGGACTTTTCTCGTTGATAATGCCACCATCTGTTCAATGTCAAAATTTAACAAAATAACCGGTTTTCATCTTAACACTCTCCAACACGTCACTACCTCCATTGACAATATTGACAATCTGTAGAAAGCGAACTTTATTTTGTTTATGGCAACTAAATTGGGTCGATTATGTCATGGCGGGGTAGATGTTTTCGGCAATTGATATCTCGGTATTAATATTAAATTACGCCGTCAATGAAATCGTCTCGACAGAAATTGTTTAAAAATAAGGATATTTGTGTGTTAGTGATCTCTTTTTAAACAATTCCAATGCTGAAAAGGTTGCAAATGGGCCTTCGCGCGTTCATGCTAGTAGCATCAAAAGTATGGAGTTGTATTTGTTATATGTTTAAGAAGCAATATCGTGCGGTAAATATTATGTTTGAAGTGTTCGAGAAGCGGAGATGACATAGCATTTTGTTGGTTTTCATGAAGATTATAAATCTCACGTGTTATTTGAATATTTCAGTTGGCACAATACCAATCAGTGAAGTATGAAATCTACCCACTTTCCCCAGTATCTAGACACAGGCTGAGTGAGTATTTATCACTAAAAATTATCTTAATTTATTTGCGTAGTATGATAGTATTTATCAGTGAACATTGAGTAGATATCTTGAGAATGTATCATTCAACATATGTTTTATTAATATTTTATAAGTAAACATGTCAACGTTTTAGGTATAATATAAGATTGGTTAAAAACAATCTACAAATTTCTCCTTTATTGATACGAAAATGTACATTACTTGAATACAGAGCTTACTTGACAATTTGAAAGTTCTATAATTTGCAATATTAATATTGGTAATTGTTTCTGCAATATTCATACTAGATTATTGAATTACACAATCAAGTATGCAACAAATGTCAAAATAAATATCAATGAAGCTTAGGAATCGGTTTTAATCTTTCACAGCTTTTTGTAAAACCACATTACACACTATTATTTAACAGGGCTTACCACGTTTTTTACTTTTAATAGTTGCTAAAATCTCCTGACAGTTCCCATACTGAGAACTCATTCAAAGTGTAAATCGTCACAAGAACCCGTTCAATGTGTGCCATGCCTTACTAGGTTTACTAGCATTTCTGATGTCTATGAGCAAACAAGCATCACCGAGTTTCAACTAGCTGACTGAGTACTCATATATAATCATTGACATAGAAATAAATTAAGATATCTGTATCTGAAAACATAAGCAATAGTGACCGCTTAAGAAAAAAATATTGACAGATAAATTTTTGTAAAGAATGAAAAATATCCTAATATCCAGATGAAATTGACAAATGCTCTTCATTGCAGCAAAACTTTGGGTTCTGAATGAAAAGTCTCCTTACTTTTGATATTATTTATGCAATTCAATTAAGATGTGCTTAATTGTTTTCTTTATTTTGTAGTGTGATTTTACAGGCCATCTTGTGTAAATGTTTACCAGAACACATAAACATCCTAAGGTGAATGTGTCGGCCTTAAGGCAATACCAGCAGTCCCATAATTCAGTTAGTGGAAAATTAAACTCCTTCAGGAAATGAGTAGACTGGTGCTGTCTAAATCATGTTTTAAATCTATGTTAATTCATGTTTTATACAAAAAATGATTCACAAAACCCCTTCTGAAACACACCTATGTCTAATAGGAATAGTTTACTGCGATAAGTAATTGTGTTTGTCTTAGCTACACAATAGTAATAAAAAGTATATATTGTGTATAGTGTGTAAATTATAAATTTTGTATTCTCATATACCCTCTATCAAATAAAGAATTATTAACAAATTGTACTAAAATAAAATTTATAATCAATATTTTTTTTGTATTTTCCAGGTCTAGTTAGAAGAAAAATCCTGGTTTTAGATTTAGATGAGACATTAATCCATTCGCATCATGATGCGATGGTCAGGCCCACTGTTAAGCCGGGTACGCCTCCGGACTTTGTCCTGAAAGTCACTATCGACAAACATCCAGTTAGATTTTTTGTTCATAAGAGGCCGCATGTAGACTACTTTTTGGATATAGTAAGTAGATTATTATCTTTAAAATACTGATGCCATCTAGAATGTTGATAGGCAGCAAACACATCTCTCATTGAGCCATGAGCTCCACTATAATAATCTAAATTGCAGACCCAATTGTTCTGATGGAATAGTACTAATGTAACGAACGTACTATGTTTAATAAAACACCAGGTTTAATAAAAGTAAGAGTCATCAGTGTATGTAAATTAGCGATAAAATTAAAAAGAAGAAAAACTAAAATGAATAGCGGTAGGCAGCGGCTTGGCTCTGCCCCTGACATTGCTGAAGTCCATGGGCGACGGTAACCACTCACCATCAGCTGGGCCGTATGCTCGTCTGCCTACAAGGGCTATAAAAAAAAGAAAAGAATAGACAAAAACATGACTCAGCTAATTTATATTATCTAAAGATTGTCTGAAATTGATATTATCAACAATTCAGGTTTTCTGATACCTTCATTCCCGTATAACTTATGTATATCAATATTACATTAAAACTTTAAAATATCTACAACTACAAAAGCAAATATCAATCCTAAAATTCAAATTTAATAGTGGACAAATAATCAAGTATTTATGGATGCACATTCTTATCTATTTGGTTTCCTTAGTCACTTCAATCAACTCTTGCATTATATGTATAATATAAATGATTTATCTCATTATTCTGTTTGTGATTCAAAGAGTTATGACAAACATATAATGTTGAGTATCTCAATAAAATTACTCTTATCACTATTATTTTCCTGTTGAAAATAACTATTTTCTGTATCAACAGACAAAACAAGCTTGCTTACTATGCTGAAATAGTCTTCTTGAATGCTTTGTTTAACGGCCGTCTGGTGTAGTGGTGAGTGACATGGTCACTACACCAGGGGGTCGCGGGTTCGAATCCCGCCAAGGGAAGATATTTGTATGATAAATATAAATGTCTTTTCCAGGGTTATGGATGTATATTAAATATATGCACGTGTATAATAAAAATCTTACATTTATTTCCGTTATCTGGTACCTGTAACACAAGTTCTTTACGAACTTAACACGGGACCAGTTAACGTGGCGTGATTGTTATTAAATATTAAAATATATTAAATATTAAAAAATATTAAAAATATTTGTTCCTGGTCACCTTGAATGATCATATAACAAAACTCCGCACATAGAAAGTGTATGGAAAATTTAATCATAGAATGAACAAAAAAAAACAAATAACATTAAATAAACAATACCAACAAAATCAATAATATGGAAAAAAACAAAATGGAAATACAAAATTGTAAAAATTGATAAGATATCTCAATTTTTTATTTCAATATAAAATGAAAGGATTTTTTTGACTATTTGATTGTGGTTTATGCATTCATGCTGCATGTCTCTAACAGGTTGCTATGACAATTTACTAGTATGACATCACATATCAAGTAGTCTATATTGATATTATTTTTGGTACAGAACAAAATGAGAGTAAAATGATTACTAACTTTTATCTAAACCATTATTTTATTGGTCAAAATCAAAGAAACCTACATATATCTTTCATATGATGTAGGTAGGATAGAATAAGAAGTAACTACATTAGCTCAAAAAAACTGAATAAAACACATTCATACTTTTTGCCAATATCTTATTGATCAATTCTTCTAGATGTTGAATGTATGTGGTAACAAAACATTGATTTGTCTTTTTAGGTTTCACAGTGGTATGAGTTGGTTGTGTTTACTGCATCTATGGAGATTTACGGCGCCGCTGTGGCTGACAAACTAGATAATGGACGAGGTATCCTGAGGAGACGCTTTTACAGGTAAAAAATGAACCAAATCATTCCTGAAGCATCTATTCATCATCAGATTAACCTCCTATCGTTCAATAGTTAACAGTTTGTTAGTGAAAATGTTCGCTAACATTAACAAGAAAGAATAAGAAGTAACTACAAACCATTTCCCGAACAATTGATAAGGAATGTTGTGGATTTTTTTGCAAAATTGTTATTAACCGCCATTCTGAAACAAGGAAGTAATTAGTTACGGTTTGAAAAGGGTAGGACAGCTGTTATAATATCGTCGACCTCAGGTTTCAAGATGGTAAATTCATTTATGTCTGTCTATCTAAAAAAGCAAAAAATAAATCAATAAACAAATCAGGAAACACATCCCAAAAAACTAACTCTATATATTTTTAGTGCACAGAATGAAACAAAACACATAAAATTATTATAACAAAGGAAGAAAAAAAGTAGATAATGTTTTCTCTTAACACCTTTGTTCACCATGGAGATAATGGAAGAAATCATTAATAATTGTGATTTTTAAGAAAATAAAATTTTTTCTAGGCAACACTGTACAGCAGAACATGGGTCGTCATATACTAAAAATCTGTCATCAATATGTGACGATCTGAACAGAGTGTTCATACTGGACAATTCACCTGGAGCTTACCGAGATTTCCCGGGTGTGTATGTTTATAAATAAATTTCATACTTTTAGATGGTGTTATAAATGATGCAAATAAAATATCATGTAAATAAATTCTTGATGATTTGAAATATTTCTTCTTCTCAATTGTGTGACTCTTCACAAAAAGTAGTCTTGATCGTCATATTTTAGTGTTAAAGGGGGATATTTTGCCATCTCTCCCTGCTTGAGGCCATACTACTGCACTCCCTTAGGAAACCTCCCACTCTAGCTTTAATTTCGTCAGTCCACCACATTGGCGAAATATTTACTTTTTCATAAACTGAATCATAATGATTTTGGAGTACCTATGATTATAGGCATAAGAGTAAAAGAGAGATAAGATAAAAGAGTATTCCATGAACAGCTGATTAAGATTGGTCCTTCAGTGCTGTCACAGCACAGACAACACAATTTAATTCAGTTTCGGATTTAAAAAGTCCTTCAGGAGACCACTTGATGGTGAGTGGTTACCTTCGCCCATGGACTTCACGAATGCCAGGGGCAGAGCCAATCTGCTGCTTACCGTTAAGCACTCCCCCACAAGCCTCGTTTTAAGAAGGACATGTCATAGGTTCTATTCACCCATCAATTTATATTTTATCTATCTATCTATCTATATATATAAAAATGAATTGCTGTTCTTTAGTCTCGCTAAAACTCGAGAACGGCTGGATCGATTTGGCTAATTTTGGTCTTGAATTTGTGGAAATCCGGGGAAGGTTTAAAAGGTAGATAAATATGAAAATGCTCGGAATTAAATAAAAATAACAATTTTGTTTTTCCTTTGATGTGTCCTCCGTCAGACGGATTTCGTTTGTTTTAAGTTTATTTTATACAAAAGTTTATATCTTTTATTTATCGATTGAGGCACTACGAAGTATGCCGGGTCAGCTAAGACGCCATAAAAATTAACATACAAGTTTTTGTTAATTTCAGATAACGCGATTCCAATAAAATCGTGGTTCTGCGATCCGCTGGACGTGTCCCTGCTGTCGCTGCTGCCCGTGCTCGACGCGCTGCGCTTCACGCACGACGTGCGCTCCGTGCTCTCGCGCAACCTGCACCTGCACAGGCTCTGGTAGCCGCAGGTGAACACACACCGCACACACTCACCTGCACACAAGCTCCGGTAGACATGAACACACACCTACACACAGACTCCAGTAGAGATGAACAAACACTCACCTACACACAGGCCCCGGTAGAAATGAACACACACCTACACACAAACTCCAGTAGAGATGAACACACCCTCACCAACACACAGACTCCGATAGAGATAAACACACACTCACCTACACACAGGCTCCGGTAGAGATGAACACACACTCACCTGCACACAAGCTCTGGTAGAGATGAACACTCACCTACACACGGGCTCTAGTAGAGATGAAAACACACTCACCTACAGGCAGACTCCGGTAGAGATGAACACAAGCTCTGGTAGAGATGAACACACACCTACACACAAACTCCAGTAGAGATGAAAACACACTCACCTGCACACAAGCTCTGGTAGAGATGAACACACACCTACACACAAACTCCAGTAGAGATGAACACACACCTACACACAAACTCCAGTAGAGATGAACACACACTCACCTGCACACAAGCTCTGGTAGAGATGAACACACACCTACACACTAAATCCAGTAGAGATGAACACAAACTCACCTGCACACAAGCTCTGGTAGAGATGAACACACACCTTTTTTTTTTATTGCCTTTGTAGGCAGACGGGCATACGGCCCACCTGATGGTGAGTGGTTACCGTCGCCCATGGACTTCAGCAATGCCAGGGGCAGAGCCAAGCCGCTGCCTACCGTTGCCACCTACACACAAACTCCAGTAGAGATGAACACACACTCACCTGCACACAAGCTCCGGTAGAGATGAACACACACTCATCTACACAGGCTCCGGTAGAAATGAACACACACTCACCTACACACAAGCTCCGGTAGCCACAGATGAACACACACTGCACACACTCACTTTCACACAGGCTCTAGTAGCCCTAAGTATGTGTACACACACCATACACACTCACATGCATACATGCTCTGGTAGCTGCAGGGGAACACACACACTGCACACAGACTCCAGTAGCCGCAGGTGAACAGAAAAAACACACATAAATAAGCAACAAGTGTAATAATTATTACCTTAAATTTCAAATCAGTTCACTAACTATTATTTTTCAAATATCGATATTTTTCACTGTTTTAATTAGATTTTCATAAATAAGATATCAGTCATTTAATTTGTAGTTTTTGAAACAAATCTAAATAAGTATCAAATATAAAAGTGATGTAAGAGAGCCTAATTTTTACTGTTTATTGTCCGTGATAGTATCAATGTGTGGGAAGCATATTATAAATAAATTCTATAAGCGGTTTCTCGGTTTCATACTAAAAGTCCTTAAGGCTGAAGAAATTTCGACCATTTTGCAGTGAGATTTCATATTAAACATTTTTATCCCATTTTACATGTAAATGAAAATTACGGTTATTGGCTTTTGTCACAAATGACTAAGCTGTATAGGTCTACGTTCCCTTTACCTATTCTATTGGACAAATGAGAAAAAACGTCTATGGTCAGGTCGTTATGAATGAAATTTACGCGGCAATTTTAAATAACAAGAGCGGACCAGTTTCATTTACATTTAAAGTAAGCTGATGTCGTATTACAGTTACACTCCACACATTATTTATTTATTTAAAAAGTATTCTTGTTAAGTACTCTCTATTTAAAAAATGAGAAAATAGACGTTTTTCTTTTTGTAGGTGGCATATTATTATGATGCTAAGTGGTGATTGGAGCCTATAGACTTATTTTTATTAGTATAAATGATTGAACGAACTCACATCACAGTTGTAATGAAATGGTCGTTGAAACCCAAAACATAAGGAGAGAGCCATCCCCACCTTGAAGTTGAAGTTTTAACTGTATTTTACAATGGCTATTCTATTCTTCAAACCGGAACGTAGGGATTGCTTTGCGGCAGAAATAAGCAAAACGATGATAGCACAAGAGCTTGTAATTCTCCTCGAAAGTCAAAATATGAATATGTTTGTTATTCAATTCAATTCAATTCAAAATGATTTATTTGCCAGAGATATGGTACATAAATAATGGTATTATAATTGAGTCGTCTATTATCAAAGGTGGCAATCTGTGCATTTGGACAAAAAAAATTTATTGATATGTCAATACAGATTGATTTGAATATAATCGTCTCCTTCAAAGAATACGGTTCAAAACCTGCATTAAATAAAGGTTAATAGTTAACCTGTTATTTATCTAAGATGTCGTTCCGAAAAGTTTTGTGACTGCCAATGGAATACAAAGTCAATAATTCGTTTTTCTGATTTACCAATAATTGTCCAAAAGTCAGATTGCCGGCTTTGATAATAGTCGACTCAATTATTTTTTTTGCATTCCAGCATGTTCTCACTTGAATAAAAAGTGTGCAAATATAAAATAAATATTATTATAGAATTAATTTAAGATTACTAAAACATATCATATCATGTATTTGACTTTGAACTGGTGTCTGAGGGATATTGCTTTGCCCCCAATTGGTTAATAAAAAAAAAAAAATTTATTATAACAATATGTTATAGCGTTATGTTATTGTTCCCAGGGACCCACCGGCTTTTGTACAAATGAAGGGCGTCGCCGGCACGCCGCAGTCTATTTATTTCCCACTCGTTAGGACGTTCAACGCTTTTCAAAATATAGATAATAATTATTATACTTAAAGAAAAAAATAGTTCTCTTTTTATAAGTTTTGTTTAAAAAAAACATTGTGAATATACTTTTACATATTACGTGTGCTACCTACGTGCGTAGGAGGGCGTTTTTGAAACGCGATTAGTGTTTTTATTTAATTAATAATATCCTACTATAGTAGTGAAACGTCAAGATAAAGGTGGGGCCCCACTTCGAGCGGGTTTTCGTGTCTGTGATTAGACGGCAAGTTTGAATGGAGCCCGATTTCTATCTTAAATGTTTACCATGACAATAAAACTACCAGTACCTTTTTCTTTCATTTTTAGTTTAAAAAAAATGGGAGATCCCTGTGCCTAAACGTCGACACTTCAACTTGTACTTATGAAAATGGTCTTTAATAGTACAAAATGTTTTAAAATACGTGTTTCAAACTATAATGTATTTCACTTTTCTTAAGAAATTATGAATAAAAATCATAAAAAAATATGGATGTTCCGTTTGTGCTAGTTAAAAACCTGTATTTTTAGATTATTCTTTTTTTTGTAATATAAGTAGTTAGAATAATTGAATTTAGTTTTCTTTTTTCAAGTACTTTAAGGTTCCTTTGTGCATTTATTTTGGATTGCGCTGACAGTGGGGCCGCACCTTTCAAATGAAATAATCTGTAAAAAATTTTAAATCAGGAACGAATTTTCTTTGTAAATATCTTAATCACTATAAATCTTTTGAAGAAGCAACCCCAATTTTCATCAACAACATTGTATGGGAACTTATGTAACGCGCAATGGTTATTTTTCATTCTCAAAAAAAAAAACCGGTAAGTAACGAAGATATACCGGTTCTGTATAGCTATTAAGGTTTTATCCATCACATTGAGAAATAATCGACTTTTGTAAAATACCGAAATTAATAAAGTCATGATCAGTGCTTTCGACTACGTTCATTGCAGAGTCGAAACTTTAGCCACATTAAATCTAGGCCGAACATTTTTCACGTCCAGTCGAACTACGCACGCGACTGATGTCACAAATTCACGTGAAATGAATCGGGGTATCGAGTCGATATGCAATCTTCTAGGGTTAGCACTTGTGAAATAGGACAGACGTATGGAATCGATAAGCTAGCTAGAAAAGACGCGGTACTTTTCGTTTGAAGGTGATCGGTGAAAACAATCCCAATAAAATTGCTCTGTGAACATTCAAGTCACTTTTTTTTTCTAAGAACTATATACATTGTTGAATGTTGTGAAAGATCTCTGAAAACTTAGATATTTAATTAGTCTTCGTAAATTTTGATAACGTGGTTACGATCTTGTGCCTCTGCTACAGCGCTTATACATTTAGTGATTAAAAATTGATGATGGCAGCATTTGCGGTGTTTCAATAGTAATACCAATGATCTAAACCTGTCACCTTAAGCAATCAGACGCAAACTAATTCGTTTGGGCCAGTATTTGGTGGATGTACCAAGAACATTGCATATTCGCAATTACGAACCAACTACCAAATAACCTTTTCAAATTTGAAGACCTTAATTATTCAACACCCTTATTTATTTGCCTTAATTACAATGCATTAAAATAAGGAGGGTAGAGCTAAGGAGCACCAACTCTTATAGGGGACATGTTGAAAAAGTGTTTACCTGATAATAACGTTGGAAGACGTGGGAAGACTCCGAGATAGCTCTACTGTAGGAAGTGTAAATGATAAGAATATAGCAAATTCTAAACAGAGTGAAGCGTGATAGTTTATGACGCTGTTTTTTTAAATCTTTCCACATGCTACTATAGCGCCACCTTGATTGGCCCCTTTCAGCGGACACTTGTTAAAAAAACTGAGATGGTGGTCCTTATTTCTACCCTACATTTATCAAAGTTACAATGCTATAATACATTTCGCATCTCCCGTTTGACAAATACCAAAATGACATTGACAGCACCTAGTGTCAATTATAATATATTTTGCAGTCTACAATTAGCAGTAAATGCTATTGAGTAAATTTTGAATTGTCAATGAAGGTAACAAAATGTCTTGATTTGTTTTTTTTTTCATTGATGTATGTATTAAACCTTATTTTTAATTATAAAATAAATAAATAAACTTTTTCTAAGAGTGTATCTAGCAATATTAGTATCTAGAATTTTGTACAATAGATATTTAATCATCCAAGATCTCTATTTGAGTGCAGCAGTGCAGGTATTTACAAAGCAATCAATGCTGTACAAAAGACGCTTCAATGAAAACTTCTCATAAACATAGTATAGAAATTTAACTTGAGACTTGTTAACGTAAAAATGTATCTTGTGACATAAGACTTTGAATTAATCTCGCGTTTTTATTCGTGATACCACGAATACATAATGTTGGAAATATTTAGCAATTATTAAATTACCAAAATAAAAAGAAGATTAAACTGGATATGTGGTTACGGCCGCAATCAGAGATAACCGCAATAATTATCATCACCTAGATAATATTGTACGCAAAAAGTTAAAAAAAGTATTATTACTTCGTTAGTATTATTGCAAATGAATTCGTTTGAAAACTTTGACAATAAGCGAATGTTCTTTTGATCCATAAGCTAAATTTCAGTTTGCATATAAATCTATCGTTATATTGCATCAGTTCGGCTGGTTATAGTCCGTAGACTGATCGATGATTCATGTCATTCATGATAGCTAAAATAATTGTGATAAACACAATTACAATTATCGATGGTTCTCAATCTTGTCAAGAAATCAGCACGTATAAGAGTAAGAATTTTTAGAAATATACATTACTAACTCAGATAATCGTGAATATTCGAAACAAAAGTTTTTTTCTGTGTGAAAAAATAACTAAACAAAAATTAGTTTTAGGAAAATAGGTACAAAAGTTGCAATAATTTTAATTGCAACAGAACGCACTCTCTATTGAATTATGATATCAATGTCTCATGCGCTACGCAAATACTACATACCTACCCGACACTGTGTGTGAGAGACCTACCCCACGCAATCCCCGCCGAAAATTCTTCAAATCACGGAACTGCTACGATTGCAATAGGCAACCGTACACTAAAAATGTACATGTCGTTATAAAGAACGAATCACTGTTTGCTATGTTACCGATATTAACGATATATATAAAAAAATTTAATAAATAAAAAAATTAAATTATATATATATATATATTTAATCACAAAATACAGCCTAATTTTTCATCTCAAGTTAAAAACCAACAACAGCGGACTGCCGTACTAGTGGCTAATAATTTTTGGATATTAATTAGTATGACCAAGCTAACCGCTTGTTTATTTTAGCCCCAAATGACGTCACACGCAATGAAGTTAGGTTCAGCCAAGCTAAAAATAAAAACTATTTAGACGTCTAAATTCAATATACATATAATATAATTATTAAATAAATAATTATTATGTGTACGTTAAATCGAAGTGTTGATTTTTTTGTAGAACGAATTCTTTTTGGTCCCTTTTTTCTGTACAATTAGAAGTATTTTAATATCTATCTATTGCTAATAGTTCTGTATCCGAATTAAAATAATAATAAGTGTTTAATACATAGGTACAATTTAGAATATCCGAACACAAAGTAACCCCTGAAGGTAGTTAATCTTTAAGCACATTGCCTAAACAAATTCTTTATTGTAAATGTAAAGCCATCACATACTCACGCGTCGAGCAACTGCAACACAGCTAACAATATTTCATCAGACTTCCAGAAAAATGTGCTGAATTCGTCGATTATTAAACTACATATTTAATTATGTCAAATCGGCTTTGAAATTGTTATTTCCTCTTTTCAAACAAATTTGAATGTATTTGAAAGTAAACGAACGTGGTAAGAACCGCTTCAAATTTTTAAAAGCACGAGTATATGTAATCTGAAATTAAACTTCAAATTAAGTAAATAGGTTATGGTTATGCATTGTTTAATTATCCTCTTAATGTGCAAATGATGAAAACGGAAGTGTATGTAAAATCATTAAAAATATTTCAGTTTCAAAGGTTTACAATGGACTGATTTATGCGCGGCGAAAAATGTTTCAATTGTAAAACAAGTCTCATTAATGTAATCAACATGCCTACATTATTTTCAATTTATTGTGATTTCCGTATGTATTGTCCGTGTTTTTTTTGTGAATGTGATTTGCCAGTTTTTGAAAAATAAAACAGTATTTGTTTCACAATATTGCCACGGTTTGTAATATTAAAATGAGATTGCATAAAATAAATAGTTTTTAAACTAATAAATTTTTTTTTTTAATTTTTTTATTAATGTTCGGTTTCTCAAAACAGCTGCTTCATATTCTGCTTTTCAAGCATTGATCGTTTTACTAAACTGTAATCCTGGTATAGAAAATAATCCATCGAGCCTTATTCGAAGTTTTACAGATAAATTCCCTCCACCTCTAACAAAATATCTTCATTTCTCACCTGAAGCCTGATTGCTGCAGAAAGGACTTTCGGACGGGACGTGACCATTTGTCATGGTTGAATTAGGATTGTGCTCTTAAGACGTACGAAACTGGTACGTTAGTTTTTTTTTTATTGCTTAGATGGGTGGTCGAGCTCATAGCCCTCCTGGTTGTTAAGTGGTTACTGGAGCCCATACACATCTACAACGTAAATGCGCCACCCACTTTGAGATATAAGTTCTAAGGTCTCAGTATAGTTACAACGGCTGCCCCACCCTTCAAGCCGAAACGCATTACTGCTCGGTAGAAATAGACAGGGTCACCACCCCCTTGTGGGTAGGTACCCGTGCGGACTCACAAGAGGTCCCACCACCAGTAATTACGCAAATTATAACTTTGCGGGTTTGATTTTTATTACACGATGATATTCCTTCACCGTGGAAGTGAACAATTGTTAAGTACGTATTTCATTACAAAAATTGGTACCCGCCTGCAGGATTCGAACACCGTTGCATCGCCTATACGAATGCACCGAACGTCTTATCCTTTAAGGTGAATTAGTTTTACCAACAGTTTCACGTGTAATTTAATACTTTCATAATGCATGCATTAATTTCATGCATGCTAATTAGTTTCGTGCCCTGCGCGATTTTTTGGTGAAATTAGTGTCATGCAACTAATTTCATAGTGTAGACGCGACGTGAAACTAATGTCGCGAAAGGGCCTGCGCTATGCGAACGTGCGTATTGTTAGTTCGGACTCGCTTCAAGCGTTGAAAATGGCATACCAACGATATAGATCTCATTAATGAATATCAGCGACAAGGGTGTCTTTGGGACCCAAAATACCTACAGTAAAAAAATCAAAATTATCTTCACTCATTCGAAAATAGTTTTTATAACTCTCAGGATCTTCATCTGCTAATTCAGAGACTAACTTCATTGCACCTAAATGCCTTCTTGTTGACCATCCTCGAATCTACCAAGTCTTTTTTTTCTTGATAGTCTTTTTTTAAGTTTATAGGTATTTAAGCAGTTCTTTAGCTACATTGAATATAGCTAATTATAGCTTTGATGCTGAAGGCGCCATGGTTACTGCGATACTGTGGATTTTGCGACACTAATTTTTTAACGAATTTACTTTCGCATATATCTAAACTACTTTCGTGAAACTGAGCTCAACATGCATGACACTAATTTCGTAATGTAAATCCCGCATTAGGCCACGACGACAGTGCATGCGAACTTAATATGAATAGTAGGTACATATTGAATAGCGACTTTTCTATTTATTTCAAACGAGGTTGATTGATCTTACGCTTAAATTTTTATGAAGCACTTAACGACTTTACTTAGGATCGTAGTCTCAAACGTATTGTTTAACTTCTTTGACAACGTTAATCAGAACGCTTTCAATAAATGCGTTGCTTTCAAAATAGGTAAGTGCCTTTTTCAAACGACGGAACGGAATTTAATTATTTTATTTGTGTAGAGGCGTTAGTTTAAAAAAGCATAAATCATGGAGAATAGAACTAAGGAGTACGATCTTAGTGTACTGAAAAGTGTCCGCTGAAAGGGGGCCAATTAAGGCGGCGCCGTAATAGCAAATGGAAGGTTTCCAAAAAAATATTTTTCCTACCTAAGCTGATAGCCTTGAGAGGCTATTTTAGCGTAATCTTAACTAGTAGGTGAGCTCATGGGGCTCAAACCGGAGTGATGCTAACACTGACTCTAGCAAGAGCAGTGCTTCGCAGAATCTACCACTGGATCGGAACCCGACCCACTGGGAAGATCCGGCGAGTAAGCTCAGTGGGCTGTGTCTATGGTTTAATTCGCTCGTCGAGCCCTTCGTTGCAAGCGACGGGTTCGACGAGGACGGTGACCGGTGTTTGTGGTACCTTAAAGCACCGTTAACGGATCAGTTTCCAAAAAAAGAGCGCCTTAATACCACAATTCACTTCAATCCAGCACACTCACTCTGTTTTAAAACTGCTATGTTCCACTATTTCGTCTCGTCGGAAGTCGTCGTGGCCTAAAGGATAAGACGTCCGGTGCATTCGTATGTAGCGATGCACCGGTGTTCGAATCCCGCAGGCGGGTACCAATTTTTCTAATGAAATACGTACTCAACAAATGTTCACGATTGACTTCCACGGTGAAGGAATAACATCGTGTAATAAAAACCAAACCCGCAAAATTATAATTTGCGTAATCACTGGNTTTTTTATTTTTTAATTAACGTTCGGTTTCTCAAAACAGCTGCTTCATATTCTGCTTTTCAAGCATTGATAGTTTTCCTAAACTGTAATCCTGGTATAGAAAATAATCCATCGAGTCTTATTCGAAGTTTTACAAATAAATTCCCTCCCCCTCTAACAAAATATCTTCATTTCTCACCTGAAGCCTGATTGCTGCAGAAAGGACTTTCGGACGGGACGTGACCTTTTGTCATGGTTGAATTAGGATTGTGCTCTTATGACGTACGAAACTGGTACGTTAGTTTTTTTTATTGCTTAGATGGGTGGACAAGCTCATAGCCCTCCTGGTTGTTAAGTGGTTACTGGAGCCCATAAACATCTACAACGTAAATGCGCAACCCACCTTGAGATATAAGTTCTAAGGTCTCAGTATAGTTACAACGGCTGCCCCACCCTTCAAGCCGAAACGCATTACTGCTCGGTAGAAATAGACAGGGTCACCACCCCCTTGTGGGTAGGTACCCATGCGGACTCACAAGAGGTCCCACCACCAGTAATTACGCAAATTATAACTTTGCGGGTTTAATTTGCGTAAGCTCAACATGCATGACGCTAATTTCGTAATGTAAATCCCGCATTAGGCCACGACGACAGTGCATGCGAACTTAATATGAATAGTAGGTACATATTGAATAGATAGCGACTTTTCTATTTATTTCAAACGAGGTTGATTGATCTTACGCTTAAATTTTTATGAAGCACTTAACGACTTTACTTAAGATCGTAGTCTCAAACGTATTGTTTAACTTCTTTGACACCGTTAATCAGAACGCTTTCAAAGAATGCTTTGCTTTCAAAAGAGGTAACTAGTCTATTGAAATGTAACATTTTTAGGCCTTAGCGTGCCTTTTTCAAACGACGGAACGGAATTTAATTATTTTATTTGTGTAGAGGCGTTAGTTTAAAAAAGCATAAATCATGGAGAATAGAACTAAGGAGTACGATCTTAGTGTACTGAAAAGTGTCCGCTGAAAGGGGGCCAATTAAGGCGGTGCCGTAATAGCAAATGGAAGGTTTTCAAAAAAATATTTTTCCTACCTAAGCTGATAGCCTTGAGAGGCTATTTTAGCGTAATCTTAACTAGTAGGTGAGCTCATGGGGCTCAAACCGGAGTGATGCTAACACTGACTCTAGCAAGAGCAGTGGTTCGCAGAATCTACCACCGGATCGGAACCCGACCCACTGGGAAGATCCGGCGAGTAAGCTCGGTGGGCTGTGTCTATGGTTTAATTCGCTCGTCGAGCCCTTCGTCGCAAGCGACGGGTTCGACGAGGACGGTGACCGGTGTTTGTGGTACCTTGAAGCACCGTTAACGGATCAGTTTCCAAAAAAACAGCGCCTTAATACCACAATTCACTTCAATCCAGCACACTCACTCTGTTTTAAAACTGTAAATGTCTATGGGCTCCAGTAACCACTTAACACCAGGTGGGCTGTGAGCTCGTCCATCCATCTAAGCAATAAAAAAAAATAAGTATTTTCCACTTCCTACACTAGCGCTATTTCGATGAATCTTCCAACAATTATTTTTTTTTTTTTTTATTGTCCTTGTAGGCAGACTAGCATACGGCCCACCTGATGGTGAGTGGTTACCGTCGCCCATGGACTTCAACAATGCCAGGGGCAGAGCCAAGCCGAACCTGCCTACCGAAAATGTTTCTCTTTACAAAGATGGTTGACATCTATGTACTCACAATACATCTTAACATCAATAAATGCACTTTGTTCATCACAGTATTTTAGAATAATACTCAAAGAACGCTGGGGCCCATTTTACACAAATATAAGCTTGGAAAAAGCCCACCCTACCACCAACACCAATGTTAAATGAAAGAAAACTTCAATCTCAGTGAACCCTTTAATTTTGAACGATTTTGATAACATCTTTCTAGTTTGAATATGTCAAATTGAACACTACTAACATTTTCAAATGGGTTTTTAACAGAATCGGACAATTGATTTTTTTTAACTAATTAATAAAGGGAAATTGTTACAAAATAACTATATCTGGTTCTTTAAAAAAAAAATTGTAATTGGGAAGATTTTATATTTTGAAATTCCCTCAACACACTAATTTGAAAAGTTAGGTACCTACAGGTTTTATCACTAAATTCTGCTATAACAAAAACCTTAATATCGAATATCTTTTTTTCTGCTTTTCAAAAAACAATGCATTCTGTTCTGATGCATGATACAGATCACAAAATATAGTTTTGTAGGCCATCTTATGAGTCTTGTGAATATGGACGTATTCTTATATTAAATACATGCTTTTTAAATGTTGAATCCAAATTATTTAAGTAGATCTTTTAAAATAACAAGATAGAACCTAAATAATAATTAAATGAATCTAAAAAATATTTGAAACTAAAAGATATGTTTGAAAATTGAAATTTGAAGTATATAAATGTATAGTAAGATACATGTTTGCTTAAAATTTGCCGAGGTCAGTATTACAATATAATTTGAAGTATTTTCAACTTCATATGGAGGTTTTGACTAAAATTAGATCAGCTAATCCAAACATAAACAAAGCTATGTTAACTAAATTAAAAAATGGAGTAATGTGTAATAGAATTAATTAAAATAGCTTCTTGGTTTATAAAATAAAGGCAACACTTATCAGTACGTCGGATTATTTTAGTTCACCAAAGCATATAAGTCTGTTGAGATGACAATTCTTGTCCAGAGGCAAGAGCAATACGCCAAGGTCGCAGGCAACATCAAATTGCTGATTCATTGACTATCAGAAATGGCAGGTGTGAAAGTTATCCACTGCAAGCCCAAGAAAGGTGCACGGTTGTAGATAGTAGATGTGGATGGTGAAAAACAAAAAAAATACATCCACCTGTGTCTTAATTACTAACTTATTGGGATTTTAGTTATAAGATTACTATGCAAGAACAAAGACATGAAAGTCACTAAAAACATTCTTGTACGAAATCTGTTTTGAAATCATAATAATCTTTAACTTCAAGAGTTATCAAAAATCAAGATACCACCCAGAAACAAATTCAAAGCAAACATGTAATTTGTTCAATAATATTGTTTTGTTGAAATTCATTAATGTTCTTTCTTTAGAACAAACTCTTAAATAAATTTTAGCATTCTACTTAACTTGTTTCATTGAGTTTATATAGTTTAACATTTTCTTAGCTTGCAAATGTAGCTTGGATTTCCAGTGCCATGCCATATGTTTTGCACTGGCACTTTGAGCTTACTCATATAGAAACTAGGCATTTTTTTATTAATTATTGTTTTCGAATAAAGAAAGGATGTACTCAACTTGTAGTAAATACTTGGTCTTATGAAAAAAGGTCTCAGGATCTTTATTACACTAAAACTAAATAAGTTTATAAAAATTAAGTATATTGCAACAAATCTTTATTTTTACATATATTTAGTTTTCTAATCTGTACTCAAGTCTTTCGTTTTATTTAAATTAAATTCTTTTCAAGCATACCGTAAGAGTTAGATGCGTGGAAATTCAATTTTTTACATCATAAAATTTTTTAAATGAGTATAATATGATTTGAAAAACATTACTTAAACAGAAATATAGTAAACTGATTCCTATATGTAACATAAGGCATATTTTATAAACGAATAGAAAATATTTTTTACAGTCCATAAAAACACCTATCAAGTAATGTTGCAGCTTGGCAAGTCTCTTATATTTTGAAAATTTCAATTGCAACAACACGTATAGCTGGATATCTCTACGAGATTTAATATATTTTAGAAAAGTGTATACTTTGTTATGTATTGTCCGTTTTTTGTGATAAGAAGAACATTAAAAGTATGATGGATGTGTAAGAACAGTAACTGGATGTTGGATGAGTTTGATTTTACAGAACATCAAGCTGAAGCCAATTAGCTTGTAACTAAAAATATCACAAACATCTGTGTCATTATAGACCTGACTGAATATCACTCATCTGGAGTCACTAAAATTCATCCACTATATAAAATTAAGTGACAACTGGTTTGCATATTTTTAAACTTATTTAAAATACTCTGTCCAAATGGTAAGTCACTAAAAAACAACAAGTTCTACACAACATTTTTAAAGAGATTATGCTTCATATTACAACTGTACATCATAATAATGGCTGGCAACATCAGCCACAGTCATAAAAGATTATCTTATGACACAGAAAATGCTTTTTCTGAAAACGATTTGACATAGGCTTCGTGAAGTTTATTCACAAAATCTGCATCATGTTTGAGTAAGTAATTAAAGGCCTGAAGGAGTTGATTCCTGGTGAGTGGCTGCGGTGATGGCTGGACATCACCACCTGAACTTGCAGTGAACATTGTGGGGGGCATCAGCGCCGGTTTCTGCTGAGTAGTTACAGAGTCAATCTTAGGATAAGAATGTCCAACATCCTCCACTTTGCTACCATAATAAGAACTTACCGTGTGTCCTATATCTTGAGACTGATTCAAGTATGCAGCTAATGGTGATGTTGTCTTGGGAGAAGATAAGTGCATCAAATTGAGTTCATTCTCCATGGTGACTATTCCATTAGCATCACTACTATCCAGAGCTTTTTTCAATCCTGGTATCCTTTGATTTTGCTTCTCCAAAGGAGTTGACTTTAATGAGAACATACAATTTGGTTTGATACCAGAATCTAGTGTAGAATTACCATTTGAGCTTTGCCCTTCTTGAGGAGTAACAGATCGCTGTTGCTTCTCAATATGTTCTACTGAATGTGCAGGGTTACTCATGAGCCTCTGTAAAAGCTGTGGTACTTCTCTGGAATCAGTGGCACGCGGACCGAATATCCCTGGTGAGGGCAATGAAGACACTGCAGGCATTTGAGCCGATGCTCCACTCCCAGCCTTTGCAAAGAAATCCATTACACTTTGCGACGTCATGTCAGGCGCTTTGGCCGGCGTCGATTCGGATTTGTTTCCAGCAACACCTTTATTAGAATTGAAATCGTCTTGCGCTTTACTCAACATGCTGAAGATATCTATAGATTGAGTTGAAGTTGTAGACGAATTGTAAACTGAATTCTGTGGCATGGTTTCGCCTTGCGACTGTTTTATGGACTCTTTCACTAATGTGTTCAACTTCGTGGCCACTCGCACGCACTCGTCCTTATCATAAAACCATATANTTCCAGCAACACCTTTATTAGAATTGAAATCGTCTTGCGCTTTACTCAACATGCTGAAGATATCTATAGATTGAGTTGAAGTTGTAGACGAATTGTAAACTGAATTCTGTGGCATGGTTTCGCCTTGCGACTGTTTTATGGACTCTTTCACTAATGTGTTCAACTTCGTGGCCACTCGCACGCACTCGTCCTTATCATAAAACCATATACCGTAAATGCGGCACTTGGCGTTACGATATAGTAAAAACGGCTCCTTTAACTGTAGTTCAATTCCTTTAGACACTGGTTCTATTAGGTTGTTAGTGTTCAGCCTGTTCATAATCACTAAACTGTGGTATGGTTCACCATTTCTACTGTACACAAACAAAGCACCCTCAATGTTGGTTTTCTCCCATTCGTTCTCTTCAAATGTGTAAAGGGCAACGTGGGTAGCACTATCGACAATTTCACGAGCATATGGATCTGCCCGCTTTAATGCAGCGAAATTCATACTACGTAACCCGGTGTCAGCCATTTTTTATATTACTAATAATAAAATAGTTTTGATCAGCGAACAAGCATCACAGCAAAATGACAAGAACGAACAGTTTCGCCATTTTGGTTACGTTTTGAAATCTGAATGTATTTAATTATTTTTAATGATTCAGGTAGACTATTCGTACGCAAAAACTAGGAATTCTAGAATATAGAAAAATTAAAACTAGTATACATACATAAACAGGATGTACATATTTTATATTATGCAGGTAGCAAACAAAATATTTAATTCTATTAAAAATGTGGGTATTCACTCTGCATTGCTATACGAGTATTGTTTTAAATTTGTTGAAATATGTACTTTATAATACTTTTGCTTTGTTTTTTCTTTTAATTTACTCTTTGATACAAAACAAACCTAGTACAGGAACACCGGTCACTCACATGCGCACGAATACGCAAACCCGCAAGTGTAGGACGACATTTGCAAATGATTAAGCAAAGTTTTCGCTACATTCGTGGTTTTCCAAGCTGTGTCGGTTTTTTAACAGACATCAAAGCGCGCGAACCGCGAACATTCGTGTAGTCTCCCACACATTCGTTTGCCCAGTTGCGCAGACGATTGCGAAGGTAATGGACGTATCGCCATTTTCATAGTTCGTGACGTCTACAGTGTAGCGTATCTTCATCAAAAGAAATCCCATAAAAAACAGCATGGCTGTTAATGATGTCTGGGAAAGAATTCAAACCTCTTTTTCTCTTCAATGTTTTTTTTTTTTTTTTTTTATTGCTGAGATGTGTGGACGATCTCACAGCCCACCTGGTGTTAAGTGGTTACTGGAGCCCATAGACGTCTATAACGTAAATGCGCCACACACCTTGAGATATAGTTCTAAGGTCTCAGTATAGTCACAACGGCTGCCCCACCCTTCAAACCGAAACGCATTACTGCTTCACGGCAAAAATAGGCGGGGCGGTGGTACCTACCCGTGCGGACTCACAAGAGGTCCTACCACTAGTAATTACGCAAATTATAATTTTGCGGGTTTGATTTTTATTGCACGATGTTATTCCTTCACCGTGGAAGTCAATCGTGAACATTTGTTGAGTACGTATTTCATTAGAAAAATTGGTACCCGCCAGCGAGATTCGAACACCAGTGCATCGCTCGATACGAATGCACCGGACGTCTTATCCTTTAGGCCACGACGACTTTAAATGTTCTGTTGAGGAATTAAAAAGGAAGAGAAATTCGTGAGACAATCGTAAACAAGTGTAGGAGGAAGCGCAAACGGGTTCGCGAATTGAGTACCGAACCCATTTGCACAGCTGCTAAGTTTGCAAATGAATGTTTGACGGCCCTTCACATGCGCGCAAACATTCGTACAATGTACGAATATTTGCCTGCATGTGAGTGGCCGGCATAAGACCCTGCTTAACGCTGGTTTGCTTAAATTGTAATATTTCCCAAAATTGCATACAGCGTTAAACTTTCCGATATCTCAAATAGGTGGTGTGTAATTTGGCAACTTTAACATTAAGGACCTACACATAAGAGAAAAAATTGGAAATTTAGAAGAGATTGAATGACCTGAATTGTGAACATGCTGACTTAGAATTTTATTTATTTTTAAATATATATTCGTTATCACATTTCAATACTTGCAAGAAATAATTTATTTTATTGTTATGAAAAACATAAATTTAATTTTTTTATAACAACTAAGAGGCAAACGAGCAAGACGAGCAAACGAGAATTTAATGGTAAAATACCTGACCAATTTTCAGCCCATTTTCCCCCTGACCTCATCATTTACATTATGAGATAGCATCTTTATTCTTTCATATTACGCTTTACTTTAATGGAACGTATACCCCGTGCTAATGGAATCAACACAAACAACATATGTATGTATTGACCTAAGTCTAATAAAAAATTTACTGGTGGTAGGACCTCTTGTGAGTCCACACGGGTAGGTACCACCACCCTGCTTATTTCTGCCGGGAAGCAGTAATGCGTTTCGGTTTGAAGGGTGGGGCAGCCGTTGTAACTATATTGAGACCTTAGAACTTATATCTCAAGGTGGGTGGCAAATTTATGTTGTTAAATATGCATAAACGATGTCTATCTGCCCCGTTGAGAACTTTACACCAGGTAGGAAACACCATGCCTTATCTTCAGATCCAAGGCTCAGACGTGAGGTTTTCAGCGGCACGGGATTTTTGACGATTCAGCTTAAAAATTCCCATTTTAAAATGCTGTTAATTGTTCTATGAGTGAGAGTCTGACACGATTTAAAGAAGCCATTATCGTTAAAGAGTTATTATTTGGTTGATGCTAGGTTTCCTACTTCATTGGTTGATGCTATCTAACATACATTATAAGCCCCCATCAACATCAAAGTTCAAACGAAATGTCAAGAAAATGTCAATTTGTAGTGTCAATTTGTCAACGTCATTCGAAACTATGCGCGTGTCTGGTAAACAAGTGTGTTAGCTAAATGAACTAAATGTTCTTAATAAAAGAAATAAAAATAAAATTTGAAGTACCTAATATACGTCAAATTAGCGCTACAGTTCTTACCCTGAATATAATAAATGAATAACAAGCCTTTCCCATTGTAAGATACTATTATTTTGAAAAGCGAACACGTGAAAAATCTATTAAAAATTGGAAAAGTTTTCTTTAATTTGGTGTAATTTCTAAATAAAATGTCGGAAGCGAACGTTTTGGTAATAGGCGGAGGTGGTCGGGAACACGCTCTTTGCTGGAAGCTAGCGGATTCGCCTAATGTGAAAAAGATTTACTGCGCTCCAGGCAGTGTCGGTATTTCGACAACAAAAAAAGTTGAAAGCATCGAACTCGATATTAAAAACTACTCGGTATGTACTCGTTTAATAATATTAAATATTGAATTGTTTTGCTTGAAGAATTTCCTGAAACTGTGAAATTGACAGTCTGCTTCAAATACATTAATTTAAAAATGTATTTTATGTGTCTGTATTATCATCAGTTACCCTTTAGAAACTACTTACACTGCTTCACTGATAACTTAAATTTAAGAAGCAAAAAATGTCGTAAAATTGTAATTTTTTTTTATTTGGTAAAATTTGGTTGAAAAAATATTCTAGAAAAAAACATTTTACCAAATTTTTATGGTATGATATTCTACTTGATTATATAATTTAAGACTAAACTGAGGTGGGGATTTGTGAGTTTTTTATTTTGTTTTGTTAATGTTAATTAACATTAACGCAACTAACGCAACATTGTTAGTTTGCTAATGTTTTAATATTTTTCATAAATGGAGAAATAGCACACTAAGAGCAAACTATATGTGCAAAACATATGATATTAAATAAATTGTATTATTACACTATGATATCAGACATAGTAGTAGGTCTATGATTTTCTGTTGAATTCACAATGCTTATGATCAATTTATTTAATTACTCTTCACTAGGAGAAGTTAGGGTGTCCAAATTAGATATGAAAAGCTTCCCACCAAATGAAGGTCTCATTAATGATGAAACATCTAACATTAAAATTATTAAGGGTTAAAGTCAAAAATAATTATATTTAACATAGAAAAACTGATGTGAAGTCTTATAAGATAAAGAATATAAATCTTAAATCTACTGTAACATGGAATGAATAGACATTTTATAAATCACTTATTTAATTTTAATTAGAAATACCACTTAACACAAACAGTGCTGTGAGTGAGTCCACTAATTTAAGTCAATAAATTAATAATTAAATTTAATCTTCAATTTTAAGTGGTATTGTTTTATTAAATTGTACCTTTAACAAATATTTAGACTTGCATCCTGTAAGTTCGATCTTATAATATCTACAGGCGTAGGTACAAAAGGTTATCTCCCTTACATACATTAAGCTATTCTGCAATATATTTCATATTGGTCGTTTCAATGATAAAATCAAAACGTAAATATATTTGTCTTGTTTTGTCACAAACACTAACAATAATTGCGTAGTATTTAATTATTTTAATGATGTAAAAAATTATCGCTGCTTATTTATTTTTAGGAATAATTAACTCATGGTTGGTGGTATATTTAATTACATACTCTAACATAAATTATAGTTTATTAATATGGAGNTTCATATTGGTCGTTTCAATGATAAAATCAAAACGTAAATATATTTGTCTTGTTTTGTCACAAACACTAACAATAATTGCGTAGTATTTAATTATTTTAATGATGTAAAAAATTATCGCTGCTTATTTATTTTTAGGAATAATTAACTCATGGTTGGTGGTATATTTAATTACATACTCTAACATAAATTATAGTTTATATATGGAGTATGGTTTGTTAACATAATAAATGACAGTATCTGTGTGACCTTTGTTTGGCTCTGTTGATTCTTAATGATACTCAAATTTCATTATATAGGTGACATCAATATTATGAAATAATATTTTTAAACAAAATATAATTTTGTACAGTAGGTAGACAAAGTTGTTAACTCCTAATGCCAACAGTGCAAGAACCTCTGAGATTAACAATTTGAGAAGTTGTAGAAAATGTTTTTTTTACATAGAATTCTATTTGTTCAAGAGACAAAAATAAACTTAAAAAGTACACCTTATCTGTATACATATACTGGTGGTAGGACCTCTTGTGAGTCCGCACGGGTAGGTACCACCACCCCCCCCTATTTCTGCCGTGAAGCAATAATGCGTTTCAGTTTGAAGGGTGGGGCAGCCGTCGTAACTTTACTGAGACCTTAGAACTTATATCTTAAGGTGTGTGGTCTCTCAAGGTCAAGGTCAAGGTTACTGGAACCACTTAACACCAGGTGGGCTGTGAGCTCGTCCACATACCTAGGCAATAAAAAAAATAAAATAATACGTAATAATGCCAGATCATTGCAGCCGTTTTAGATGGACAAAATAAATTTATATATATTCAATAATTACTTATTAAAAGAAATAAAATACACAGATATGTGTATATATACATATATATATATACACATGTATACTTTAAAGAAGCTAAAGATAATAGTTTTGAATTATGTGTCCTTCCAATTTGACAAATGAATTAATAACAGTATGATTATGTATAATAGATGGAATCTAATTTGTGATTTAATGAAAAAAATGCTGGTCAAATCAGTAGGTTTTAATCACATTTTAATTGAAAACTATGTTAAACTCTAGTTTTCATAAGACTGCAAAGAAGAATGTGTCCACTTCGTTTCCTTATTGAGACCAAATGATCCAGGATACTCTAACATCTAATCTAATTCTTTCTTTCTTTCTGGTCGTTCCCTCAATGTTGAGGATCGTGACTGTATGTCAATCTTCTCCACTCGGTCCGGTTCTGCGCCATATGTACCGCTCCCCATATCTAATCTAATTACTCTAACATTAATTGCTTATTTCTCAAGTACCATCAAATTAACCAAAATACTTTATCCCAGGCATTAGCGCAATGGTGCAAAGATAACATAATAGACCTAGTCGTGATTGGCCCAGAAGATCCTCTAGCTAATGGTATTGTAGATGGCTTAGTTTCCTATGGAATTCCGTGCTTTGGGCCAAATAAAGCTGGTGCACAAATAGAGGCCAACAAGGACTGGGCCAAGAGGTTTATGAACAAATATCAGATACCGACTGCCAGACATAAGTCCTTCACTGATGCTGCAGCTGCCAAAGAGTTCATTAACAGGTAATTTAATTTTTTGAAATGATCGTTTAATTGAGTCGACTATTATCAAAGCCGGCAATGTGACTTTTGGACAATTATTGGTTAATCAGAAAAACGAATTATTGACTTTGTATTCCATTGGCAGTCACAAAACTCTTCTGAACGACATCTTAGATAAATAACAGGTTAAGTATTAACCTTTATTTAATGCAGGTTTTGAAATGTATTCTTTGAAGGAGACGATTATATTCAAATCAACCTGTATTGACATATCAATAACATTTTTTTGTCCAAATGCACAGATTGCCACCTTTGATAATAGACGACTCAATTGATAGATTCAGATAACTGAACTTGATAAATAGCGTGTTCTCAATTTATTTATTATTAACAAAAAGTCAAATCAAAATAATTTAACATAAATCAACTCACACAGTAGAACAGATCTTCCAATGCGCTTGAAGGAGGCACAGTTCCCAAGATACTGGCTACGTTGCCTCGTTGGACAGCCAGACTCACTCTCTGTGCAAAGTACCAGCCAGCCTTAGCATCACGGGTAACCTCCTTCAAGCGTTTGGTAATTGATAAATTGTCATTATAAAATATTGATGTATTTTCTGTTCTAATGGCTTATTTTAGTAATGACGAGTGAGTGATGACTTTCAATTTCTCCTCTACACCTGTCGTAGGGAAGATACTTAGTGTTAAGTATGGAGCTCAACAAATTCTAGATCAAATCGCAATCTAACAATTGCACTTCATTTTTCATTTGGGTTTTATTTCCATTCAAAAACCCTGTTTTATCGTTTTGCTTAATTCAGTGCATTATGCAAACTTCGAGCTAATTGTTGCACGAAATATCTCAAAGAACTATTGGATTCCTAAAATTATATTATGTCTCAATTCACAACAGCTCTTTCGTGTATATATTATCATCTGTACTCCAGTGACCTACGAGAGGCGAGTACTTGATATTATCGACGTGCACTTAATTAATGTTTACACACTAACATTTGTGGGACAATGTCACCACCTATTTCAAGAATTTTATACGTTTTCTGCGTCTTCAAATTTCTGATTTTTTCAGATTTCAAAAATGAAAGGCTATTTATAAAGTCATTTAAAAACTACAGTCTATGCGTGCTGAAACACGTACTTAGCCGGCTAGCTGTGTTAGTAATTAATGTGAACATTTAAATACATTCTGTTTGTTCATAATTACTGTAGAAGCTATGACATGCGGATAACCAGTTGAACAAACTCGATGGATAGATGTTCTTTTATTTATATTATTATTATATTAAATTTATGTTAAGAATCATTTAAATATAATATATAACTTATCCAAATATTTTAATAAAAGTAACTAACTACACTACCTTTAACATTTATTTTCATGTTAGAATATGCCTACACAATAAATCAAAGTAATTTCTCAAACTAGTTTCAAAAGAAAAAAAATGACTTGCTAAAATTTTAAATAAATTAACGATTCTGTGAACTTTACAACAAGTTAATTGCATTAATACAGCACCAAACCCTTTAATCATGATATTTTAAAAACACTTCAAAATTAACACAATTATTGAAAATCCAAATTATTGCTGTATGTGGAGTAATACTTTGTCTTGCAGTGCCACTTACCCGGCTTTGGTAGTGAAGGCTTCCGGGCTAGCGGCCGGCAAGGGTGTGGTTGTCGCTACATCCAAAGAAGAGGCCTGCAAAGCTGTTGATGAGATATTAACCGACGCCAAGTATGGTACAGCAGGACAGACCGTTGTCATTGAAGAGTTGTTGGAGGGCGATGAAGTTTCGGTGAGTTTATTATTTCAGTCGAGGCCAAATGTGTGCTCCAAAGCATTGCTGCACTTTTCGTGCCATGTGTCTACATGAAAAGACCCTGTCAGAGGTCTGTACCCCCAATGCGGGCTAACGATCCCGCCGTTATCAAAGTGCTGTTAATTCCTTATCACCCCCTCATATTCTCGCTTATTTCCCTATACTCTGGTGAACAGAATCATAGTGCCTGCCTTAAGTACCATCGTACCAATCAGTCCAAGTGAGACAGACAATGTCGTGTCTCAAGCTCTCTTCGTGGCCTTCGACAATTGCTTAATATTAGAGTGTGGTGATTACCATCGTATTTGGCAAAATATAAAAAAACTAGCTATACCCGTCCGCTTCGCTGGGCATTTAAAATTAACATTATTATTTCTCACCCCCACAAAAATATTCTCATCATTAACGCCCCCGCAACTGGTGTAGGGAGTCCAACACTCATATAAATATTAGCCTATCCATTAAGTACATGTATTTTCTACATGGATACCAAGTCTCGAGTTAATCGGATGCATGGTTCAGTAGTTATAACGGAACATCCGTAAAAACCACTGTAGATTTATTTATTAGTATACCTAGATGAGACGGGTTCAATGACAGACCTTATCAGTCGAAATGTTTCTTTTATAACATCTTAGCAACAAAAATTAAATTTCAAGCAATAAATTAATTTTTTTATTCAAAATTAGATAAAACATTATTTTATTTTTTTACGATCTCACGCTTTTTATCCTTTTAATTGACTAGAAATTCGATTCCATAAACACCGCGGTAAGTGGAAAAAAAAAAAAAAAGAATTGTAAGTTATGAAAAGTTATGAACTGACATCTTTCGCTCATCCGAAATGAATATGAATCTTCTGTTCCTCTAGGTTCTAGCGTTCACCGATGGTGAAACCGTGTCGATGATGCCGCCCGCACAGGATCATAAACGTATCGGAGACGGCGACACCGGGCCCAACACCGGGGGCATGGGCGCCTACTCGCCTTGTCCACTGATAACACCAGACCAACTCGCTGACGTCAAGGACCAGGTGCTGCAGAGAGCCGTCGACGGACTTAAAGCTGAGGGCATCAAATATGTCGGTAAGTCGGAAAAGCGGTGATGCTTGACTACTAAGCAAAAAGTCGTCTTGGCCTGCGAGATAAGACGCCCGGTATATTCGTATAAAGCGATGCAACCGTGCCGGTGTTCGAATCCCGTAAGCAGGTACCAAGTTTTCTGATGATATACGTTTTTATCAAATGTTCGCGAATGCCTTCTACGGTGTAAGAATAACATCGATTTAACAATTTATTTTTATTATCACCTCACCATATGATCGGAGTTCAAACCTGGAACCGCCACACTCTGTGAGTGAGATGGACGTTTTGTCTAGAGACAATTTTTCCACGTACCATCCGATGGGAACCCCTCGTCGCGGTAGTCTCTGATCGTTATGAGATAGCGCTCTTTGAACAAAGTTAAAAGGTTGTGTCCCCGACGCTGTCAGCTTTTATCAGTTGCACGTAAACAAAACCTTCGGCTACCCGATTTCGGAAACTTCCAATATACAACTTCATATATTTGTGTAATAACAGAAAAGAGACATAAAAAAATAATAGGAACGGAGACTTTATCGCAGTTATTCTCGGGAGAATTTCGTCGATTTTGTGTTTTTCATAAATCTATCATATCGTATCGAAAAATATGTTTTGAAAGAATTTTTCCTTTGTTTTAAGATGTTCGAGTCAGAGGTTATCGATAACATGTAACCGTATAATCGATATTCTTACTTAAATGTGCAAACCGTAACGGATGTCATGTGTAATGTATTTGATTTTATAAAGATTGAAACGTGCGTTTAACGATTTTCTCAGCTATAATTTCATTTTAATTTAATAGGCTGTTTTATATAAGGCTACTAATAAATGGTAAACGGAATGAAATGGAAATGGAAAACCAAAGAATCGTGTCGTACTCTAGTAAAGTACACGTAATCGACCAGACAAAACGCAGCAACAATAATTAATTTCTACCAATGACCGCATCCTTTCGAATTTTTTTCAGTTTTACTACCAAACTCGCCATAATTATTTTGTAAAATTTGTTGCCAATCCATTGCGCCTTCCGATTTGAGTCTTTAGTCGAATTGAATAGACACTTCTATTTCATATTTGTAATGAAAGCGCGAGATGTTTACGGGAGCGATTTAGTTATTACGTCAGTTTAAAAGGTTGGTTCAGGGGTCCGACTGGTTATTATTATTAGGGATTGTATGACCTGGTAACTAAGACCTTTAAGTCATGTCTTATTTTAATTTATATTCTTATTTTTATGAAGAATGATATTATGAAATGAAATGAAGATGATTAATTTGAGACATTAATCAACTGAGATGAAATTAAATGAAATGAGATGAGATGAGACGATATGGGATGAATTATAATCTCAATAAAATGGTGGTCATTTACTGAGATTTTTTCAGTGGACTCGTTGGAGGATCCCGAGAAGATACGTCCAGCGGCCACAGCCACAGTTATTACACATTTAAACCAGAAGAAACACTAAATAGACAAAATAAAACAAATCACACAACTTCACTCCTCGCGTTCCCGCCAAAAATTCCGGTTCGACTGGTTGAAGCTGAATAACCTAATTTAAACTGTATCTTCATGTGCCTGTCCTACCTAGCTGTACTTTTGTTTGCGCCCTTTAAAAGAAAGTGCCTCTCATTAATTACCTAATTGAATCATCCAATCATATATCTTGTGTCCAGGTCAGACTGTCTTGTATAGCACGCACATCAGGAAGTCCAATGACCACACAGTTTAGTACTTTAAAACTAAATAATTCAGCCCCACGATAACGTCCTACAATGTATGTTTATCATCGAATTTATTGCCCACATAACTTGTCTGATTTATGACTTGATTGCGAACGAAAGGGACGATGAATTGTTGATATATTTCGTTTACAATTGCTGAGATTTCGAAGAGAAAACGTTGTTTTTATCAATATGAATTATGACCGGTGCTACTTGGGGATAGTGTGGTTATCTATTAGTGTAAGAACGTCAGGGCAAAGTAGAAGGCACCAGACCGCGTGGAAGTGTGAATGGTTTTGTGTTGTCTCAGTATAGGCTCTCAACAATCTGCTACCAGAGGATCCTCAGCTACTTCGATCACATTGCCTGCCGACAGCCGGATAACTTAGACAAAGTGATTTTGACGGGCAAGGGGGAAGAAAAGTGACCACGCGGCCGATCGCCTAGCCGCTGGTGTGACCAAATAACCACCTTAATCGGGCTGCCAATCGCAGCCGCCCTACGAAAAGCTGAGGAGCGGAAGGGGTGGAAACAGCTGACGAGACAAGCCACGGACAAGTTTCAAGTATACGACCTCCAGTAATGAAGAAAGCGAGGAAGAAGAAGTTTACGCCATCATCAATCGGTCGATACCTGGTCATGGCTTTCTCGAGCGGTTTATTGTCCGATCACCAGATTCTAGTACTAGTATCCTCATTCGTTTCCAGTACCTCCAAATGGTCAGAGCAGCTTACATAAATATCTTATTAGTCAAAGGTTTGGGTAAGCAATTCGGACCCTCTAAAATTACTTCGCCATCTGTTTGAATTTTTATCATTAAAATTCAATTAGAAAAGCATTACGCAAAGTTATATCGTATTTTCAATGTGAATCTTAGTCCTCTCTGTGTGAACTGAAGATGGCGGTTACGTCATACGACTCCGGCCCACACTATTACGTATGTCATCGCTTCTTGACCCCATTGTTTACGCATTATCAGGACCTGACGCCTCTGATAATTCCTGACAAACATAAAATTAAATTAGAAGCATTGACTACAAACAAAACTGAACCTTGTCACTAACACGATTAGGTTCAACATAAAATCAGGGGCACATTAGCAATGCGAGTCCGTTGTTGCGTTTTTTGTTTATTTGTGAGTTTTTTTTTTCGGTTGCTACGCTTTAAACTAATTGGATGATAAAAGAAATTGTGTTGTATGTCATAATTGTTTAAATGATATTTTTTTCTGAGATGTCTCGCGACGGATTCTGTTGTCACTTAAGGTTATCACTTATCTCATACACGTAGTCTCATGCAGTCTTTGCCTTTGTTTTAACCTGATTAGGATCACCCCTAATGATCTCAAAGTTTATTTGATAGTTTTTTATAATTATAATTATCCGTTTTCTTTCTTTTTAGTTCTCCTTGTAAGTAGAGACAAGGCAACGCCTACCGTTGAGGCTTCTCGACAGACCTCGTTTGAAGAGTTACCGTCTCAAACTAATTGGTGCCTTTTTCTATCGTAAAGAAGTAAATGCGTTTCGGTTTGATGGGCGGGGCAGCCGTTGTACTGTTAAAAGTGAGACTTACAATTCATGTCTCATGATGGATGGCGGCATTTACGTTGTAGATGTCTATGGGCTCCGGTAACCACTTAACACCAGGTGGGCCGTGAGCACGTCCACCTAACTAAGCAATAAAAAAAAATCTCTCGAATGAAACAACGCTAGTTTCAGAACGGAGTTCTTGGTTTGATTAGTTTCTGCTCTGAATTAGCAGATTTATAAAATGGGCGTCGGGTAAGATGATGATGGTGATGCTGAAGGCAGCATCTGTGTCGATACGCTCACTGTGCTTAGTGTGAGTTTTCTAGCGTCAAATTTGTATGGAGTTGGAAGACGTTTGTCGCTAGGGGCGCCGTTCCATCTCCATACAAATTTGAGTTAAATTTTACGAGATCGAAAAGTTAGAAAACTCGCACTAAGCACACAGGTGGGCTGTGGGACGGGATTTCGCCCGCCTATTATGTATATTGTGCACATTATGTATATCTTATACCTTTAAACTGAATATAATCTGAATCTCGGAAACGGCTCCAACGATTTTCATAAAATTTTGTATACAGGGGATTTCGGGGCCGATAAATCGATCCAGCTACGATTTACTTTAAAAAAATGTTGTTTATTCGTGTTTTTAATAATCAACTTTATCGATAATCAACTTTATGACTCTTCCCGACATCTATTGGCGAATAATAATACTATTTTTTATAACTGAGAGCAACTAACTGCTTTAAAGACATTAACACTTAAGCTATTTCAGCAGATGGCGTTTTTAAGCCACCCGAAGCCAATGAGTGTTTGGTTTAAGGTGAGACCAAGAAAATGAATTGTTTATTTATATTATTTGTGTCTTTTTAACTCACGTGTTCACTTAAAAATGCCTAAACGATCTTTGAATATCATTTTATCAATATGTAATTCTCATTTAAATATAATTTCTAAAAAACACAATTTATCAAAAAAAAATACCGGCCATCGTCTGTTTATGCTTTATAAAAAATGCGAAACCCAAACGTGCAAATGTAAATAAATTTTGTACCTACCGTATGTCCGACTCGCACGAACCTCGAAAATAATGTTTTCTTTTTTTTTGTTTCATTTATGAAAACAAGGTCAATGATATTAAAATTTTAATTAAACTTTGAGGCAAATACATATTATAGAAAACATTGAACATTATGAAACATTCAATAAGTGAATTACATCATGTTCTCGTCTTTATCGCTCATTCTTATATAATAGAATGTTTTTCTTTTATTTTGTTATTCACGGAAATATAATGTGGCCATGTTTTTTTTACTAGATAAATGTTGTACATTATTATCCGTGACAAATATAATAAATGTGTATATATATATATATATATATATATATAATGTGGTACAGTGAGCAAGATGATTCCAAGAAAAACGACGCTATATGCTGTCGTAAAATTTTGTGATAATTCAGAATCCAGTCGGAGGCAACAAGAAAGACTGCAAACCCAAAAAGAAACTCAAGTTCGACAGATAAACCTGAATATTGAAAATCACATCGTCATATCAAACGTGGAAAAAGCCAAAACCCAAATTTTGTTTGTTAAACCTGCTATTGCGAAGGGAGAACGTTCGAATCATGATAGCAACAAGGCTGATCTTGGAGTGGCGTAGATACCACTTAACAGAGTAACTCCTCGAGATAGCTGCGTTACCTTCCAAAGTGCCCTGCCGCTAACTGTCGAGAGATAACGTCTGGTGAGGTCTGTCTGGCATGGCAGGCCAGTACCCACTTGAGGTCAGACTGCTAGTTGGCTAGCGATATAACGACGATACCACTTAACAGAGTAACTCCTCGAGATAGCTGCGTTACCTTCCAAATTGCCCTGCCGCTAACTGTCGAGAGATAACGTCTGGTGAGGTCTGTCTGGCATGGCAGGCCAGTACCCACTTGAGGTCAGACTGCTAGTTGCCCAGCGATAGAACGACGGTAGCCAAAAGGATGCCTTTGCCCGCGCTTGTAACATCCACTACTAATCGACACTGCCCGTACAGATTATTCAAGGAGCACTGAACGGACGATTACCACTTCAACGGTCGAAGGATCAGTTGAACGGTCGATTTGTTCTTTTGTCGACTACTTTGTATTTATATAAGAATGGTCGGTTCGTTCTTTGTCGTCTCGTTTGTAAAGACAGCTTTAAGGAAGTCAAAAAAAGTACTGCCTGCCGCTAGTCACGTACGCCCTCGTTCCATTTCTCTCTTTATTTTTGAATTCTTGTCAAATGTCTGTCTTAGTCTGTGTCTAGTCGTTGTAGGTCTTATGTCCTGTCAAAGAGGTTGCACGCCACGACAGAGCACCTTCGTACGGTGTTACTGAGGGCGCACGTTTCGTGCAGTGACCAAGGACTAGGGACAAAAATTATAAAAATTACTGAGATATCTCGCCCACTCAATCTAAACTACCAAAACTAGATCCATTTTCATTTCTTTCGGCCAGACAAATACAATTTAGAATGAAGATGTCTCTCTTGAATCTCTAATAATGGTGTATAAATGCTCATAAATATGGTGATAAGGCAACAAAACTATCTACTAATATAACTATCAGCGGTGGTGATAAAAAATGTGACCACTGGTAGTAAGAAAACGTAATTTACGAACAAGGCAAAAGGTCAAGAGGTACTTAATGCTAAAGAACAGGAATTGCACTTGCGACACGGAAACTTATCAAACCGCATAGTTTTTAAATTGGTAATTATTTTGTATCAAAAAGAAAATTATGTAATTTGGCTTAGGGAGTCTGAGATATCAGCTCATTTAGAAGAAGGGGGCCTCTTGTCCAAAATAGTTTGGTAATGATTGTCACAAAACATCTATCGGTTAAGTCTAAAGCATTCCGAATATTTTTTGTGGTAGTGCAATAGTAAACTTTTTGTGGTTCGCGAAAATTACGTTAAAATATTCACATAGGTACATAGATAGATACGGCTCAATCTTATAAAAGCGCTTTAATAAGGGATAGCCCGTTAATGTATAGACTTAGAAATGAGATAGTATGACTATTACCGATCAGTCAGAATCCCTTGCCTTGCTGTGAGTGGCACGACGCAGCAACGACCATTTTAACTTTTCCAGGTGTTCTCTACGCCGGCATGATGGTCACCAAATCAGGCCCCATGACGCTGGAGTTCAACTGTCGTTTCGGTGACCCTGAAACCCAGGTTCTGATGACGTTAATGGACTCTGACCTTTATAAAGTGATGAAGGTAATGAAATTTATTTTTGCTATTGCTTAGTTTACAGACCACCTGCTGTGTACTTGGTTCTTAGAGCACAGACATTACAACGTGAACACCTGCCCACATTAGAACACGAGGATGACACTGCCCATTGAGTTTCTCACCGGATTTTCTCAGTGGGTCGCGTTTCCGATCCTGGGGTAGATTCTGCGAAGCACTGCTCTTGCTGGAGCTGGTGTGAGCAAATTCTCTCAGGTTGAGTTCATGAACTGGTCTGTCCACCCGCATGAAGCTAGAGTCAGTGTTAGCATCACTCCGGTTTGAGCCCCGTGAGCTCACCTACTAGCTAAGGTTACGCTGAAATAGCCCCTCAAGGCTATCAGCTTAGGTAGGATGAAATCTCTATTGAATTTTATAATGGCTGCCCCATATTTTAAATTAGGACGCCTGACTCTTTTATGGTAATAGATAGGTAATAGATAGGAATAGATAGGCTTACAGTTCACCCTGCCTACAGGTATTCGATGAAACAATATGATAATGTGAACTAAATATATTTTGCACCTCCTGACGGAGTTTCGGCACGTCAGCGTGACAGGAAAGTTAACCAAATTCTCTTTCAGGCCTGCGTCAACGGCACCCTGAAACAAATGCAAGTGCAATGGAACACCAAGATGTCTGCCGTGGGGGTGGTCATCTCTTCCAAGGGCTACCCTGAAACTTCGACCAAGGGATGCGTGATTAGCGGTGAGTCATCCGTGTCGCCATATAGCCAACTCTAACAAAATGTAAATTATAATATGTAACAAATAAAATCTGCTTCCTCCTTTTCTTATTGCTCAGATTGGTGGACGAGCTCACAGCCCACCTGTTGTTAAGGGGTTACTGGAGCCCATAGATATCTACAACGTAAATGCGTCACTCATCTTGAGATATAAGTTCTAAGGTCTCAGTATAGTTACAACGGCTGCCCCACCCTTCAAACCGAAACGCATTACTGCTTCACGGCAGAAATAGGCGGGGTGGTGGTGCTTACCCGTGCGGACTCACAAGACGTCCTACCACCAGTAGATGGCTGTCGTTGGTCGTTGGTGCTTTGATCTCAAATGAAAATGTTATGACAACAGGATTGTCCCAAGTGCAAGCGAACCCGGAAATAGTGGTGTTCCATAGCGGCGTGGGGCGCGGCGCCAACGGGTCGCTGGTGACGTGGGGGGGGCGCGTGCTGCTGGCGTGCGCGCGGGCCGCCTCGCTGCGCGCCGCCGCCGCCGCCGCCACCGCCGCCGCCTCCATGATCGACTTCCCCGGCGCGCACTACCGGAAGGACATCGCACACCGCGCCTTCACCAAGTAAGTGGACAGCTGACGCGTCCCTGGGGACCGGGGAGGGGGGTCGGGCGTACCCGCATTAAAATACGGACGAATAACTTAAATTACGTAATAAAACCGTTACTCGCGAAAACGTATTCGCGTAAACACTGGTACAGGGCGTATTTTAAACCCATATCCGAAGTAAATACATTTTATGGTTTCACCTTGGTCGAAGAGTAAGCCGGCTCCCAGTCATCAGATCTCTTTGTGCTTAGTGCGAGTTTTTTAACGTTCTCGATAGCGTGAAAGTTAACTCAAATTTGTATGGAGCTGGATCGTTTGCCAACGTTTGCCGCTAGGGGCGCTGTTCCAACTGCATACAAATTTAGGGTTAACTTTAAAGCTATGGAGAGCGTTAAAAAAGTCGCACTAAGCACACAGATATTGACTCACGCGTGTTACAAGTTCGTAATAAAACGCATTTTCCAAATTCATTGAAAGTCATATTCACCTTACACACGTAAGGGTAGTTATATACGAATTGTTTCAACAACCGATTAAATATTATTGTATATAATGACAGTATTTACTTACGAGTGTCCCTTTGGCGACTTAGCATTGACATTGTTAATGGCAAGCCGACGATTCTACTTCATAATTTTCCAGCTCGTCTGCCATATAAGCTTACAAAGTATGGAATTGGATTTTTTCTGTATCGTGTAAAATAATGTTAAATGGGTTTTCGAGTTAAATAAAAATATCTGCATGAGTAATCCATACTTGTGTTTATGTGTTTTTTTTTTCTTATTGAATCCTTTGTTGTTTTATGAGTTTGAGTAATATTTGTATGAAGTGATTACAATAAATGGTTTTGAATGTTCCCCAGCATGTTTCAGTAAATAATTATTGTGCACATTAATTGTTTTGGTTCTGTTTTGTAATTCAAATCTATTTGTCGTTGTCGAATGTAAAATTTTGTTCTCGTGTGTCGGAACTAATGATTCGTATGTTTTCATTTGTCAGTTTTGCCTCTAGGATTAAAATATTTGGTAAGGATTGTCATAGTTTTTTTTTTTTAATAAACATTTATCGTTTTATACAGAATGGTCATTTTATTTGTATCCCGGCTCGGAATATCTGCTAATTCTTTAACGTAACTGGAAATTTGGATTGATGTTAAATCCTTGTCTCGTGCCTGAAAATACTTAACCCTTTGCTTGCCGTGTAGGACACCGGTGCCTTACGTGCCGCACTAAAGTAATTATATCGATTTATGTTCCTAAGCGCCTAAAAGTTAGGCAACTTTGCTTAATTTTGTTTGTTAATGTATGTTTTAGACATTTAGGTCTCTAAGAAATAGATTCATTGTCAGTATCTTCGGATTCGTATTTCAACATCGTAACATACACGGACATAATTAATTCAGTGCGCCGCGTAGGGCACCTCTGACCCACATGGCAATCAAATGGCTAATTATTATCTGATGAGTTAGGGCTTAAAGCGCTCAAGCTTGTATAAACGAATAACTATTTCAATAGAATTTATATTAATCCTTGAACGAGATTTAAATAAATGATTAAAACACTTTAAATGATACCCGTATTTTTAAAAGAATTAGTCTCGCATGTTCTGGTTAATATTTGGTGTAGGAGACGTCGGGTCTACGAAATTTTAGATTGTAGACATTATTTGTAATGATTTATGTAGACCGCGATGTCTCGTAACAAATCGAAACTGCTTTGCGTGTATATGAACACAATTTTGTCGATGCGTTATGTAATGGGAATGAGTTTACAGATGATGAATTTGCAAGTCATAAAGATTTACCTCCTCCGTTTTAAATACCGTGGCTTCTATATAACATTTTGGGTTAGAAATGTTTCGTGAGCATGATACGCTGAATAAAGAACTTTAACATAATATAAATAAAGCCTAAACGGCCTTAAGAAGAATCCACATCCGTTCTACCCTATAAAAATACATATCAACGCTTGAGAGGCAAACGTGACTAAGCGACAATGCGTGAACTTTACAGTAGACTAATTTAAAGTTGAAATACCTGAAAGAATTCTATTTTAACGAATCTAGCTCTAGGATTGAAATGATTTTAATAGACCTAGAAATATATTTTTTTTGCGCATCGAATATGGTTATTGCCTATCATTTATGTACAAAGCAGTTATTGTCGCTTAGTCACGTTTGCCTTTCAAGCGTTGATATAAAGAGTAAATAACTTGACCCAGGATCAACGGCCTCTCGTACCTTCAAAGCGGAGTAGACATAGACGCGGCCGCGACCCTGGTCCGCCAGATGGAGCCGCTGGCCACCGCCACGCACCGGCGCGGCGTGCTGGGCAGGCTCGGCTGCTTCAGTGGCCTGTTCCAGCTCTCCGCCATGGGGGAGAAGTGGGAGGACCCCGTCCTAGTGCAGGGAACCGACGGGGTTGGCACTAAGCTGAAGGTCATTACATCATTTCACTAGCATACAAAACAGCTCTCAGCGCATCTGGTGTTAATCAGTTACTAAAGTTAAGCTACAACTGAATTGTGCACACATCCCCAACACCTTCTCCACCTTCCCCAACAGATATCTGCGCAAGATAAGAGCTGAGACTTTAGAAGATGAGACAAAAATCAGGAAGTGGTAGTATGTAATTTGATAAGGTCGAATTCGGAGCTGGTTTTAAAAAAAGTTTACGACTTACCCAGATTTCTACCGTCATGTATATCATAACTATTCATGGTTACCGTCACACGTGCGTATCGGTGATGTCAGGGGCATAGCCAAACGCTGCCTTCCGCCAAGGTTTGGCGGTGCAATAAAAGCAGGGAAGAAAGTTCATTCCATTAATTACAAACGTTGCAAAAATAATATCCTCAAGTAGCTCGTTACTTAATACCGCGGCGCCGAATAGTTACTGATGCCATCCCATAGGCATATAGTCCTTGTGAAATTCGCAACTTTGGTAGGCAGCGGCTTGGCTCTGACTCTGGCATTGCTGAAGTCCATGGGCGACGGATAACCAGTCACCATTGTAGGCCGTATGCCGTCTGCCTACAAAGGCAATAAAAAAAAAAGAAACGACTATATTTGCGGAAGGCGCATCTTATTATACCTCCAATGACTAACAAAAAATTTGTAGCGAGGCTTGGGGGAGGCCTATGTCCAGCAGTGGACGTCTATGGGCTGATAAGTAGAAGGCAAACAAAACTACAATTCTGGTACGAAAACGGCTACGTTCGCAGATAGCTGAGCTAATGCAGAAGTACGACACGATCGGCCAGGACCTGGTGGCCATGTGCGTCAACGACATCCTGTGCGCCGGCGCCGAGCCCTTCGCCTTCCTGGACTACATGGCGTGCGGGCGCCTGCAGCTGGACGTGGCCACCGCCGTGGTCCGGGGCATCGCCGACGCCTGCATCGCGTCCGGCTGCGCGCTGCTGGGTGAGCCCGCGCCGCTCCGACCCTCTATATTAATCTATACTTCTATACTAATATTATAAAGAGGAAAGATTTGTTTGTTTGTTTTTATTGAATAGGCTCCGAAACTACTGAACCGATTTGAAAAATTCTTTCACTGTTTGGAAGCTACACTATTCCCGAGTGACATAGGTTATAATCTTTTTTGTAAAAAATTAGGGATCCTTACTAAAACTTGTTGTCTGGAAGAGATCGTTCTTAGCGATAAGACCGCCAATTGTACTTTTTTTGTATTTAATGAATCGTATTGTTTTTTTTTTTGGTGTACAATAAAGAATACTCTCTCTCGCTCTCTCTCTAACCTGGTTCGGTACCAGGCGGCGAAACGGCGGAGATGCCGTCGATGTACGAGGTGGGCAAGTACGACCTAGCGGGGTTCGCGGTGGGCGTGGTGGACAACCGCAAGCAGCTGCCGCGCGCCGCCGCGCCGCCGGACGTGCTGCTGGCGCTGCCCTCCACCGGCGCGCACAGCAACGGGTACAGCCTCGTGCAGAAGATCATGGCGGAGACGGGCCACAAGTTAGTTCTCGCGTTTCATTTCGCCAGCCTTCATGTACAGACTTCCAGCGTAATGGAATTCTCCAAATCAAGCATTAGACATCTTGGTGAATCTATTGGGACAAGTTTTAACAAAAGATGCAACTTTGTATATACAGTCAAACCTGGATAAGCGAGAGTTCAAGGGAGCACAATCTTATTCTCGCTTATAGAGGTTTCTCACTAACCCGAGTTTCTCGCTAATGCTCCCTCTGAATTTCATTTCGCGATTTTCCGGATTCAAACGCATTCACTATTCACTTAATGACAGTACTTTAATTTTCCGTTTTGACATGCAGAACCGAACGTTCCTTCGCAATTGATTGACGATAAACTGAGTAAGTCCGACAAACAGGACGGTACAGAGGCACACGTGTCTATTCGAAAAGAATGCGATAAAATAACAACGTTATTTAGTTCCACGAAATAGAATAGGTTCAATATTGACGAGAAAACAATTCAAAAACAATAGAAGGAAGTTCCACAAAAGTTAAGAATGAGTCATAAAATNCGATAAACTGAGTAAGTCCGACAAACAGGACGGTACAGAGGCACACGTGTCTATTCGAAAAGAATGCGATAAAATAACAACGTTATTTAGTTCCACGAAATAGAATAGGTTCAATATTGACGAGAAAACAATTCAAAAACAATAGAAGGAAGTTCCACAAAAGTTAAGAATGAGTCATAAAATAGCAGATGTTAAATTTGTAATTTGTTTTTTCATTTGTTCCTCCTAAATAATATAAATAAATAAAGCTCGACTGTCGCTTATAGAGGTATAGATAAGTAGTAGTCTCACTTACGGAGGTCCATGAGGGAAAAACGACTCTCTCTTACAGAGGTTTCTGTTTCTCTCTAATAGAGGTTTTGGGAGCTTAAAATGACGAGTCCTGGCTATTACTCTCACTTATAGAGTTTTCTCACTTATCCAGTTCTCGCTTACCCAGGTTTGACTGTATATACATATATAGACAAGAAAGGGTAAAAAGTTTACGTTTTCCAAAATATGGCTTGCAGCTGTCGACTATTGCCAGTCCAGACATAGACCTTAAACACCTTTTTGTGCCTTAAAAGCTTGATCTTTTTGCGTTGAGTTTCCCCAGAAAATTATTAAAAATATAACACAGGACTCAACTACACCACGATATGCAATTAGTAAGGCGTCTGTGTTTAAAATGGAGGATAATTTAAAGGGTGCATAGGCCGAAGAGCTGACACGTTTATACAGTCCGTCTGTATGAGATTTCCAAACTAATTTGTGATCAGATCAGAAGATGCGTCATGAGCCCTTGATGATCCGTACGCAAATAAATAATCTTATTTTCGATAAATTCAGTCGTAATTATTGTAGCCACTTTCAATTATCTGAACCACGGCCATGATATTAAACACGGAATAGATAAATAAGGTTGGAAAGGCCTTTGCTCTAATTTTGTATTAGAACCAGTGTCGCCGGTTCATCCCCACTATTTTAATTTCTACACATACACATACTGTGATTACAAGTATTTCGCACACAACAAAAACACCCACACATAAATCTCAGGACAGATATTCGTTCGCAAACTAGCACAAAACACCCGTAGGCATACACACTCACACACGCAAAAAGGCAATAAAAATGTTCATACACGCTAGTGCTTGATAAAATCGATATTCTTTANACAACAAAAACACCCACACATAAATCTCAGGACAGATATTCGTTCGCAAACTAGCACAAAACACCCGTAGGCATACACACTCACACACGCAAAAAGGCAATAAAAATGTTCATACACGCTAGTGCTTGATAAAATCGATATTCTTTATCGATAAATTATCTGATGAATGAATGGAGAAAATGAAACATGAAATAAATATTAAAAAAGAAAACTATTTTACTTTTATTAATTACAAATAGTCACTGTCCTTGGAATAAAACGTATTTGTTAAGCAATTGGCGCTTGCTATTAATTTCGAATGAATTTTTCAAAACTAAGTGTATTCTGATTTTTTTATGGTAAAATCATTTTCAGTAAAATGTTTAGAGCAAATAGTACTCGTCTTTGTCTCCAGTTTCCTCCAGTTTCCAGACCAGTCACGTCAATCCATTGTTCCCTGACGTTAGGTTCTTTAGGAAACCTAAAATTTTTAATTTACTGCGTAAGTCAAATAGCATTTTACTTAGATTTTAATACGTCTTAGACAATATAGTAAATACCCGTAAATGAGAGGTCTATATGTCCCTTTATATTATACCTTCACATTAATTCAATGATAATAATTCAATAATAATAAAACATATTTATTTTATTCAAAATACGTCTCACTAAGAACATACTAGGTATCATTAATTAAATATAAAATAATGCAAAAATTATCCATGTCAAATGTAAATATAGTCGAGAATTCTGTCACGATTTTATTTCACCACATGGTCACCTCACTATCGACAAAATGCACCACGGCCAATCAGGGCAAAGGCCGAAATTTCAAAGATTGAAGCGTAGAGAACGCAATGCATGTAGTACACTGGAAGCTGACTTGGTCATTGCGTTCATTGGGCGAGTACACATCGCGCAATGTATGCCATTTATAACTTGCTGCAATAATATTGTTAATGTTTGGAATTTCATAATGCTCAGTATATTTTTATGTTTTAGACAAATAATATTGTAATTAAATGGTAATTTCGACTTACCGATCGAAAGATATACCTCCTCGCTCTATACTTGAGGTCTGATTTTTTGTTTTACAAGCTATAATTGCACAACACGGCACTATAAAGCGGAGATCTGTTCGCCAAAGTAGTCCGAAGCGCACTAAACGCGGTGAATGAAAGAATCGGTCGAGTTATGTTTGTACAATCATAACTGTGGCACGCTTGCCCCGCCTACATTACCATTCCAACCTTATTTATCTATTCCGTGATATTAAACATATAACAAGGACCATGAGCGCTCGTGAGCCCTACGTACAAATGAGTACGTGCCAGGCTGCGGTTTTCTTGATGCGATTTCTCTAGTTCCCGTTCTGAAATTTCCATACAAATTTGAAAAATACTATTAAATATAAATAAATATAAATATAATAAATATAAATAATATTAAATACTAACCTATACCCCGGCCAGGTATGAAGAGCCGGCTCCGTTCAGCACTTCGAACAAGAGTTTCGGAGAAGAATTCCTGGTGCCCACGGGCCTGTACGTCAACGCGCTCCTGCCCTCGATAAAGAAAGGTCTAGTGAAGGGCCTGGCTCACATCACCGGCGGCGGCCTACTGGAGAACATCCCCAGGATCCTGCCCCCCAACGTGAAGGCCAAGCTGGACGCCACCAAGTTCCGCATTAAGCCGATCTTTGGCTGGCTGCAGGCTAAGGGTGAGATTATTCTCTGCTAGCTCCACTCGGTAGGCAGCGGCTTGGCTCTGTCCATGGCATTGCTGAAGTCCATGGGCGACGGTAATCACTCACCATCAGGTGGGCCGTATGCTCGTCTGTCTAAAGGGGCAAAAAAAACTATTATCTTCTCTTCATTTTCATTTGTTACCGAACTCTAAAGACACCATAAAGACTGAAAGCTACCAATTAAGAGATATATGGGTAGAGCCTCCCATGCCTAATTCGTTGAGACCCTCTGAATCTTAGAAGTTCATGTAAATGTACCGATTTGAGTGTATTCTCTTTTAACACGTGTAAAGAAATATTGCCAAGTAATTTTCATCGACTGCAAAACATGACTTTAACTTGAATATTTGCACACGCATCAACAACCAATGACGACAAAGTAATTTTAATACTTTGACTTAATATCCTGATCAGTATTGTCAGCATTAAAAAAAAGGTTAATTTTCAGGGTTGCCATTTTACGAATCGTTTTTTTAAATTATTTAAGTTATTATATTAATGTGGAAGGATATAGAGGAAGAGGTAGACCTAAGAAGAAATAGATGGATTGCGTGAAAGACGATATGGGTAAGAGGGGAGTGAGCGAAGAAATGGTATATGATAGAAGAGTATGGAAGGAGAAAACATGTTACGCCGACCTCAGGTGACTGGGAGAAGGGCAGGATAATGATGAATGATGATTTAAGTTATTATATTTTTAAGTAAAGGTTTGTTTTTCAGGCGTCGTTTCAGACTTTGAGATGCTTCGAACCTTCAACTGCGGAGTGGGCATGGTGGTCATAGCTGACCCTAAACTGGTGGACGAGCTGCTGGCGTCCGTCGAAGACCTACACGTCATCGGGGTGCTCGAGGAGATGGGGGCTGAAGGTGAAATTGACTTATACTAAAACATATTAAAATGCGTGTTATTAATAACAAAAAAGCCGCCATCCTGTGCGTCCAAGATCGTGGTACTTACCTCATATAATTTGTGAGATTTCGTAAGGATGTTTATAATAAAACTCATATTCGTCTAACAACCTTAAAATAAAAATATATACTTATGATTATGATAAACAATATTCATACAAAAATATTTATCTTTTAATGATGTTGCGGCACGCCCAGCCGCCACTAGTGTAGCTAACGCGTCGTTTGTAGATTAATTTTGTTTTCTCACTACAAACGTCTTAATGTATCTGATTCAAACTATGGGACCTGTTTATCGATAGTAGACTGCAAGTAAGCCGAACTCTGTCGCGAAATAGTTGTACTACTTACTCAGTTGAGACACCGACCTCATGTTTACAAGTCCCGGTAATCATTGAGCATCGGGTCGGTTGTGAGGTCGTTCAGTCATAAGCAATAAATAATAATAATAAATATTGCCAGATTACTGTTAGATAAGCAACAAAAGGAATGAAAGTCAAGATTAGTGTTAAAAGGCCTTTTATTTCTCCAGGAGGGCACCAAGTGGTCGTGGAGAAGTTCTCGGAGGCCATGGCCCCTCTGAAAGCTCCGTACCTGTCTGATCGCGAGCTGCCCAAGAAGTCGCTTTCGTACAAGGACAGCGGGGTCGATATCGAAGCTGGAGACTCCTTGGTCTCCATGATCAAACCCTTGGCCAGGTGAGCCCAGTCGGCCGCTGCCAGACCGGCCCGCGGACCGTCTGCTGACACGCCGCTGCAGAGCTCGTGGATACCATTTTGATTCCAGGACCTGGACGCTTTACTCCCCATAAAACTGACAGTATCGTCCCCATAAAACTGATAGTATCGTCCCCTCTTTACCTTACTGCTTACCTCACTGGGCTTTGAGAGAGGAATTTGGTATTTGAAGAGTCGCCCCCTTGTGTGGCGCCTCCCTGCACGTCCGTTCTTAGGAGTGTGGTTTTAAGGGACCTAATTTTACGCTAAATAAATTGACCGTACAAAACTATGACGTCATTATTTACATTTGTGACTCAAATTCTGTAGCTTTGCGTGAAAGGGATAGAGCATCTGCCCTAGATCCTCACCAAAATATAAGCACTGTATAGGTGACCTTGAACTTTTCCAGGTCGACGACGCGGTCAGGCGTTATCGGAGGTCTGGGCGGCTTCGGAGGCTGCTTCCAGCTCAAGGCCGTGGAACAGGAGTTTAAGGTCGGTCAAGACTGCGTTTCGGATCAACTTCAAACTACAGGGCTTTTTATTAAGCGATCTTTACTCCAAATGCTCTGAATTCAATTTTAGGCAGAAAGAGGGAAGAACTCTTTTAGAGTTGAGGGAATTCACGAATACAAATTGGCTTCTTCTCTTCACATGTGACGCTATATTATCTTGAGAACTTTGATCATGTCTTTTCATATGACACCTTCTCTACTGCCACTTTAAGAATTAGTGAAATAAATCGATTCTGTCTTCGATTATGCTTTGTATGATAGAAGACCTTGGCACTTGGAAATTTTGTCAAAATTAGAGTAGGATTTCATGTGGAAATTGTGCATCGCAGCAATATAGAAAGTAGGAGTGTGGTTTTCATCACCAAAGAAGCTTAAAGTATAAGGGTTTTTGAACCCATTTTCATATTTTAGAGGTATACGATAAAGGGAGATCTTCCACCGAGCCGGTGTAATTGCTCGGCAGACCGACGGTCCGAATGTTGTTGTTCGGAACTTGTATATATACAAGCTTATTTTGAAAATTACGTAACGGAGATTCAGGCATTTGCCAAATTTCTTGGGTTCAATGATGGCTGCCCGCCACAATATGATAAGCTACGGGTTGACCTCTCACCCACGTGATGTATGATCCTCTTTTCATCTCCAGGATCCGGTGCTGGTGTTGGCAGCAGACGGGGTGGGCACCAAGCTGAAGATAGCGCAAGAGATCAACAAGCACGACAGCATCGGCTTGGACCTGGTGGCCATGTGCGTCAACGACATCGTGTGCAACGGGGGCGCGCCGCTCACCTTCCTGGACTACTTCGCGTGCGGCTCCCTGCAGGTGTCCGTCGCGTCCAGCGTCGTGGCCGGGGTGGCCGCCGGCTGCAGGCAGGCCGGCGCCGCGCTCATCGGTACGCACGCGCCCGCACAGTGCCCGCACGCGCCCGCACAGTGCCCGCACGCGCCCGCACTGTGCCCGCACGCGTCCCGTGACGCTGCTGCATTCCGTACATGGTCGTGTGTCTGCAGGCGGCGAGACGGCGGAGATGCCCGGCATGTACGAGCCCGGTGTGTACGACGTGGCGGGCTTCGCGCTGGGCGTTGTGGAGCGCGCCAACATACTGCCCAAGATCAACGACATCAACGTACGTACGCACAAACTGTCTCTGTCTCGCTCCCGCCAAGCTTCCCGATACCTCGGCGCGAAAGCAATATACATATATTATTAATGCGTTTCTACTAATTTACGGAATATTTCAATATAATTTTTACCAACTCCAAGAATTGCGATTAATTAGAATTTAGAAATAGAAATCAGCTAGGAGGAGGACTTTCAATACTATAACAACACCATTCTTGTTGTTTCTGAATCAGTTAATATTAATTTTGCCCTTTTAGAATTTAGACCGCCAACGTTTTTGATACGTGACTCAAAACATTGAGCCAAACGATTTTATCGTTATTTAAACCTTAAAAATACTATCTATATGTGTAGGTGGGCGATATTGTGATCGGTCTGCCTTCGAACGGTGTACATAGCAACGGGTTCAGCCTCATACACAAGCTGATGAAGAAGGCCGGACTCACGCTCAACGACAAAGCCCCGTTCAGTGCAGAGGGACTCACTCTGGGTGAGCATTACTGCTTTGCACTATGGCATGGGGCTTACCTGCTGTGAGAAGTTGGGGGGGGGGGTTACCCCTCACTCTGGGTTCCCATTTGGGTGTGAACGTGGTTATCGATTAGAAGAACACCAGGGCCCTGAAACTGCGATACTTTAAGACGATTTTTTTTGTATGGAAACTAGCGACATCTTGTAGCGGATGCCCCTAAACTTATATTTTGTTAAAGTTTTGGCTTTTTATTATTGTTTAACTAAACACAGAAAAAAAAAATCATACACTATAGACAAATTGATGAAATTTTATTAATTTGTGGTTTCTGAAAATTATTCATTAAAAATAAAATATAGGATAGGTAATATATTACTGCCATCTACAGGAACAATGAAAAAGTAATCGAAACGAATCCATCTAGTGGCCGACGCCCGTAAAAATTTTTGTGCTTGAGTTTGTTATTTATAACTAATTGATGTGTATTATCTATGTAGAGCACTGTGTGTTGTGTGCGACTTTTTGGCGGGAACGCGAGGAGTGAAGTTGTGCAATTTATTTTATTTTGTCTATTTAGTGCTTCTTCAGGTTAAATGTGTAATAACGGTGGTTTATTAACTATTTAATATCTGTGAAAGTGCACAAATGTGGGAAAATAAAACAAAGTCGCTAGACGTCACTTCTCGGGATCCTCCAAAAAGACCACTGAAAAAATTTCAGTAAATGACCACCATTTTACTGAGATTATATTTCATCCCATATCATCTCTTATCATATTTCATTTCATCCCAGTTGGTAAATGTCTCAACTTAATCATCTTCATTTCATTTCACTGCATATTATCATTTTTCATAAAAATAAGATTATAAATTAAAATAAGACATCACTTAAAGGTCTCAGTTACCAGGTCATAAAATCACTTTAAAAAAATGTGTTGTGTGCAGGCGAGGAGCTGATCAAGCCGACCCGCATCTACGCGCGCGCGGTGCTGGCGGGCGTGCAGCGCGGGCTGGTGAAGGCGGCGGCGCACGTGACGGGCGGCGGACTGCTGCACAATCTGCCGCGCGTCATGCCCGACCACGTGCGCGCGCGCCTCAACGCGCACTGGTGGCACGTGCACCCGGTGCGTGCTCGCGCCCCTAGCCCACGTAAAGGGTGCTCGATAATGTACACACGACTCTGTGAAATCTTATTTGATAATTGAAGACGTGAGTGGATGAAGGGGATGTGATACAATTTGTTAATTTTGAGAAAATGGGCAACGAACTTTTGTTACTTGTACTTTTTCTTCGTACATAATTCCTTCATCGGATGAAATTTCTAAAAATAGCCTTTAAACCCGGAGTTTTAAGGTATAATATGGTTTATAGGAACATAAAACCTACATTAAATGTAAAAACCCAAAAATCTTAAAAATGTTACTTAACCCCTTCTTCATCCACTCATGTCTTCAATTCCAAAATGATTTCATCTAAATATCGATTTTTGACTGAATTAACTGTAAATGACGTATTGGTTTTTCATTATGTCTCGGTAATCATCACACATACATAAATATGTATGATCGAGGCATCCTCTTAAATAATAATAAAATTTGTGTTATCTTCAAATAGGTAACTTAGACACTCGTAAATTCTGACATTCACCCTTAGAAATAAGGTTGAAATTCCAATCGTACTATACACATGTTACTGCTATGCGATACAAACGCACTTGCTAGTAAATTGGACGGTAGTTAACAAAATCATCGAGAAGAATCAAAATCGTAAAAGAGATTAAACCGTACAAGTACATAGTATTAAGTGACTGCTGATGCAGGTGTTCGCGTGGATAGCGGACGCGGGCGCGGTCCAGGACGAGGAGATGCTGCAGACCTTCAACTGCGGCATCGGGATGGTGCTCATCGTGTCGCCAGAGCACCAGGCCGATGTGAGTCGCATGGGCAGGCTGAGGGAGCCCTACCCATACAGCCATGTTTTAAAGCTTGAAAAAAATAATTGGTATATGTATAGCGTATAACAAAGATTGTATCTATATCATGATTGGATTCTTTGATTTAACATAAAAATAGTAATGTTGCTGAAGTTAGTAAATGATTTCATTGAGTAGGTTTTGTAGTTGTTAATAAGATCACAGATATGAGACGCCGTTTAGTCCCTTCGTACACAAGGCTACGCAAATCTTCGATACTCAACGATTTTAGTCTCCAAGCGACTACCGCCATAGAAATCAATTGAGGTTCGTACACGAGTCGCGTCGGCGACATTCGTCCCGCGACTCGCGTCGTGCCAATCGCGCGCTACCTGCCTGTCGAGATCTTTGCTACATAAGTCTCGGCGATTTCCAAGATGGCGGAGCAATTTTTTTATATTAAATTTGTTTCTGAGGTGGAAAAATATCCTTGTTTATATAATTATAAATTAAAGGAATATTCAAAAAAGGAAATAACAGAAAAAGTTTTTCGTAGTCGTAGGAAAGGCCGTTAATATAACAGATTTATATTTGTATATTTATATAGTTTTAAAAATAGTCAGTACATCGTTTTGTAATGAAACGCGTGAGTAGTTGCAAGAAATCGATGGATTTCATAGACACCGTAGTGCGACCCACACCAGCCATTGAATACAGACGCAGGAACAGTTATCTCCAGGAGTTAGTGTATTGTTGTACGATCTTTTCGTTGTAGATGTCTATGGGCTCCAGTAACCACCCAACATCAGGTGGGCTGTGAGCTCGTCCAACCATCTAAGCAATAAAATAATAATAATAAAATACCTAAGCTGGTAGCCTTGACAGACTATGCGTAACCTAACGAGTAGGTGAGCTCACGGGGCTCAAACCTGAGTACGTTGCTAACACTGGCCCTAGCAAGAGCAGTGCTTCGCGGAATCTATCGGATCCGGCGGGAGCCGCTAATAGATTGACGCCTGTGTTGTTATTCGAGGTGATGAACATAAGCCGGTCGTACGGCGCGATGGTGATCGGCTCGCTGCAGGCGCGGCCGCCGGGGGGCGCGCGCGTGCTCGTCGACAACTTCGCCTCCGCCGTCGACTTCACGCGCAGGATGCCGCTCATGCACAACAAGAAGGTACGACGACACGACACACTCAACTCCTCCAAGCAGCGATGTAAACGGTGTTACTGGCGGTAGAACCTCTTGTGAGTCCGCGCGGGTAGGTACCACCGCCCTGCCTATTTCTGCCGTGAAGCAGTAATGCGTTTTGGTTTGAAGGGTTTGAAGGGGAGCGCGCGATTAACAAGACGCACACGATACTATATGTAAGTGCAGATAAATCTCAGAATAACATGTTAGAATTAATGTAATGAGTACCTAATTTTAATATTGTATTTTTCTATTTCTTGGTTAAACATAAAATTCATATTCAAAAGTGTTTATTATATTTTATTATTTACGAAACGAAATAATTTTATAAGCAAATTAACATTTCTTAATAAGAACACACTATCAAAAAATTATTTATTTATCAATTTTGATTTTTTTATCAATAAAAACTGATGAATTTTCCTTCGTAACACTCCCCATGTCGTTTCTTTAGGTTTTCGTGGAGAAGTAAATTTTGGTTTTTCCGATGTTTGCCGATTCGAATTTCCATCATCTACAATTCTCATTACGCTCTGAGAAACAAACTGTACACATTGTGAATTACATTTTACACTGGTCGTGTAATTGGTGGACCCATCTTAGGATATTTTATCTCGTGTATGTTTGGAACAAACTGGCAAGAACAACTAAATTGTGTAATCGCCGTGGTGGTCGAGGGCAGACTGAGTTAGCTTGACGTTTGCCTACCTCGCCCGCCCTGCCGCTCACATAACTCAGGCGGTGACCAGCGCTTCCGCGCACACTATAGTATTAAGTTATTGTCGGAAGAGTTGGATGTGACAACGTGAATGCAGCCAAAAGTCACAAGACATAAGGTTGAATTTTCATTACATTGAAATAACAGATGTTGTTTTGTTTAGGTGGCAGTTCTAGTTTCCGGCAATGGCAGTAACTTGCAGGCGCTCATCGACACGACCCGCGAGCCCGCGCACTGCATGTGCGCCGAAATAACCCTTGTGGTCTCTAACAAGAAGGACGCTTTTGCTTTGCAGCGAGCCGAGAAAGCCGGGATACCTACGCTGGTGAGTCGACAGGGTTTTGTAATAATAATAACTAGTGGTCTTCTGGTAATCGAAACTCGACTATAATTAATTGAAATTATAAGTTGGTAACCTATTGTGATTCTATTGTCAAAGACTAATAAACTTCTATAATCACAGCTATCGCCAAGGCTACACTTTAGACAAATATTAATAAAGACAAACAATATTTAATCTATTCTCAATTTGACCACAGACCTTAAACAATAACAAAAGTTTGACAATTGACAATTAACACATAGTATGCATGCATGTGTGTGTTGTGTCAAATACATGATAGTGTGAGAATTTTTTTTTATTGATTTAATGTACATAATATTTTGTATGCATAATTTAAAATGAACATTAACATTCTGCATTCCTTCTCTATATCCTCTATAAGTGTAGGAAATTTTATAGTGCTTCGTCCGCGCAATTTTCATAAAAAGGGGTACAACGTTTTTGCTTCACGTATTAATATATAGATATAATGTTATTCCTTCACCGTGGACGTCAATCATGAACGCGCGTTCAGTATGTGTGCGCGGGGTTCCCCCCGTGGGGGAGTCCCCTGTACTGAGCTGATGCCCCCCCTCCCCCCGCAGGTGCTGAGCCACCAGCAGTTCGCGTCGCGCGAGGAGTTCGACCGCGCGGTGTCGGGCGCGCTGGAGCAGCACCGCATCGACATCGTGTGCCTGGCCGGCTACATGAGGATGCTCTCCGCAGAGTTCGTGCACAAGTTCGTTTTTTTTTTTTTACCGAAATTGATAGCCATGAGAGTTTATATCAGCGTCGCCTTAACTAGTAGGTGAGCTCACGAGACTCAAACCTGATGACGTTGCTAATATGAACCCTAGCAAGGGTAGTGCTTCGCAGAATCTACCACTGGATCGGAAACGCGATAATTCGGCGACCCACTGAGAAGATCCGGCGAGAAACTCAGTGGGCTGTATCTATGGGATAATTCGAATTCGCTCGTCGAGCCCTTCATCGCAAGCGACGGGTTCGACGAGAACGGACAAGCTAGTCCTGCTGCGTTACCATACCATACACGCTAGGCTTTGCATGATGGTTTTAACCAAGCATGCATAACCGACAGGCAAGCCTTAGCGTGTATGTGATTAAACTGTACAATCATCGGTGCGTGTACATGCAACCGAGCAAATATCAAAATTGATACTTTATGTCGCTCGATTGCGCGCGAGCACAACCCAGCGTGTGTGTTGTCCAGCGAGCTTGCCTACCGCAATTCTCAGTTCTTAATTTTATGCGTCATTAATATTAAATTTCATTCGTATATAATTGTTGTAATTTGTTAGTGTAAAATCAATTCATTTATCAAGTTTACGTGGAAGAATTGCTTTCTTTTCGATAACGAGTGTTTAGATCATACAGCGCGTTTTTTTCTTTCTTTTTGTGTTCTGCAGAACAAGTGTTAAGTCAAGTATAGCTATCACACCGTCGTCGTCCATTGTAGTTTGGTATTGGCGTCCTACACACAACGTCACGGAGTTCAACTGAGAGTTAATGGCAAAACTGTGCATGTAAACCCTAACGTGTATGTGTAATATGAAACTCGGTTATACATGTCGCTTATGTATGTACAGTTAAAACCATCATGCAAAACCTAGCGTGTATGGCATCCATGTGTCTACATCAGAATGGAAGCTGAGTCACGAGGGCGAAGTCTCAGTTGCATGACGACAGTATTGTTTTATTGCTTAGGTGGGTGGACGAGCTCACAACTCACCTGGTGTTAAGTGGTTACTGAAGCCCATATACATCTACAACGTAAATTTGCCACCCACCTTGAAATACAAGCTGTAAGGTCTCAGTATAGTAACAACGGCTGTCCCGCCCTTCAAACCGAAACGCATACTGCTTCGCGGCAGAAATAGGCGGGGTGGTGATACCTACCCGTGCGGACTCACAAGGGGCCTACCAGCAGTGTAAAGTCTAATGTTGCTGAGGTGTGCCGCGCGTGGGTTGCAGGTGGCGCGGGCGGCTGGTGAACATCCACCCGTCGCTGCTGCCGCGGCACCCCGGCCTGCGCGCGCAGCGGCAGTGCCTGGAGGCCGGGGACGCCGAGTCGGGCTGCACCGTGCACTTCGTCGATGTACGTACCTTTTCTTTTCCTTCTTAAGCTAATCGATCTTGAGAGACCATGTCAACGTCACCAGGCCAGTAGGTGAACTCACTTAAACCTGACGACGTTGCTAACACGAATCCTAGCAAGAGCAGTGCTTCGCAGAATCTACCACCGGATCGGAAACGCGACCCACTGAGAAGATCCGGCAAGAAACTCAGTGGGCTGCGTCTGAGGGTTAACTTACTCGTCGAGCCCTTCGTCCTACCACCATTGAACCATAAAATTTTTACGTTACGGTTCTGTTTTGGATAGTGATTACGAATGAATCGTTTTCCAGGAGGGCATGGACACGGGTCCGATCATAGTCCAGGAGCGCGTGCCGGTGTTGCGGGACGACACGGAGGAGACCCTCACGCAGCGCATCCTGGAGGCCGAGCACCGCGCCTACCCGCGCGCGCTGCGCCTGCTCGCCACCGGCCGCGTGCGGCTCACGGCGCAGGGCGTGCTGCTCTGGCACTCGTAACCCGCTGCGGTCCGCGGGCCCGGCAAACACGCAACACCACCATCGACACTCCTACCATTGCTGCAGCGGCATTGCTGCAGTCCATGGGCGACGGTAACCACTCACCATCAGGTGGGCCGTATGCTCGTCTGCCTTTCTACTTCTTCTTGCTTCGGTTTCCTCAATACTGAGGGTCGTGACCACCTCCTCGCAACAAGAGTTTATTGCGGACTACTCCACGCCATTTGTCTCTATCTGCCGCCGAGTGTAGAGCATCGTGAGCTGTGGTGTCGAGGGTAGTGCGGATCTGGTCAGTCCAACGTGTCGGGCCTCTACCTCGTCGCCTGCCTACAAGGGCAATAAAAAAAAAGTTTAAGGCAATTAAGACTTCGAGCTCATGTTTCTAGGCAGGGGGCGGCGTCAAGTGGCCCCCACTCGATCACCCCAAAAGTACGTAATACATGTGAACATATTTCTAATGAGAGAGGTAAAGGCGGCGTTTTCGTAGTGTTGTCCACGAACCGCTTGACACCTGGTCGGCGTGGGCTCGGTTGCCGGTCTAGGGTAATGAAGTCATAACCAAAGTCAAAGCTTAAGTTAGTGTAATGCAACGTGTAATTACTTCTCAGTTATTATATCTGTGTAATGTAACACTGATTAATGAATTATATCGCCGGCACACGCCCGATAATAACACATAGATATAAAAGTGAACAGTGTGCATAGTGCGAGTTTTTTAACGTTCTCGATAGCGTAAAAGTTAACTCAAATTTGTATAGAGTAAGAACAGCGCCCCTAGCGGCACACAGGCAAACGTTCCAACTTTATACAAATTTGAGTTAACTTTTACGCTATCGAGAACGTTAAAAAACTCGCACTAAGCACACTGGTGTTCGTTGGTAAGTAATTCCGTTACTTGAGAACGACAAGTCCTATTGGACTAATTCTGGTCTAAAATGTTTGGAACAGTCCTAATGAGAATCTAGAAGTTTTGGAATTTAATACGACAGCGTCGGTAGGAGCGGCTGGCTTAAAACGGATCTTGAGATGATAGGCATAAAGTCGGATTTCAATGTTTGAATATCTCAAGCTATGGCCGCGGTCTCAACGCAACATTTTATTACAAGTTCACACATGACATTTACTGTGTTTAAAATGAAACTTGTTCTAATCAGTTTAGAAAGCATCTTTGTATGAAATTTCATCCAAATACGGTAAACAATTTTTGCGTGATGAGTAACAATCATACATATACAATTAATTGTCACTATTCTGATAAATAAAGTTACCGAAATGCACTTTCAGAACAATTGGTATAATTCGCGCGAAGCTGGGCGGAGTCACTCGTATTGTATAGGTTGTAATCGGTTTTAATGATTCGTAAATATTTGACACTTTCTATAAAATATTTCTCTAAATTAATATTAATTAAAACGAATTTTGCGACAAACACTAGATCCGACTTTATGCTTCTGATTTCGAGATATCTACCTCGTCACGTGCAAGCGAACGGATAGAAATTTTCACAACCACACAATTACCCTCGGAACGAATTTTTGGATGCGTAACCATACCCGCTCTTTGGGAATGAACGTATGAAATGGCGTACAGAATTGTAATTATAAATTGTATGACGTAATAAGACAATCTCAATATTAAAATTTTGAGAATAGAGAAAAATTATCTGACAGGTTGTTCAGAGCTACAAATTTCTTCTTCCCTCTCCGTCGACAGTACCCGGAACATTATGTACGTATTGATCCACGGGTGTGAGTAGGACAGCTATATGTTTCAGACTTCAAACGTGACACGCGTTCATTCGAAATAGCCCAATTTTATCAGTCGATCAGATTGTTAAAACACTAAACATTCCAGACTTAAGCATTTAGATTTTAAGTTCGTCGTCTACTTGCCACTGGGCTGAAGTAATAACTCGAATTTTTTATAAATTTACATTAGTTTGTATATTATTATAATTGTGTGTTACATTATCATTAATGTTGTGTAAAGTTTTAAAATGTATAATTAAAATCTCACAATTATCTTTTAGGGACACTTGTTTACTATGAAATTTTTACAAGGAAATATGTTATGATTGTTAGAAATAAAATACACTTATTAAATTCATGGTATTAGTTTTATTTTAACACAACAGGTATAAATTAACGACATATAAATTCGTTTGTTATCACAGAATGGTTTGTTATCACAACACCTGTAGAAGTTCACGGACATCATGAAAGCTGTTGTCTGATTTCAGAGACGAGACTGAAGTTTCAAACAAGAAGAAGCAATTATGACAGCTGTACTATCCTGAAACAGGAGATTGCTTCATGGATATATGGAACTGGTGGTTAGGAAGAATGTGTGCATGGGACTCTGGTAGGATGAAGATATTTCTACTACTAATGATGATAGTAGTATGTAATAGCAGTGGCTTGAGGCTTAACAAGATAGATCTGATTGAATTGCACTCAGGTCTCTAGATATGGTCAGATTTCAAATAATAACTAGTAAGAAATATTTTTCCATTTATTTCAAACAAGTTATGAGTTTGAAAAACTAAGCCATAAAAATAATTATTGTTTCGTATTGTCAATTTTCTTCTTACTAAAATTTAATAATTCACTAACTGCCTTGAAAAACACACTGAACAAATCCTCGTCGTGACTGATTGTATCTTTTTGAACATAATGTTCTTGAACAATTTTCTTTTCAACAGAATGAGCGCCATTTTGAAGTATCTCGTCGCAAATCTTGTCAAAATCCAAATGGAACTTCTGCTTGTTGATCAAGGGCACTATTAAGTTATAAGTGTTTATTTTTTTGTTAATTGATTTAGCGATATCTAAATTGCATTTATAGATCCGGTTCCATTTGATCATATCTTCTGTAGATAAAGGATAAGGTCCCAAATACTGTCTTTCAGACTTTATATCCTCTTTCAATAGTTTTACATCTTGGTCAATCTCTTTGCTCATTGTTATCCACTCTGGTGTGAAACCGTTATTGATAAGAACCTGGAATTCGTGAAATGCAGTATTGTTTAATTTATTATTTAGAAATGTCATTCCTTAAATGTTTTAATGCAGAAACAGTAGAACAAAATGTTTGGACATTCGTTTATTAACTGGAATAATCTCAGCAAATTTGGATTTTTCATACAATAATTGCACTCAGGTAGGCAGCGGCTTGGCTCTGCCCCTGGCATTGCTGAAGTGCATGGGCGACGGTAACCACTCACCATCAGGTGGGCCGTGTGCTCGTCTGCCTACAAGGGCAATAAAAAAAAAACTCATTTCATGCAATAGTCACAGAGGAGTATGACCGAGTTTTAGTTTTTTTCTTATCTTACCAATGGTAATTTTGTTCAATATTGAGTACAAACTCTTACCTCATTTAGTTTATGAGTAGTAAAATCGACATATGGATTCCTATTCTCGGTATTCAAAGGCTTTCCTTTTCCACTTAAATTCTCAAACTCTCCTTTTGACATCGATTCCTGGATCAAATCTTCCACTAACCTATCAAAACCATATTTTGTTTTGATATCATGTTTTTTTTCATATTGTTGACCTTTTTTCATTAATGTATTCTCAGAAGCAACTGCCTTTGAAATTCTGTGTTCCATGACATTTGTGGCTGCCCGTTGAGCCCTGGCTTGTGCCCATTGCCTTTCACGTTGGTATGGGGTACCATGGCCTACACCTTCAAAACTTAAATATTGACGGTGCTGCGGAGCTGTATGCTGGAATTAATTAAAGATAAATTGTGTGAATACAGGAATTTACACCAATTTTAAACTTCAATATTGACATAAATAAACTAAATATTTAATGTGGAAATTTTTGAACTGTGATTATGCAAGTTGTCATGCCTTAAGGATATAATACCCAATGTAGGTACTCATATTCAGCAATGTGACTTTCATGATAATGTTGAACCATACAATTAGTACAATTTGCAAAATTACTATAAAATTGAGACTTAGATCACAATTCTCCGGTTTTACATCTATGGGTTCCAGTAACCACTTAACATCAAGTGAGTTTTTCATACTGTCCATGTAATAAAAAAAGATGGATAACCACTAAAACAAACAAGTAAATTTAAAAAATAAATAAATATATGATTACCCTTATGTCATAAACAATTTGTTCAATCTCATCGGTACTGCTTTGGCCAGTGTTATGTTTACTTAACTTTCGAAAAGCATTCTCTATGGCAACAAACTTCTCAATATCGGCTTCAGGGCTTCCCGAATCAGGGTGATGCTTCTTGGCTAATTCTAGAAAAGCCTTTCTCACTACATCTTGTTTAGAACCCAGNAATAAATATATGATTACCCTTATGTCATAAACAATTTGTTCAATCTCATCGGTACTGCTTTGGCCAGTGTTATGTTTACTTAACTTTCGAAAAGCATTCTCTATGGCAACAAACTTCTCAATATCGGCTTCAGGGCTTCCCGAATCAGGGTGATGCTTCTTGGCTAATTCTAGAAAAGCCTTTCTCACTACATCTTGTTTAGAACCCAGAGGTATCTTTAATATTTTATAGCAATCCTGAATTAAAATTTCATTATTGTTATACAGTCTAATTTTGATATCAATTCTAATCATACAATTTTACTATTAGCAGTACGCAGAAAGAGAAAAAGTTGTAAAAAGAAAGTATTGCTTCAAAGATTCCTTGCTTAAGAAGCTCAAACTGTGGAGCAAAATGAAGTCTCTACAGGGTTTTTAAATATTTTAGATTCATTGTCATGAGGGGTTGAGATACTTTGAGTAATTGCATTACATGGGAAGCAGCAGACCGCGAGGTCATGGTAATAGATATGCTCTGGATTTATCGAATTTGATGTACGATTAATTCTAATGTACATCCCGCACAAGACTACATAAAAAGAAGAACATACATAATCCTCGATAAGATTATGTAATTTTTTTTCCTACCTAAGCTGATAGCCCTAAGAGGCTATATCAGCGTAACCTTAACTAGTAGGTGAGCTCACGGGGCTCAAACCTGACGACGTTGCTAACACGAACCCTAGCAAGAGCCGTGCTTCGCAGAATCTACCACCGGATCGTAAACACGACCCACTAAGAAGATCCGGTGAGAAACTCAGTGGGCTGTGTCTGAGGGTTAATTTACTCGTCGAGCCCTTCGTCGCAAGCGACGGGTTCGACAAGAACGATGATCGGTGCTTGAGATACTTAAAAGCACCGTTAGTGGATCGGGAGGATCCGAAATGACGTGTTTGGGGCGACGTCGACTGCTTTCCATTCTGTCCGCAGGATCGGGAATGTAGTTACCGGCGGCCACGATGAGAGGGTTCTCGTGTCGTGCCGCTTTATCGAAGTGGCGCGATTATGTATAAAGGTTACGAGCTTGCACTGAGAAAATGAACACGCGAAAGAAAAAATCGATACGCAATATATAGTTTGAGTGGTCGCATATGAGATATTTGAGCACCAAACATTGATGCTTTAAGCATAATTCATACAATAAAAAGTACCTAATTGAAACTCACTTCAAGTTTTTTACCATCTGATGTTATTGATCTTAGTGATTTTATACCGTAATTCCCACGAAGCAAATAAACCGAATCATCTCGAAACAATAAATTGGGCCTTTTCTTCATATTTTTATTGCATAATTAAACTGTTTTTTATGATGTTTTGAATTTGTGTTGGGAATTTGACATAATATTTACTTTTTCACTTCTTTATATTTGTCCTTCTACTTTACTCTTTGGTCTTTGAACTTTGACAATAACACTAATTTTTATTTGACTGTTATACAACTAAATTCACTGTCAAGCATTCCGTATTTAGTCGAGCAAAAATGTAACAACCCTGAATGTTTTGAAATGTTTAATGCAAGTTCTACGGTAGACTTTACAAGAATTTAAAGAGGCGCTGAAGTATTCAGTAGTTTTAATTTTTATATTCTCTATTTGTTCTGACGAGCTCATTGCCCACATCATAAATATTGGGTATTTACAAAAAAATGTCCATAAAGATCGATATTTTTCAACGACATTTAAATTTTCAAGAAATCATCTTATCGACATCCAAGTATCGAGTATCTGAGTTTCAAGTATCGTATGTTGCATACCTGACCTGAGTTGATCCCGACCCTGATACAAACACCTCTGTGGCGGGTAGCCATCATACAACGCAAGATAATTGACAGATGCCTGAATCTCGCTTACGACATTTTCAAGATAAAGCGCATATATACAAGTTCCGAACAACAACATTCGGACCGTCGGTCTACCGAGCAAATATCACCCGCTCGGTGGAAGATCTTTCCTTTCGTCGTTAAGACTCCCCAAACTGGTGACCTGCGACGTGATGTGAACACGCAACCTTCTGATTCATCTTCAGCGCATCAAGAACTCCGGCTACCACAATCCCCGCATTCTCGCAGATAAAAGCACGTCATTGACAGTCGTCCCACAGCAAGCCAGCATCGCAGCCTCAACAGGACCATCGCAGCCGACTCACCGCGCTTCCTGGTCCTACGGCACGCAACTTCACTGCCTCATCACGCCGCTACAGTTCATCGCAGCCCACGACCGGATCATCAACGCTTGGGGTCACACATCTCCGGCGTGGCAGCTCTGCATCACATGGACTACGCACGACACGCACGCAACATTTAAGCTCAGTCTCGACTCACCGCAGACTTCGAGCAGCACTGGCGACAATCACGCAGCATTCAGCTCAGTTTCGACTCACTGCAAACTTCGAGCAGCACTGGCGACACGCACGCAGCATTCAAGCTCAGCCTCGACTCACCGCAGGCTTCGAGCAGCACTGGCCCTTGCAAGCTAATCTCAGCACGAACAACGCTAACTAAAAATGACACGACCTTCAGTCTCGGAGGGGAGTGATGTGGCGGGTAGCCATCATACAACGCAAGATAATTTGACAGATGCCTGAATCTCGCTTACGACATTTTCAAGATAAAGTTCCGAACAACAACATTCGAACCGTCGGTCTACCGAACCATATCACCCGCTCGGTGGAAGATCTTCCCTCTGTCGTTAAACTTCCCCAAACCTCCAATTACGACGACTGGCTCTAACACATTTTCCATTTCGTCCAGCAACACAATAGGACGATATCCTAAGAGTCAGTGCGTATGGCTATGGCCTTAATCAGTAAACGAGTCTATCTATGTTGCAGTGCAATAGAGGCCGTCTTGACTCAAGGCAATGTCCATTCTCGAGTGTGCCGAAAAACGTCGTGTATCGTCTGGACCGGGTGTCACATCCTTCTTTCTTATTCTGGACCTTCTTTATCGCTTTATGTCGCGAGCAACTGTTGTGCATCCTTCTCAAACATCGTTTGATGAAAGACATCATAGCAGTCAAGAAATATTTAAAGGGGGAACTCATTCAACAGCTGGATGGTATGAGGCAAAAATGATTTCTCACTGTGTATGAGTTTCAGGTTCTAGGTTTTAGGTCCCGGGTAGGAGTCAGTAGTAGTATAGATTCAAATCAAAATAATTATTTATTGTCTTTAACTTAATTCATTACACTACACAATTTCAATTAAATATGAATCAAAGACCATATGAAGTTTTGGCTGAAAAGACTATAATCATGACCATAGAATTGCTCTAAAAAGCCTATTTTGACAACTGATTTGTGTTTTGATTGACATAATGACACTATTTTGTGTGAGTAAGAAGTAGGTAGTAGGTAGTAAGAGGCATAGATTATACACTTAATATATGTAAGAGGCGTGAATTTAATTAGTAATAAATTGTTTTCGTGATATAAAGTTCTATTTAAGGGACCTAGGTTAATCTGGGATTAATTTTCCTCTGCTATGTTTTTACTTTAACTCGGTGTATAGTGTGAATAGTTTTAAATTTCTACAATGGTTTTAACTGTAGATGAAGTGAGTAGGCGCTATCCAATACACTGGTTGGTTTGGAACAACCAGCACGATGAGCTGAAGACGAATCTGGAAAATAAAAAGGTAGTGGGTCTGTGTTTTATTTTATTATTATTTTTCATCAAAACAAGATAATTTTGCATACTAATGTTACAGTCGGCGTTTTGTACTAAATATATACAATTTGTATATGTGTTACGTGATAATTACTGATAATAAGGAAAATAATCCAAAATAGTTATTATGATATTAGTCACCATGAGTTGATTACCTCATGTGCCACCTGATATTACCAGAACCCATAAACACAATGCATATACCATATCTACCATAGTAATAGATATGTAAAGTTAGCTAATCAGGACATTTGACCTTGGAGTGGAAGTTTTACAGGTGTCGAGTACATGTTTGCTAAATACATATCTCTACTATTTTAAATTCCTATAAGTCTTGAGCCCTTCCATAGTCATTATTGCTTTCATTTAATTTCACTGTATATTGATACACTGGCCATCATAACTGTTAGGGTACATAAGTTTTAGAATGACTAAGAAGCCAACAGGATGCTTTGACATAAATCTTATTAATACAAAGAAGCCTTAGCAACCCTTCATAAAGGTCAATTTGACTGAATTAACAGCGTAAGTAGACAAAATTGTGAGCCTAATTTGCCTCATTAAAACCATAACTTTTGAAGTGCCATAAAAAACAAATCATCCTTATGGATTTAATTTAAAAGTTTTTGGTATTTAGCTTTAGAACAATTCAAAAGGCTGTAATGATTGATATGATTTAAAAAAAATCAGTTCTTTAAGTGTGTGCTGTTATCATTTATTTAGTTTTCAAATCTGAATCATGTATTGAATAAAGCAACTAAACAGTCTAAAGTAAAAGTTTCCAAACACGAAATAAATTTGACGAACAGATGGATTCTTCTTGGCCTTCTAATATGGAGTCCTAATTAAAAACGTGCCAAAAACATGTATATTCAGTTAGCACAATATTTAAAATGTCAGTGAATAACACTTTTGTCAGCTGTAACCACAAAAATGTTAACTAATTTGAAACATTCCAAATAATGAAATCAAAATAATAAACATGAGATTAAACCATAAAATCAGTTTTATTTACATTTCGCAAACACAAAAAAATGTATAACATTGTGTAATTACGATCAAGCCTGTAAAATTTTTCACTGGTGGTAGGACCTCTTGTGAGTCCGCACGGGTAGGTACCACCGCCCCGCCTATTTCTGCCATGAAGCAGTAATGCGTTTCGGTTTGAAGGATGGGGCAGCCGTTGTGACTATACTGAGACCTTAGAACTATATCTCAAGGTGTGTGGCGCATTTACGTTATAGATGTCTATGGGCTCCAGTAACCACTTAACACCAGGTGGGCTGTGAGCTCGTCCACACATCTCAGCAATAAAAAATAAAAAAAAAGTTATTATCTGTTTTGAACATTGATTGATTTTTGTACAGTGATATTCAGTAGCACAATGCAAATTTGTCACACCTACTTCTTTTATAAAAAGCGATGATATTCCTTCCCCACATCCAACAAAACGGCTGTGAGCATCCTATCGCAGAACTCAATAAGCCAATTTATATAATTTTACCGTTAAGATTGGGTGTCTTGTGAGCTACCGAGTCTGTATCGAGTTTATTTCTGCTGTGAAACAATGATGCATTGATTCAAAGAAGGGACAGCTGTTGTACTATAAAAAGAGAGACATAGGTAGAGCTTTTGTCTTTAGATAAATGGGGACATTTATGTTCTAACGTTCCAAATACATTACAATTTTTGTGGTCACGGACGACTAAGACGGTGGTCATTGACATTTGAATATTGTATGAATAACTATGAACAGAGCTTTCATAAAAAATTGGACATTTACGTCACTGTGCATAGAATAAAATGTAGTGCTGACCTTAATTATACCTACTAATCGCGAAAACTAAAGAAAGTATTATAAAGCCATTTTAATTGTACATGTATATCACAAAAACTAAATAGGTAGAGAACTCTTTTTTTTGCATAGATGTGTGGATGAGCTCACAGCTCACCTGGTGTTAAGTGGCTACCGGAGCCCATAGACATCTATAATGTAAATACTGCCACCTACCTTGAGATATGAGTTCTAAGGTCTCAGCATAGTTACAACGGCTGCCCCGCCCTTCAAACCGAAACGCATTACTGCGTCACGGCTGAAATAGGCAGAATACTTACTCATGCGGACTCACAAGAGGTCCTACCACGAGTACTATACTATACAATTCAGTGACTACTTGGTATATATGCCGTAGGCTCGTTCTACTTGCAATGACAATTAAAAAAAAAAAATGAAATTTCCATAGACAAACTTAAGAAAGTACTAGACATTATTCTTTTCGTTACAGTATACAGAAGAAGAACTAGAATTGAAGGACCCGCGCGGTCGAACCCCTCTGTTGCTGGCTGTCACTCTGGGGCACACAGAGTCCGCCCAGGCTTTAATAGACGCCGGTGCCGACGTCAACTGTGAGAAAGACGGATGGACAGGTTAGTTTAAATGTAAAAAGGACCCGCGTCCTAATCAAAACCATGTATCCAATGGATTCACAAGTATAAGGCATAGCCCAGAAACCCTCAGAAAGTTGTCTTAATAAACAATTGAATGCGATTTTTACCAAAAAGAAGATTGAGATGATGAATGTGGAATTCAGATTTCGATTGAAAAACGATTAATAAAAAAAAAAATGATGCAAATTTATCAAAAAAAAGACTAATTGTATTTATTATACAAATATGTAATAAAAACTAAAAAAGGTTCTGCGCTAATCGACCGTTGAGTTGAAACGGGCTTTCTTCTTTTTTCTTTTTCTCCACCTTATCCCACTAGGTGGGGTCGGCACTCCAAATTTTTCTCTTCCATTCTCTTCTATCAGCCGTCATCTCAACACTCACTCCTCTCTCTCTCATATCGTCATTCACACACTCCATCCATGTCTTCTTCGGTCGACCTCTTCCCCCTCTACCTTGCACTACCATTTCCATACATCTCCTAGTCACATGCATCTTCTCTCTACGCATCACATGTCCATACCACGCTAACCGGCTTTATTCGATTCAAATTGAAACTTAATACGTTAAAATATGAAGCATTTTTCGTACTTAAGGAAAAGTTTTTTTCATAATACCCTTGCTATTGACAAATGGGTGTTTTTATATACATATATAGATTTATCGATAGTCATTAGTCACAGCGGAGCGTAGCCGAGCTTCACTAGAAAAAATATAAAGCTGAAAATATCTAGTTGATTGTTCGTATGCAAATAAAATTGTGCGTGTTATTCTAAAGAATATATTACCATAATAATATGAATTTTCTTTACTGAAATCGTAGTACGAAAGGAACTACCTAATGAAAGTTCGATGACCTCGCGAGCCCATAATGTTTTCTGACGTGTTAGCAAGAAGAATGTCTAAAAATAAAACCATATGCCGAAAATCTTAATAAAGTCGTCTACACGTTGTTCACACGAGACAACTTTAAGTCAATTAACAGCTTAAAGTAATTTGAACCCTCTGAACTGACTTCTAATCGAATATACGATGAAATTAGATTGACATGTGACGTTGACATAAATCATACCCACACGACTACATTGCTAAATTATAAACCTCCGTTTACTTTGTCGTAGTCGAGTATTATACATGAAATATTAATATCTAACTAGTGGTCTCCCAGTAGTCGAAATTCGACGATAATTAATTTAAATTATTAGTTTGAACATTATTAAAGTTCAAAAGTCAAAGACTATGGGTTCTATAATTCTAGGTTTTGCCAAGGTTACACTGTAGACAAATAATATCAAAGACAAGCAATATTAATCTATTCTCAATTTGACCACAGACTAATAAACAAAAGAATATATGTATGCGTGTGTGTGTCAAATACATGGTAGTGTGTGTCATATTTTTTTATTGATTTAATGTATTTTTTTATGCATAATTTTAAAGAAATATTAGAATTCTGCATTCCTTTTCTATATTCTCTATAAATGTGGGAAATTTCATACTCCTACGTCCGCGCAGTTTTCGCATATGGTACAAAGTTTTTGCTTTACGTATTAATATATAGATAACAATTGAAATAGTTGAAACTTTGTGACTGAACTCTTTTTCTACAATGTCAGAAATAGGCAAGACGAGATGCTGATATATATTCGTGCTTGCTTACAATACCCTCTTGGAGATTACGCAAATTGCGGGTATTTACTGGTGGTAGGACCTCTTGTGAGTCCGCACGGGTAGATACCACCGCCCTGCCTATTTCTGCCGTGAAGCAGTAATGCGTTTCGGTTTGAAGGTTGCGGCAGCCGTTCTAACTACAATGAGGCCTTAGAACTCTTTATCTCAGGGAGGGTGGCGGTATTTACGTTGTAGATGTCTATGGGCTTCGGTAACCAGTTAACACCAGGTCGGCTGTGAGCTCGTCCACCCATTGCGTATCTATGCTATAAAAAAAACAAATTCAATTTAATTTTTAACGTAAATCACTAATTCGTGTCGCAGTGCTAACTTGTAATTATAATCGCACGGCATATATTTGAAACTACGGTTTAACTCCTCTATAGCCGTCCAAGAAGCCACTTCGTCAGGAAACGCTGCGCTTTTATCCCTGGTGCTATCTCGGAGGGACTACCAGCGCCACGTGCTACGCTCCTGTGGTATCCCAGAGCTCTTGAGGAAGCTGAGTCTGGCACCCGATTTTTATGTTGAGATGAAATGGGAATTCACTAGTTGGGGTGAGTCTTATGTCTTCTTTTTGTCGTAATTTTCGAAGTTTGACAATGTATAAATTTATTTTGTAATATACGAAATAGTTATTCCGTGCTGCCGAACCCAGTTATTGTATTTGCGGTCTAAAGGATAAGACACCCGGTGCACTCTTATTTGTTTTACAGAGTTATTTGGTGCGCCAATGGTTCGCTTTTCCCGCTATTATGACTAGCACACTTTTTCTCTAGACGAAGATAAAATAACTATTTTTTTAAAAAATAACCCCTAGAAATCTAGATTTTTCTTATTTTTATCATTGGTATGGCGACGTCTTGTGAAGCGCCCCATCATCCGAACTGATGACCACTCTACCAAGAGTGCAAACCGCTAAGAAGAATATAGAATAATAGAAATTTATTCGTGCGTTTTCTCCGTGGAATCCGAAACGGCTGGGTCGATTTCTATGAAATTTCACCAAGAAATCTTCAAATCGACCTAACGGGTGATCCTCTGAAATTTGAGAAGCGTGTGATTGTTTATAACATACTCGTGGAATCTCAAAACACGTTCATTATAACGCCTAAAAGAGCACCAAGAAAAACTAGCTTAACAAACTCAGCGTGTTTATATATATTATTTTAAATTATTTAATATGTTGGGTTGATTGGAAAGTAATTTGTTTTTTTTTTAAGAAATTTAGCTTATTAAGCATGAACGGTTGAATTCGTTAATTTTACTTTATATCTAAGTAAACCCTCGAATTATTAATCATGTCACTCCCCGTCTGCATCAATCCTATCGTCGGTGACGTCATGCAACGTTGACCCACTGAGTTTCTCGTCGGTTCTTCACAATGGGTCGCGATACCGATCCGGTGGTAGATTCAGCAAAACAATGCTCTTACTAGGGCCAATGTTAGTAAACTCTCTCAGGTTGAGCCCGTAAGCTTACCTACCGGAACGTAACTGAAATAGTCCCTTAGGCTACCAGAGAATAGGCCCATAGACACAGCCCACTGAGTTTCTTGCTGGATCTTCTCACTGGGTCGCGTTTCCGATCCGGTGGTAGAAGCACTGCTCTTGCTAGGGTTCGTGTTAGCAACAACGACAGGTTTGAGCCCCGTGAGCTCACCTACTAGTTTGAGCGAATCTTGAATTACCCCTCGAGGTTACTAGAATAGGAAGGAAAAAAACAAAAAGAAAATTTGATGAATATGAATATGTAGTGGTGTGTGTAACTTGAATAAAATCTTATTTCCAGTGCCTTTAGTATCAAGAATGTGTCCGTTCGACACATATAAAGTGTACAAACGCGGAGCCAATGTTCGCGTGGATACGACACTCATAGGCTTCGAGAACAATCACTGGCAGAGGGGAGATCGAACTTACATATTCAGAGGTCAAGGTATGGTTGGTGAAACTCTTTTTATTTTTTATATGTTAAAATACACATTGCTAAGTTATTTTTGCATTGACTCCTTTCATCCATACGCTTTGCTTTGGCCTAAGCACTTAGAAAGGATTCAAGTATAAAGTTAAAAAAAGAGGGTCCGAATTGTTCTGAAAACATGTAGGTACAATTATTTAGCTAGCTCTAAGGTTTTAGTTAGAATTTTTTTCGATAATTTAATAAATTGTTGTGGGATTGTTAAAGTATGAACAAAGACTCATATCCGGTACTGAGTATTATATAGCAATGCACCGGTGTTCGAATCCCGCAGGCGAGTACCCTTTTTTCTAATGAAATACGTACTGCACAAATGTGCATAATTGACTTCCACAAAAATCAAACCCGCAAAATTATAATTTGCGTAATTACTGGTGGGAGGACGTGTTGTGCGTCCGCGCGGGTAGGTACCACCACCCCGCCTATTTCTGCCGTGAAGCAGTAATGCGTTTCGGTTGCCGTTGCCGTTGTAACTATACTGAGGCCTCATATCTCAAGGTGGGTGGCAGCATTTACGTTGTAGATATCTATCAGCTCCGGTAACCACTTAACACCTGAGCCGTGAGCTCGTCCACCTATGTAAGCAATAAAGGCGCTCGGCAGGTCGGTCGGCCAGCCTGGTGGAGTTGGACCACGAGGCTGGCACGGCGTGGTGCGAGCGCGTGGAGCCGGCGGCGCCCGGGGCGGAGTGCCCGGCGCCGTCGGCCCGCGCGCTACAGCAGCGCCTCGCAGCGCCCATCTCCATCAACTACCTCGACACGGACAAGATCAGCTTCGAGAGGTATCCTCGCCTCTTCGACGTCAGACCGCGAAAGGTCCGATATACGAGACTGCAACATTCGTCAACATTTCAAATTACTATTGATTTTTAGACAGTTTTATCCATTACAAAAAGAAACTAATCACGAATCCGTCATATAAGTGTTTGAAATTAGATCCGACCTTTTGTCTCTGACGTCTGGATTTATTCTAATTAACTTGTAACTATGATGTGTAAATCATTATGACATTTGACCACAGAAACAAAAGCTGGGTGGGTATCTGCGGTAAATTATCAAATAATTTTTATCACGATCTTATGTTTGTTGCTGTCAAAGTCAATGCAGTGGACAACACAACGGGACACCCTGTACCGTATCAAGGCTGACATCTGTACATATTGAAAACAAACTTCCTTTTCTCTTGAAATACTGGTATTCGTGTTAGCGAATGAAAAACGCCCCCCGCGTAAACCTTAAAAAGGACATCTCTTGCTGCGAGTATCTCAAGATGTGATTAGGGGGTTATTAGAAAATTGTTATCAGCTATCTCAGAGTATCTATCAACGTACAACCATTTACAACCGGAATTTACCGGCGGTAGATCCTGTTGTGGTTCCACACGGGTAAATACTGGGGCTATGAGTATTTCTGCCGTGAACCAGTCAAGCATTGCGGTTTGAAGAGATGATGAAGATACTGTTATCCAATACAATTGAGGCTTCGACTTCATGCTTCAAGTTGAGTGATGTGTATGGTCTTTGTTAATGACTTGGCACAGGGCGGATCGCAAGATAGTGCGCTAGAACCCTAAAATTGCTTGGGCCCGCGGTCTGCTTCCAACACCTTGCAGGTCGTCAAGTCCCACATACCAGGTGCGTCCCCTAGGCGCGGGGATCCCGTGGGGGGTTCGGCCCCCGGCCCGAAAAAAAAGGGTGGATCGCAAGTTCGTTGACATTTCCGTGTAAAATATAAAAAAAAAAACTTTAAGTTGATAAATAATACACAGGAACAAAAGCGGCATCTGGGGCTGGCGGCAAGACAAGACCGAGCCGGTCAACGGTTACGAGTGCAAGGTGTTCAGCGCCAACAACGTGGAGCTCGTCTCCAAGACTCGCACCGAGCATCTGGACAAGGCGCGGCGCTCCAGCCCCCGGGCTCCGCTGGCGGGGCTGCTGGCGCTCGCGGACTCCGACACCAGCGCGCCCTCTACTCCGCTCCTCACTCCTGAAACGGTACGGAGATATACATCGGATCCATTGAGACTGTTGGGGGCATTATGAGTACCACACGCTGAAGTAATAGCTGTCTTGGCCTTGAAACTAGAACAAATCATAGGGCTGCCAGGGTCCACTCAGTGAGTTTATCATTTATTTATTGCTTAGATGTGTGGGACGGGCTCACAACCCACCTGGTGTAAATCGGTTACCGGAGCCCATAGACATCTATAACGTAAAAGCCGCAACTTACCTTGAGATATGAGTTCTCAGGTCTCGGTATAGTTACAACGGCTGCCCTACCCTTCAAACTGAAACGCATTACTGCTTTACGACAGAAATAGGCAGGGTGGTGGCCCTACCCGCGCGGACTCACAAGAGGTCCTACCACCAGTAAAAAGTAGGCGAATAGGCTCACCCGCTTTCTGATGGTTGCCGGAGTTGGAGCTTCCGGATAATACAACGTGAATGCCCTGTCGAGCCAGAATGTATGACAGCAGGCAGAAGTTATATTGCGTCGATTTTTCTGCTATCTGATATTCTCCACTGTTATGGGTACTAGAAGGGTTGAGTGCTTCTTACCTTAAGCAATCTTCGTTTCGAAGTATTTCATGAGTGTATTAATTGGCAGGAAGAACCTCCGCGCAGTAGGTCCCGTGAAGAGTTGAATGTCGTATCCTGGGAGGAGTACTTCTCTGGGGAGGCGATGGAGAGGGACATCGGGAGGCCGAAGGAGATAACCGAGAAAGTGCAGAAGTTCAAAGCCACTCTTTGGTTGTGCGAAGACTATCCATTGGAGGTGAAAAATGTTTATTTTTCTTAGTTTGAGGGTAGTGTCGCGAACTTCACTTAAAGAAATGTTTACAAGTTCTCATAGTCGCGATTATTGATAGGCAGAGGCAATTAATGTCTATTCATGTACAGGAGTGATTTGGTTGGAAGGTCGCTGTCCACCTTGAGACATGAGGTCGAAGCGCTAGTATTGTACCACGAGTTGGAGTGATCGTCAGGGTTTCTTATAATAAAGACGCAGATTTTCATGGACAGTTTTTATTCTAACGGAGATACACTTTTTTGTGTCCGTACTCATTGACGACGCAAGAAGAAAAAGAGGCGAGCACACGAATGACGTTGACACATATTAGACGAGTGACAGCTGTCAGTTGGTATTAACATAAAGATGCGTTTAGGAATTATACAATTCTAACACCACGGCCGTTCACCGTGCGCCCGGTTCCCTTAATACGATCCACTAGCATTAAAAATTAACTATGATATTTTCTCAGCTGCAAGAGCAAATAATGCCGATATTGGATTTGATGGCCGCTATATCCTCGCCTCACTTCGCGAAGCTGAAGGACTTCATACAGATGCAGCTCCCGGCTGGGTTCCCAGTTAAAATAGGTGAGCGTCACATTCCTATAAATCCGCCTTCCCCAAAGTAGGCGATAACGCCCCCTTGTGAGGAACCAAGGAGGGCGGTAACAGACCCAGAAATAAAGGGGGGCGTTCTGTAAAGGCCGGGGAGGTGATTTGTAATTTCATCTAGGAGGACTCTTAGGCATCGACTGAGCTCTCGCTATAGTGGTTCTTATGTAGGTGAAAAAATGGGGGCGTTAAAAAATAATTTATTCTCAAAGTGGGCAGTAGACAAAATAAGTTTGGGAACCGTTGCTATAAATTAATACGTGAAGCAAAAACTTTGTACCCCTTTTTACGAAAATTGCGCGAACCGAGGAGTATGTAATTTCCCACACTTATAGAGAATGTAAAGAAGGAGTGCAGAATGTTCATATCTATTTAAATTATGCATATAAAATACATTAAATCAATAATAAAAAAAACATTACACACACTACCGTCTATGTGACACAACACACGCATGCATACTATTTGTTTATGGTCAAACTTTTCTTATTGCTGTCTGTGGTCAAATTGAGAATAGATTAAATATTTTTGTCTTTATTAATATTTATCTAAAGTGTAGTCTTGGCGAAATCTGTGATTGTAGAAGTTTTACTTATAATTTCAAATAATTATAGTCGAATTTCGACTACCGTGGTACCACTGGTTCCTATAAACCTGCTTTTTTATTATTAATTAACCTTGTAGGCCTACGAGTATACGGTCCACCTGATGGTGAGTGGTTACCGTCGCCCATGGACTTCAGCAATGCCAGGGACAGCAGAGCCGAGTCGTTGCCTAAAGTTGCTGCTCTATAATGAGTTGACCCCCGCCCCCAACGCCCCTCTCCCCGCAGAGATCCCGCTGTTCCACGTGCTGAACGCGCGCATAACGTTCGGCAACATCTTCGGCACGGAGAGCGGCGCGGCGCACGTGCAGTGCATCGCGGAGGGGCGGCGCGCGGCGTGCGTGCTGGACGACGCGTGCTTCGAGCTGGGCCGCGGCTACCGGGACGCCGCCGCGCCCGAGCCGCGCGGGGAGATGGACCACGACGAGCGCCTCATGCACTACGCCATACAGCAGAGCCTCATGGACGCCGGCACGCACGACGACCAGGTGACCGCGCTCCTCCACCTCGCCACGACCTCTTGTGACTCCGCGCGGGTAGCTACCACCGCCCTGCCTACTGCCGTGAAGCGGTTATTTGTTTGGGTCTGAAGGGTGGGGCAGCCGTTGTAACTATACTGAGATCTTAAAACTTATATCTCAAGGTGGGTGATGCATTTACGTTGTATATGTCTATGGGCTCCAGTAACCACTTACCACTAGGTGGGCTGTGAGCTCGTCCACCCTTCTAAGCAATAAAAAAAAAAAGTGGATACTGTTGCCGAGTTTAAGACGAGACCTCCAAGTGTCAGTTGTGTAGCCCCAGGACAGCTGCATATGTACCTAACCCCGCAGGTGGACGTGTGGGAGGCGCTGCGGGGCGCGCGGCCCCCCTCGCCGCTGCACGAGACGCAACTACAGAGGTACGAACACTGTTATATCTTATCTTATCTTATATCTTTAAACGAGCAATTCTTGTATATATAAATGATCTGAATCTCGAAAATGGCTCCAACGATTTTCATAAAATTTAGTATACAGGTGATTTCGGGGGCGATAAATCGATCTAGCTACGATTTTGTTTTCAGAAAAATGTTGTTTTAATCGTGTTTTCAATAGTAATCAACTTAAACATAACCTTTTTTTTTATAGAAAGAAAATAATATAATATAATATTAATATGTAATTCGTATTTAAATAAAATTTCTAAAAAAAAACAATTTATCAGAAAAAAACCGAGCCTCAGTTATCCTCTAGTAACTCTTTGTGTCACAATGGGCATTGAACTTTTTTATTATCTTTACCGAAAAATGTTTTTAAAAAACGGACTAGCTGGTCAGCTGATCACTTATCATTCAAAAGATATTTAAATTAATTTCATAAGTCATATGTTTTCTATAAAAAAATATTAAAATCATTACTTATTTTTTTATAAACAATCCCCATCGCTATAACCAGTAGATTCGTTAACCGTTCGACTGCAAACACCAAACAAACCTATTCATCGCAAAAATGTCTCGATGCGGATATCGAACCGACGTCTCTCAACGCAATAGCCAAAGGACGCTGTCTACCGACTCACTCAAATTCTAATAATCTAATATATAAAATTCTCGTGTCACAATGTTCGTTCCCATACTACTCCGAAACCGCTTGACCGATTCTCATGAATTTTTTTATGCATATTCAGTAAGCCTGAGAATCGGCTACTATCTATTTTTCATACCCCTAAGTGATTAGGGTTGTCCACCCCTAACATATTTTTTTATTTGGACATTTTTTTTTGTTATTATGAGGTATTATGTGGTTGAATGAGGTTTTGTTATTTTTATTATATATTCCCTCATCGTTCACAGCACTACATACCTCTTTCAATCATTTACCACATCCTTACACACTTACAATAAGTTAGTTTTTTTTCTACACTAGAAATTCCCTAGAAATCTTATATATGGCAAAACAATGTTTGCCGGGTCAGCTAGTCTATATATATAAAAGAAAGTCGTGTTAGTTACACTATTTATAACTCAGGAGCGGCTGAACTGATTTGGCTGAAAATTAGTGAGGAGGTAGCTTAAAACCAGGAGAAGGACATAGGATACTTTTTATCACGTTCCCGTGGGACGCGACATAAAACGTGGTATAACAAAACGCAACTGATATGGAATAACAAAACGCAACTGACAGCTAAACGTTATATTCTATGGTTAATTATAGTAGAATTTTGAAGTTGACCAGTTGATGTGTTTGAAACAAACCGTGTGGCGGAACAAAGTTCGCCGGGTCCACTAGTAAAAAATAAATAATAAAAAAACATGGATGCAATTCACACGTGGTAGAAGTGAAACCTTCCAAAATTAAAATACAATTATCCTAAACGTCTTAAGTATATGTAAAATTTTGTCATTAGTAAATAATTGTAAGGTAGCGCCCTCTGTGAATTGATATTTTAATTTCACGTATAATCCTAAATTAAAATTCACTACAAGAGCTTTCATACACACGTTAGTATTAAAAAATCTCACAGATGGCGCTGTATTAAATAGTATGTATATTTCTGTCTCATTCTTTGCTGGCTTCATCCTACACATTTTTGTATTTGTGTCTCTTACCTGTCGTTTTTTCCGTTGCATCCGGTTTGAAATCACAACGATTCTAAAGAAGTTTTTACTTCAAAAACTTATTTCAAGACATCAGTCTCAAATTGTGTTAGTATTACAAATAACTTACGAACTATGTTAGTATTTAAATAAATCAATCAACTCCGTCTTTGGCAGCCCCATCAAGCAGCATGTAGAACATGCAACTTGATGAACCTACCCAGGGTCGGGCCATCCAGTCTTTCAGCTACTACCCTCAAGACGTTGTTGGTGCTTCCTCCTACTCTACGCATAATGGATGCCACCTTTTTGCGCATTATCGCGGAGTAGTCATCCGTGTGCGCATCGGCGAACATGCCTGATGCACTACAATAAGGTGGAAGCCTCAATAACATCATATAACTAATTCTTAATTAAAATTAATTATAATTGTGTTAACTTTTACGCTATCGAGAACGTTAAAAAACTCGCACTAAGCATACTGCAATCGAAATAATGACCATTCACCAAGTGCCTTCGTGCCTTCGTTTGTTGAACGCGTTACGCGTTGAATATTGTGTTGTCGCAGTCTGGTTTTTGTGGACATCTGTAGTCAGCTATAAAAATGCTTGTATAATGTACCGTCCAAATACAACCTATAACGAACGCCATCTATTATTATTAGGGTATTACTAATTAATAACTATATAGTAGTATTATTTTACTGTTGACAGAGTTGTTCGTATTCTGATGTTGGCTATTTTAATATATACTATATGAAAAACGGTAGGTAGTTTAAATTTATGCTAGTAAATAAATCCACCAATATCTAGGTTAATTTTATTGACTTAATTCAAGTGCTGTAATTCTGCGTCTGACTACATAATAATATATGAATGGTTACATAACATATAAAATGGTTTCAACTTTTCAGACGTTGGTGATTCTATTAGTCTTCTAGATAGTGCTTTTTTTTGTGGCTACATTCTAGTATCGAAAAAGAGTCGACAGTAAATTCATTATCGCGCTATGAGTATGTAGTGAATTTTTAATTATCTTAGTATTACTGATTTTTTTTTATGTCATCTCAACGTTTACCATCCTGATCCAGGATACTTAAGTCGCTTCTCTCTCTCTTCTTCTCTTCGAATCTCCCGTTCTCTTTTTTTATTGCGTAGACGGGTGAATGAACTCACGGCCTACGTGGTGTAGTTGGTAGTAGGTCCCTCCCAGTTGTAGCTGAGCTTCAGCTCATCCCAACGTGAACGGTCACGTCCACGTTGAGACGTGAGAGAGAAGTTTCGTTTTGTTTGTATTACGGTACTTTATTAAGTCGTTGTGGCCTTAGGGATAAGACGTCCGGTGCATGCGTGTTGAGCAACGGTGTTCGAATCCCGCCGGCGGGTACCATTTTTTCTAATGAAATACGTACTCAACAAATGTTCATGATTGACTTCCACGGTGAAGGAATAACATCGTGTAATAAAAATTAAACCCGCAAAATTATAATTTGCGTAATTATTCCTGGTAGGACGTATTGTGAGTCCGCACGGGTGGGTACCACCACCCTGCCTATTTCTGCCGTGAAACAGTGATGCGTTTCGGTTTGAAGGGTGGGGCAGCCGTTGTAACTATACTGAGACCTTAGAACTTATATCTCAAGGTGGGTGGCGCATTTGCGTTGTGGATGTCTATGGGCTCCAGTAACCGCTTAACACCAGGTGGGCTGTGAGCTCGTCCACCCATCTAAGCTATTAAAAAAAAGAGACCAATGTCTAGGATTATTTATGGCTGCATATCGGTACTTATTGAAGTGCCCAGCAAATAGTTCGTATGTTGTGGTGATATTTATTATTACCTACCCTCTAACGAAACAGGCATTGCGACAACGTTGCTCTTGCCCTAATTAACTCTCAGACACAGCCCACTGAGTTTCTCGCCGGATCTTCTCAGTGGGTCGCGTTTCCGATTCGGTGGTTGATTCTGCGAAGCACGGCTCTTGCTAGGGTTCGTGTTAGCAACGTCATCAGGTTTGAGCCCCGTGAGCTCACCTACTAGCCACGGTTACGCTGAAATAGCCCCTAAGGCTATCAGCTTAGGTAGGAAAAAAAAATGCCCTAATCATGTTTCAAAAGCATTAAAATATAATTAGTTACATTCACAATTTATCGGTGTGAATGTTTCACAGTTGCCAATTAAATACGTAAACCATAAAATTAGTTTAATTGTCGTTTAAAACACGTCAAGTTCAAGACGAATGAAACATTTATTTTGAAGTTCTCAGTACAATAAATTCTCCTGCATTGAACGATGTAAGAATTTTAGTCTTAAAAGAACGTAACGGTTGTATTTCCTTAATATTTGCGCAACAATTGATGGATATATGGAAACAAATAAATGTCAGCGTTCCTCCCCCATACGAAGTCCACGTGATTCCATTTTCGCGGTTTCAATACCCTGTACTCGACAACATTTGTCAACTGGTCTCGCAGTCTCGCAGTATCCTTCATAACGACCAATTTGTCGTTGTTGCCAGTAAAAATGGCCACTTTCATGGTGACCGCGCTGAGATCGTACAAAGGAGGTTCCTTTCTTCCATATAGTCGGATATTTTCTTCAGCGCCGGCATCGTAATAGGCAAAACGCTTGTATTTTCCCGACTGCGCCAAATGATTGAGGTTTTTCCTTGAACTTCCGCTGGGGGTATGACCAAGTGCAATCGGCAAGAATTCTCGCTCCAGTTCTGCCGTGTTGTAACCGGCTAGTTGAAATAGAATCAACTCAACGCATAAAACATATCCTGGCAACCCTAAGGGACAAACTTTTTGCAAAAGTCTCTGAAGAATTGTCCCATCGGGCAAAATTTCCTCATTGCCAACTCCCTCAAACAGGTAGTTTACAAGGGGAGACAGGAGGACTAGTATTTTCGTGGGCATTTCAATGTTGCCAATATAAACTGCTGGTGCTAACGAAATAAAAACCTTGATCTTTTTGTTATATTGTGGCAACATTGCCGTCATTGCGAAGAAGATATTGTTGCCCTGGGAATGACCGATACCATAGATCCGTGTTTGGCCGGTGTGACCCAGGATGTAGTCGATAGTCGCAGGTAGATCGTACAACGCCATTTCGTGGTAACTGAAGTTCCAAAATTCAGGATCTTTGTCGGGATTCAGAGTAACGTGTCTCCGGGAATGTTTGTTTCCTCTCATGTTTGCCAGCCACACGTCGTAGCCAGCGTTCGCGAGAGATATGGCCATTGATCTCTTGCCTCTGATGATAAAAGTATCGGCAGAATCGAAGATGCCGTGCATCATGAGCACCGGTCGTTTCCTGTCTCCCGGTAAATGAAATAACTTGGTGACGTAACCGTCCTCTGACTCGACGTAATGTTCCTCGCACGGGTGCCCGTATTTCGCGGCGAGACCTTTGAAGTCCAGCTTAGCGTCTACTGGTACATTTATTTTGACCACAAATCCTGTGGAGGCACGGAACGGTATCAAAGAATAAGTTACCGCGAAGTCGTTTACTTCTAGTGCACTGGCTTCCTGGCTTTGGTTCCAAAATCGATCCCGGAGCGTTGAATGAAACGGATTACCTTCTCGATTTAAATATAGTAGCGCGTATATATATGGAATAGTTTTACTGATAAATATCATTTTCAATTTTTCTACACTCACTACACGTGTGTCCGCCGAAGTCAATATTACGAATGGTGCACCGTTAGAATATCGATAACTAATTAAACCATGTTAGCTACATGGCTTTGGTTTTACGCGATATGCCTTAATTATGTACTTGATTCCAAATTGATGTGACTGAATTTTTTTTGTTTTTTGTGTATGTATCTTTCGTAAATTAGGCTATACCATATACAAGTTTAAGGACTAAAGTTGCATGTTAGGTACATGAAAATCACGAGCGCTACACTATCACTATCAAATGGGATTGATTTATCTCTGTGGATTCATCAAAACTGATGCACAACATTGGTTGGCTTTAATATTTTTTTTATCTTTATTTAGCCACAGATGAATTACATTAACTCGTCGTTGCCGAAAAAGTTATTTTCCAATCGACCACTTAAATATAGCAGTGAAATATGCTCACAAACTCTCAGGACCATATTTTCTTCAGCACGATATTTGTTTCTCGGCTTGAAACTCATAATTTCACACGTCTTTCTGCACGGTCAGTGGTTGTAATTTATTTCAGTCGAAGTCCGGGTGGTACAAGTCGACGCCTTGGAACTAATCTTTTTTTTATTGTCCGTGTAGGCAAACGAGCATACGGCCCACCTGATGGTGAGTGTTTACTGTCACCTATAGACTTCAGCAATGCGAGGGGCAGAGCCAAGCCGCTGCCTACCGAATCTTTGAGTTTTTGTTCTTAATGAGCACCAGAGCCATACATCTTGTGCCGCATATTGTCGTGTTGTCCCACATAGAGTAGAAACAACAAAGAATAGTGGTCGTGGTCTGAAAGATAAGACGGCTGGTGCATTCGTATCTAGCGATGCGACTGTGCCGGTGTTCGAATCCCGCAAGCAGATATCAATATTTCTAATGAAAGACGTACTTAATAAATTTTCACGAATGACTTCCACGGTGAAGGAATAATACCGTGTAAAAAAAGGAAACCCGCAAAAATATTAATTTTGCTTAATTACTGGTGGTAATATAGGCGTCTTGTGAGTCCGCACGGGTAGGTACCACCAATGCATTTCGGTTTGAAGGGTGGGGTAGCCGTTGTACTAAAAAAACGGAGACTTAGTTAGTACTCATGTCTCAAAGTGGGTGGCGTCATTGACACGGTTGATGTCAATCCGCTCCGGTGCCCACCCAACACCAGATCGGCCGTGAGATCGTCCACCCATCTTAGCAATAAAAAAAGAAAAATCAATCGTGAAAACAAAAAAAAGGCGATTGCATGCAGCAGAGATGCGAATGTTGCGATGGATGTGTGGAGTAACGAGAATGGATAGAATACGGAATGAATATGTTAGAGGAAGTCTGAAAGTGGCACCAGTGACAGAGAAGCTGAGAAGTGCGCGTTTGGGATGGTATGGACATGTGATGAGACGAAATGAAAATGAGGTTGGTAAGAAAATGTTAACTATGAATGTGGAAGGATACAGAGGAAGAGGTAGACCTATGAAGAAATGGATGGATTGCGTGAAAGACGATATGGGTAAGAGGGGAGTGAGCGAAGGAATGGTATATGATAGAAGAGTATGGAAGGAGAAAACATGTTGCGCCGACCCCAGGTAACTGGGAGTAAGGCGGGATAATGATGATAATAGGGCACTGATATTGAGGTTGGACTCGAGGGTATCCTGAAGAGCTTCATGACCCATTATCCTGATACATCAAACCAACTGTATTGGATCATATAATTTCGCTGTATTCTAACACCACCATTTAAAAAATATCCTAACATAATGCGTGGATGGAATGTTGCGCGAAATCTGGATGTGAAACTATAATCTAAATTCCATTGCAAGTATTTGTTTAATGGGAATATGTACATCTGCGGAATCGTTTCATAATAATAAGTCGTGACAGATGGCAACAAAGCAAATAAGATTTAGTTCAAGTATGTGTGGCGGGTAGCCATCATATAACGTAAGATATTTGACAGATACCTGAATCTCGCTTACGTAATTTTCAAGATGAGCTCGCATATATACAAGCTCCGAACAACAACATTCAGACCGTCGGTCTACCGAGCAATATCACCCGCTCGGTGGAAGATCTTCCCTTTATCATATACCTACAGTATGCACGCACTATACATGTGCGATCAATACAAGGATTTTTTATTGCATACATTGGTGGACGAGCTCACAGCCCACCTGGTGTGAAGTGGCTACCGGAGCCCATAGACATCTACAATGTAAATGCCGCCACCCACCTTGAGATATGAGTTCTAAGGTCTCAGTAAAATTACAATGGCTGCCCCACTCTTCAAACCGAAACGCATTACTGCTTCACGGCAGAAATAGGCAGGGTGGTGGTACCTACCCGTACGAAATTACAAGAGGTCCTACCACCAGTTTTATAGATATGGCAACGTCATCATTAGCCTATAGCACTCCACAGCTGGACATAGGCCTTTGCAACTGCACGCCATTGTGCACGATCCTATGATTCTCTTGTCCAGCTCTTGATTATAGAATCTTGAAAATAGATCAGGAGGATCCGATAAGACATTTTTGGGGCGACGGAGACTTTGCGTTGCCCCATCGTCTGAGTTGGACATGTAAGTGGAGACGACCAGGACAAGAGGCCGCTTTTTCGAAGATCTACTGTTGTATTTGATGTCCAATACATGTCAACACCAATTTTATATCACAACAAAATAAATAATTAATGGAATCATTCATTTAATATCGTGACGATTCAAGCAATTTATAATATACGCGATTGCATTACAAAACCATGACTGTTGACAAAAAAATTATAACGATTTAAGGTTTCTAATATTTGTGCAGCAATTTAAAAATATATGGAAACAAAAACTTGTTGGCATTCCTCCCCCATACGAAGTCCAAGTGATTCCATTTTCTCGGTTCCAATACCCTGTACTCGACAACGTTTGTCAGCTCGTCTCGCAGTCTCTCGGTATCCTTGAGAACGACCAATTTGTCGTTGTTGCCAGCAAAAATAGCCACTTTCATGGTGACCACGCTGAGATCGTACAAAGGAGGTTCCTCTCTTCCATATAGTCGGATATTTTCTTCAGCGCCGGCATCGTAATAAGCAAAACGCTTGTATTTCCCCGACTGTACTAAATGATTGAAGTTTTTCCTTGAAGTTCCACTGGGGCTATGACCGAGTACAACCGGGAAGAATTCTTGCTCCAGTTCTGCCGTATTGTAACCGGCTAGTTGAAATATAATCAACTGAACGCATAAAACATATCCCGGCAATCCTAAGGGACAGACTTTTTGCAGTTGGCTCCTAAGAATTTCCCCCTCCGGCAAAATTTCCTCATTGCCGATCCCTTCGAACAGATAGTTTATAAGAGAGACAGCTGAACTAGTATTTTCGTCGGCGATTTAATATTCTCAATATGGACTGCCGGTCCTAACGAAATCAAAACCCTGATCTTTGTGTTATATTGTGGCAACATTGCTGTCATTGCGAAGAAAAGATTGTTGCCCTGAGAATGGGCGATACCATAGATCCGTGTCTGGCCGGTGTGACCCAGGATGTAGTCGATAGTCGCAGGTAGATCGTACAACGCCATTTCGTGGTAACTGAAGTTCCAAAATTCGGCATCTTTGTCGGGATTCAGAGTAACGTGTTTCCGGGAATGTTTGTTTCCTCTCATGTTTCCCAGCCACACGTCGTAGCCAGCGTTCGCGAGGGATATCGCCATTGATCTGTTGCCTCTGATGATAAAAGTATCGGCAGATTCGAAGAGGCCGTGCATCATGAGCACCGGCCGTTTCCTGTCTCCCGGTAAATGAAATAACTTGGTTACATAACCGTCCTCTGACTCGACGTAATGTTCCTCGCACGGGTGCCCGTATTTCGCGGCGAGAGCGTTGAAGTTCAGCTTAGCGTCTGCTGGTACATTAATTTTGATCACGTTCTCATCTAGTTTTGGAAATTCCCTTAACACTTCACCTCCAAACTTTTTCAAAAAGAGATTTTCCACAATTGGAGTGAGTGAATAACCAGTACTACTCAGATACTGGTTTGTGGTAGGGCATCTTAAGTGTCCGCTCGGGAAGGTACCACTACTGCCTATTTCTGTCGTGAAGCAGTAATGCGTTTCGGAATGCAAGATGGTACAGCCATAGTACACTAGACTGAGACCACGTGTGATAAAGTGAATGGAGGCAGTCGTATTGTAAGGTCTATGGACCCCGATAACCATTTAATATCCCGTGTGACCTGAACTACCACCTCGCCAAACCGCCTATGCCAAAAAAATAACGAACTCCCAAGTTATGATTATGGTTTATATATCTTGCAAGTACTTCACAGCTCATCTTAGACTACAACACAATATATTAACCATGTAAATATGTACATGCCTATCTTACATATCTAATAAATAAATTCAAGAATGTTGTTTAATAAGAAGTCAAGTATTAAAATAATATTTATTATCACGAATACTTAAAAATGTGACGATGCGATTGAAAATACATATCTAAAAAAATAAAAGTATTAAGAATTGAAAACAAAATGCACGTTCAATTAGTATACAAACAGCACGTCAGAACGTAAGGATTATTAAGAATGAAATTTGCATATCAATATGAACAATACAGTAAAACGTTTATTATTGTTTAAATATTCGTTATAAAATCTGCTGAAATAGTGCATCTCGATGCTCTGAACGTATTGTATGGTATGAACTTGTTATGGAATATATGGTACAGCTTAGCCTTTTAAGGCTTTCCAGTGTTGAAGCGTTCGCAGGTTGTCTGGTAAGACTATTAGTGACGAAACTGTGGTGCGTTTGTGGATCCCGTTCACGAACGAATGTATATACGGCGTGTAAATACTATTCTACATTTTTGCTTTTTTTCTCACAACAAATACGTATCTACTAGCCTTTTTTTTAACGCTGGGGAATCCATTTATTGATACCCGGTCGAGGAGGGTAACGGACCGGGTTATGTCGGACTGCGGCCCCTCCTAACGGATGTCGGAATAGCGGCATCGCTCTATACGAGTAAACCAGCCGTCTTACCCTTTAGGTCACGGCTTATACGCCTTGCACT